ATCTGAGGTACCCTAGCTGGTTTAAATTGTTCAGCTTGACGCTATCAATCTTTTGTGTACAGGTATATATATTTGAAAGGTATACATATTTGAAGGTGTATATTTGAAATTTGGTTGGATAAGTACTGCTAGGACAAGGCGAGACTAAGCTAATGTTTTTAGGTAGAGTGTAGTTATAAGGTCGTTCTCTGTTTCTATTAGCTGTTGCGTCGTGCACAATGTGCTGTAAAATGAACATTTTTCCCATAGCCTGTTCTATTGTCAGTCAATAGTGGTTTCAGCTAGAATCGTGTTTGCCTTCACAGTATAAATGCGAAACTCGTACTCATTTGACTAACCATCTACATTTGACTAACCATGAATCTTGTATTAATCCTCATATCTTCAATCATATAATAGCTGCTTCAAATAATACTTGTTTGTTTCTTCAGGCCATAAATTTAGGACTTAGGCGCCTCTATGGCTGGCCACTTATCGGACAGCACTGATCCATCTTGGCCTTCTCATCGCTAAAAGTGATGATCACATAAGCATGACCACTGGGTCCAATTGTTATGAAACGATAACAGTAACTACGGAGATTACTGCTATAATTACGCGATTGTATATGGCAGTCTAGAGTATAGCCAAGCCAATTTTAACGGATTAGCCAGATCATGCCTTCATCTAAGAGAGGTGCGAAGACAGAACTTATTCATCAGGATCCCTGATCAATGAACCTATTTCTGTCACGCGAGTCTGGTTCGTCCACGTTAGACTACGAGTGGACTCTAGAAGCGGTTAGACGGAGTCGTGCGTGATCTCGCAAGTAGTCCGGCACGTTGCATAGCCCAGTAACTCCACTCGGCTATCACTCATGTCTTACTAGCGATCAATTAAGGCCAATCATTTGGAATGCCTACAACGGCGTCTCGTACCCAGTAAAATGCTAGAACAATTACACCACGCGAAAGCACGTAGGAAATATCATCCTTAGTAGCTTGGTGCCTCGACGTGCCCATCTGCTTCTCAGTGGTCCCTTAGAAAAACGAGAACTAACAAGGACCATTAGTAGGATAGAATAGTAGGGGCAAGACCCTATTAACAATCATGTCCAGCGATGCAGAGACGATCATTCCACATATTATGTAGATATATAGAGCCAAAATAAGGAGATCTTTGAAGTCACGAAAACCAGATGCCAGCCCTAATAAAGTAAATTGCTACAGAAAGCCTACAGAACACACGTGCTTTTCAAATACACCGCGCCGCATAATTTGTCACAGTTCTGGCTAAATTAGCTTAGTAAAGTCACGTAGACCCAATATATATATAGTACTTGAAGATTTTAATACTTGCGCTTTGGGAAAAGTACGGCTCGGAAATTGAATTCGCCTCTCCAGAGCACAGAATGTATGAATTTAATTATGGATGATGAGTTAGTATAACAGAATAAACATCTCGAATAACAACGTCGCTAAACGTCGTCTTACGATTTACTTTGGCCTGGTCCTGTGGCTATTTCCGTGTTTCCACGAACTGCTCGTATCTATGAAGCCATTACTTTAACCTCACTTAATTGAACACCATCGTAGGTCGCTACTATTCAGCCAACCATTCAAACGCGATTTTGGCCACACCGCTAGCCATTCCGTCGTCGTCGAAACGAACACTTCACGCCCAATGCCCATATAGTCGTAGGCATGTATCTCTTCATAAATTTCAACTATATGATTTTATCTATTACAGTATAAAGCTTGGAGCTCAAAAAAACCCCAGCGAGTATATTATCGGTCACCTATACCCGAGATACTGCTAAATGTATGAAAAAGAAAAAAAAAACAAGCAACAATTTTACTTTTGATTTTACGAACAGTTTATTCGCCTTTTGTTCGAGCCCAGTTGCCATAAGGCCAAGGCAACAATAGCAAAAACCCGAGCATGATTGCTTGCCGATAGCCTGGACCTTATCGAGTTTGAGATCTGAAATTGTAAAGGTCGTCAACAAACTCTTGACCATATCAAACATCAGAGCCGTGCCGGCAGCTGAACGCTCTGTTAAAATTATTGTAGAGGTTTAGGTGGCGAAAGAGAAGCAGTGAATCCTATGACAACCGAACCTATGAAACAATATTTTTTTTTACTGACGTAAATCCCTCGAACTTCGTGTTTGTTAAATGGACGCAAATAGTGATGTGCTTATCTACCGGGTAGAAAAGTCGTCAGCAAATCATCTACGAAGCTCGCATGAGTTCAGCTCAGTCGTTAAGCTTGAGTCACCTACATACCTATAAAAGTCAATTATTTCTCAGATAGCTACAACGGTGAACGTGCTTTGACATGAAAAGGTTGAATATAGCTATTGTTAAAAAAAATTCTTGATTATCGTTGTTCAGGGTACGGCTTTGAAATTCTCTAAAGGATATTACCTTCACAGATTTCGAAAAAGATATATTGAAATCTGCACACGTCTGTCCTAGTTGCTTCCTGCAAGGGAAGTTCCAGTGCACCCCTATTCTCTGTTAAATAAACCTACTATTAAACATGTCTGTATCTGTATGTATATAGATAGATCTCTTGACTAGAACAGGAGATCTTCATCACTTTGTATCTGTATGAGAAACATTTTAAAGAGGAATATTTAAGTAGCTCCGCGGTCGGTCACAAGAAGTAACGCTACTGTTTTCGTATTATGTTTTGCAGCCAAACTGATAAGTTAAGAATAAAATGAAAATGACTTCTATACAATATTACAGATCCGGGACTTTAACTGAACAAAGCGTATGAGATCAGCAATGTGATTGAACACAGGCATTAATGTGCCTTTTCAAGGACGGTGCAAGCAAACCGTACACAGATCTCAGGAGGACGCGACAACTAGGCTTTCAGGGTTAATAGTTGTAATTGTGTTTTGTTCCTTCCATATGATTTAGTTTTGAGCGTACCGTCTACGCACAATAAGCATGTTTAAAATAAACTTATTCTGGGAAGGAGACGTACTTTCGTTGTTAGACCATGTCGAAGGCATCGTACGTCATATGAGTATCCGTCTGTTCAACGGAAGATTGTACAACAGATAAATCTAGCTAGAGTCAATTTGTTACAATGCTATCTGCATACAAACGCCTAAGAACAAGCTAATGCTATAAAGTTATTATTAGAGTTCGTTTAATATGTTTATTGGCCTGACATGGTTTGTTAGTTTGTATGTACCATAAAGGTCATATTTCGCCTATGAACTTGCTTGGTAGGCACTATATTCTATATACAGTTTTTCTTTAAAAGAGCATTTGATTGTTCTTTGTTAGGTTGCTAAATATTCGGACCGAACAAGTGTCCTTTGGCTTTGTACTCGACCTTTGCTGTCCTACTGTGCTGATTATGAATTTGTGTATTTGAAGTTGGTTTGTGTAGTTGTTCCTTAACTTCTCAAAAGACTATACGTTTCATGTCCGGGTTAATGTCTTCCGCTGTGAACAAATCCAGCCACTAGTTGTTCCGCTAGGGTCACCGGCGATTACGAAATCAGTTATTTGCTAGATTGTGTAAACTGCAATGGGCCAAATGATTTGATCCGTATAATCCGCTTCAAGTGGCCACAAATAGGCCTTAGATCTTAGCTTGTGTGGCTGGCTCGTTTCCTAGTCCAGAATATGGTACGGCGCTTCTTCCGCCTTCGAAGCAGTGCATTTCACATAAAATTTCTCCGCAATGCCAACCTAAAACCCGCTTCTTAAAGGTTATATATTTCTACTATGACCTTTACGCCCATGTTAATTAATACCACGAAGCTTTTAGATTGAAATTATCAGAGGAGACTCGATTACGTCAATAATAGATGTTCTAGCAAGAATAAACACCTTCACATTGAAAATACAACACATTGAACGTTTACATGCGTTGGAATCGTCCGTAGAACGCTTCTAATGGTCCACTAGTAGCTTTAAGAGGATTGTAACAAAATCGTGTATCTCTAGAGAGGAAGTAACCTGTCTTCACGGGTTTCATGTTAATTCCCGCCAATTCAAGTTTTGAAGCTTTCCAACTTGTATTCGAAATTGCAGTTCCAAATATCAATTGGGGGGACGTCAATTGGTATAGAAATTACTGGGGGCAATTATAGAACAGCTTCTGCTCGACTAAGTTCACGTTCAAACAGGGAGTGTAAACACTTCATAGGCATTATTACTTTACGGGTTAAGAAAGCTATCGATTAAATCTTCGGATAGAGCTTGCAAATACAGAATCGTACCATCACTTGTGTTTCATCTACGAAAACGACTCTTAGTGCTCCTCAATGTAATGGACGAGTGATGAATGCAGTGCGTCTTTGTCAGGAACAGTCACACGACCTTTAAGTATTATAATATCCTATTAAGGCAACCTTTACATTTTCACATTACTAATTATATTATATATTTAGCGGTGCGATGTGTAACTGTTTATCTGCGGTTACTTTAGTTATTGCCTAACAAAGGGGCGCCAAGAAGCTTGTAATGCTAGTGAACTAATAGTACTGCAACAAGTGAGATCGAGAACTTGAAGCCATACAGTTAGCAGTGATGACGCCAATCTAGATAATCTCTGAAAAAAACCAAGTGAGACTTTTCTCATGGCACACTATTTAAGTGGCCGGTCTCAACGAATACATCAGTAACAATCCCTTTACGATTGCTACATTGTCTACTTGAAATAAAGGACAAGCCAATAGGATATGCTGCATGAGGGACTACATGCTACCATAAACATACCGCTATAGCCGCACATGATAACTAAGTGCATACCAACCACGAATACTCTGTGTAAGCGTATAGAGGTGCTTGCATGAACCGGAAACCAAATAAGTTGAGGCGATGATGCATGTACTAGTACATGTGTTTCATAGATCAAATCATACCTATCAATGGATTACGCCCAGTTCATCTTCCGACCATCCGACTGATATGGCAAATTTCATCTCAGACCAAGTCGATAACCCCGAATACAGATCTATAACCGAATATATATCAAATAGTTATTCAATGGTGATATATACGTGCGCACGTACGTAACCGTAAATTTTTGAAGATTACTCACAAAGCAGCTTGTCATCGGTCAAGCTGGTTTGACAACAGTTGAATGAATTTTTGAAAGTAAAGTATACTTGTATATAATTCACATGTTGATTGAATTAGATCTCCTTTGTCTATATATCATGCTTTTACTTGCTGATTAGGTAGGCTGTTGATGGACTTGGTGATGACTTTGGATCGTTTCCATGTTCTATAGATGTGTACAAGATGTAGCTTTTGTGCATTACAAACTGCTTTATTAGCAATGACGTACTCAGAAGTGTTCTGGTATATGTGGCTTATATTGCCTGATTAGGACGAAATCGTCTAATATAGTGTAGTGTGTCACGGCCAGTTGATTTACCGCGTAGTACAAAGGCGCTTACCAGTTATATCCCTGTCGTACTTTTTCAGCTGTGCAACTGTTTGGAGGCCTCAACCCAGAACTGTATCGCGGGACGCGAGACCCGGGTGAACTCGATTTTCCCGACGGCCACCTAGGAAGAATCTGGTTCGGTCTGGATTATGACGCCCCAACGGAGCGGCTTCTCGTCAAGGTTGAACATTATAGCACATCGCAGAGCGGAACATCATGATATTGAGAGTACATGTTTAACACACATTGGTCCTCGACTTATTTTGATTAGAGACACATTTTTAATCGACTCATCAATTGCACATTACCAATCACGAGGAGCAATCCAACATGCTTCAACAGTGCATTAATTTATATTTACACTGTTGAATCTAGGTTACAACACATTTAATCAATACATCGAAATTGTTCCACAAGCGTATCCTATCACCTAAACTATCCTTATTCAAAATATGCCCCTTTCATAACGTCCTCATTAAGATGCCACATTTACCTTCGTCGTCATTCTTTTGTACTTTGGTAACCGTTAATTAACGAACAATTCCGGTCTATTAAATCATATCACATAAAAAACGGATGTCTAGACAAGAGTCAACCAGCGTTATCCGTTCACTTTTATTGGCTTAAATCATAGCCTTGATAAAAGTCGGTCCAGTAGCTAGATTAGTCTACAAAAGAACGAAGCACAAACCAAATACAGAAGCCTAACTCACTGCCTATAAGAAAAGGAAGATCCTGCAAAGGCTACAATAAAGAAAAACACAATTCTCCGACTTACGAACATTGTAAACTTCCTGCAAAGTTTATATGATCATAGTGTTTACAGCTTGCCAGAATTTAACTTAAACCAATTCTGTTCAATGACCGCCGCCACTCGACTCACTCAATGGGGTATCACGCGCTCGACTCTTGAAACGAACTTTGACTTGAAATGAAATTTAGCATGAAGTGATAGCGATAAGGTGACGTTCACTTCGGTATAATACGATATGGGGCGCCAAAAATGTTCATACAGCATCGGCCGCTGTAGCTCGGAGAGACAAGTTTCTTGCCCATGTACGAGTCTCAGTTTAGACAGGGCCACTTACCGCGCTTTTAAGATCATAGGCTTAATGTCAATATATACACAATTGAAACCTAAATACATCTTTATTCGATCAAATGGCGACTAAAATAGCTAAGCACACTGAAAAGATCAGCCATATACTGCTTCGGAAAAACACTAATCATAGCAGCACTTTAATCGAAAGAAACAGTTATGGTGGTAGCATACAGCCTGATAATATTGTGACGTGTAAACGTACTAATAAAACCCTAGCCTTGATGTCTGCTAGACTCGACTGGCCGCTTTCTTGAATTCAAATCAAGTTTCTCATGACTTCATCACAGCGATGTTACTTTTTTTTAATTGGTGGCGCTACCGCTTGGTAGGAGTTCGAGAATCGTGAACGGACCTCAGTGTCGGATAGGCCGACACAGAGTGAACATCATCGGCGGTTGTACATGTAGTAGAAATTTGATAAAAAAATATTGCAATACATTGTCGTTCGTGTCAAGCATTATTTGTTTGTTTTATAAAGAGCTGGGTGTTTTCGTTGTCAAAACCAGTCAGCTAGATGCTTCGTCTTAACGAGTCCTGTATAATTTAAAAAAACTCTACGGTGTGCATCTTGCAGACTTCGTGAAGATAAACCAGTTTCATTCTGAAGCCGTTCAACAATTCATTACATCAATCTTATACATACAAAAATAGCTGTATATAAAATGAATGCCCAAAGTACCGGATATTAAATTATAATAGATTTTTTCCTTATTCCTTGAAAAGCAATCATGACACTATTGGACACAAACTCCCGAAGGAAAAAGCGTTAGATGTAAAATGTCACGAGTTGCTATCATTTTGCGGCTGCCAGGTGTTAGAACTGTGGTTCTACTAAAGATGGGAAAGTTCGAGTAAAGTATAGCCCTCACTGAGCTATACATAGGTGTTGTGGGACGGGCAATTTAACTTTATAACTTGCTCTGTTCTAAAATTTTAAGTCAAGTATGCGCAAATCTACACCTTATTAGGCGACAATCACATATAAGGTCATAAAGAGTTGGTTTCGGCTCTAACTATTCTGACGACACTTCGGTCGTATCACCGTATCACAAGAATATAATATATATATATATATATAATATATATATATATATATATATATATATATACTTTTTGGTAATTAAGTAGTTGGAAAAGTGTTCCTAAACAAGGTGCCGTCCTTAATCCGACCAGAATTCAATACATATTTTTCTATTTACATCGCTGTAGTCATGGTCAGTTGGCAGTGGGTAGAAGTCACATAGCTAGAAATTACATGATTTTTTGCAGCTGCCATCACAGAGCTATTGACTCTTTTTATTCCACGTAGCATTACCTATATGGAACAGGCACAAGTGATGTTCCATAAGGAAAGAGAGGCTGAAAGCATGCTTGATTGGCCCAATTTCAATGTTTTAAACGTTTCGAATGTGCGAACGTTTGGCGTCCGACAGAATTATGCCTTATGAATTGTTCCGTAACGCTACATCTAGAGACGTACCTTAACAAACAGATTTTCCTATCTATTACAGATCATAAAATGCAGAAATCTACCATCACGAACGCTTGGCCAGATCAGCTGTTGCGATCCATTTATCAGGTACACCACCAGCCTAGGTACACACCTTGAGAAGCCCTAAGTACATCCAACACCTCAGCAAAGTGCTTAGATCATTGTGTATTGCTTGTTGTCAACAAATATTTATGCTTTGCCAATGTGGGAGATGCATGCCAACAAAACATAAGAATCACTCCGCTTTCATAGCTAATCAGCGCTTTTCTTTGCCATTTATACAACGATTAGTTGACAACCAAAACTTGTGGAAGTTTTAGGTTAGATGCCGCTAGGAGTATATATAGATATATTCTACATGTAGACGAGGCAGGGAGTTTGCTTGTTACAGAAATACGCTTTCCTAATATAAACGTAGCAGCTTACTTGAATTCAGGTTATTACAACCGATTTGATTACGAGACTGTGGAAGATTTGAGTTTCTTCCCAAAGGTACTATTCTCTTTTTCAAAACTGTAATGTACAAGTCGTTACCGTTGCAAGCAACCTTTTGCAAATTAGATAATAATTATAATAATGTTTTCTTTGCCCACCCTATAACTTGTGGTTTAGACACCGAATGGCATCGTCACGGCTTTTACGTTTCCTGATCACTACTTTATTTGATAGTTTTTAAGCTCCCCAACCCTAATGCACGCTAGGAGCAACAGACAACCATGTATTGCCTTATGGGTCTGAGCATAAAATGCACATATATCCTTCCGCTGTTTAATCTTCACTGACTTAGAACTTTCTTATCTCTATCGACTTCCTTCCGTTCTACCATGTCCAAAACACATTAGGGCGCTCGTGCGTACCACTTTTAGTCGCAGTAACTGCGCGAAAGGCCGCATCTGGAAGTTTGTATCTTTCTTTGAGGCTGCGTCCTCTCGTAGACAATCTCAGGACACAGTCGTATCCGCAAAAATCGTCTACTCGTACTTCCTACTTCGGTTAACGCTTCTTTTACCAGATTTCGTATATATATATATGTATATACGAATACTGTTTGTCACGTCGGAATTAGAAAAACTGCTAACGATAAACTTGTGCCAAGTACTGAATCTTTTTGACGTTCGTAAATTCCGGCGTACAGAGACGCTTTGGTACTAGCTAAATTTTTTCCGAGACAACGACGTTCTGTCTATTGTTTTTTTTTCGAGTACACGTTGGAAAACAAGAATATTATATAAGAGAGAAATGGTGTAGTTATATATCAATAGATAAATAGATAAAAAGAGTTTTTTTTAGCGCCATTTAAACATTTCTATTGCAGAGTCTATCTGATGCCCGATGAGCGTCGGTATCTTCAAACGAAGTTTAACAAGAAAACATGTAACCCAGTATTTGACGAAACCTATGTGTTTCAGGTATAAACAGGGATTTCCATGCCGTAAAACAGATCTTAGTTCATGTGATACTTTATTTTTAGATCGAAACACACCAGAAATGTTCGCTTGTTGCAATCAAGTCGTTCACTCTACTGAATTCACAAGTACCTCTCATAGGGTAATTGAGCATTAAAAAACAACTTACATTCATTGGTAAGTAAAAAAATTTTAGCTAATACTTTATTCAGACGAGTGCTAACGAAGCTTAATCAAATTGATCAGTTAAAACCGACGTTATATATAAACATATTTCTTTAACTCTATTCTATCAAGGCTTATTTCCTTCTGACAAAAGAACCGTTCAGCCTCCAAAAACAGATCTAAATGTATTGGATCACGTTATTCGTCTCTACAATGTCAGTACTCCGGAAAGGGTCACTTTTTAATATATGGCAGAATCGAACTCAAGGTAGGTTCCTCTAGATGCAATTGGCGCACTGAAAAAGCCGAGCTAAATCTAGCGTATCGACAAAGAGCAAACGGTACCGGTTTAGACTTTGTATTTTCCGTATTTCAACCAAACTGTAATCGCCAATACTACAGGCCGTAGGCCATTGAATCTAACTTCCTTTCCTCATTCCTTCTCTTTGTAAATTGTTTGCAACCACCATGGTACCTGTTAGACGACAGTATTGTCTTTATCAGTTTCGAATAATGTTTTTATAACGTGTTTAGAAAAGCTTGAAGTTATTATTATCATATTGCGTATTGTTTGTGCGAAGGAAATGTTATCAAATCCCCCAAAAAAAGTGTCACAAGGAGCAATACAAGTAAATTTAGAGTAAGCCTAAATATGTAGTTCTTCTGTAACAGTTGAAAAACCTATTAAGGCTAGCCAGGTTTAGCTGGATCCGTTATTCATACTCCTGGATATTTGTACAACATTGCAGTAAGGCTACTGGCAGCTCGGATGGTGGAAACGAGTACTCTATTGTAATTTGTGCCCGACGCGCTACCACGTTTCCTTGATAAGAGTCAATCCAGTTGATAAAGCTCTGGGCGAACACAATATCCTAGATATTCGTAAAGTAAAAATTATATTTAATTAAAAAAAATAATATAAAAAATTAAAAAAACAATATTCAGGCAACGCATAGAACAGTATTTCAAAACTGAATACTAGATAAAAATTATTACACATGCTAAGAACCGATTTTAAGAAAAATACCGAAATTTATTAAATAGAAAAATCAAATGTTAACAAAAAAAAAATCATTAGACCAGCGATGAACGTAAGAGATTCAAGTTCAACTCATGTCTTTACGAATGTTACTGAAAACTTGTTACTAAATTTTGGTGTCCTAATTATCTTAGTTTTGTATTGTATATTAGCATACTGTTCCTTTTTTACATACCAAAGTACATGCATTTCGAATGTGTGTCGACTTTGAAATAAGACAACTAGACAAGGTGTTGTGAGTCGGGAGAAGCGACGGCAAAAGTCTTAAGAAGCAATAAAAAATTTTCCAACGGAATACAACACTTAGGCGTTAAAAAACCACCTTACCGAATATATAAATAGCAGGTGTCGTATTGATTTCGACAAATATGTCGTATATCAGAGCTAGACCCGCGAATAAGTTGAGCCTGTATCTTGAAGGTTAGCATCGGACTAGTGAGCCGATACAATACCTTCAACTGCCATCATAAAGTGTCTAAAAGTGAGATGCAGCAAAAGAGATGGGTTTAGCCTGTACAGTCTCAATCTTTTCGAAATCGCCGATTACCTAAGCAAAAAACTCCTATCGATTTTTACCGACTAGTATTAAACCAAGTGCTGAGATTCTTATTGAGCGTCTCGAACAGTTGTTCGATATATGAGCAATGTCAGCGTCGCGCAGATCCTTATCTCAGCTGACCCAGTACCCGATACTGCGTATTCCGTGTTCACTAACACAAACGCGTAAACGGTCAGGGATGACAACACTATATTTATTAAGCAACTTAATCACTAAATGATTTTATATATGCATTTTAAGTCTAAGAACTGGCTAACTTAATGGAGCGAATTTAACTTCGATCCGGTGTATCTGGTTAACGCGTCGGTGTATCTGGTTTGACAACATAGTACAAGACATAGTTGAACAGTTCTATTTTTCCAACGCATTACTGAGACTCTTGTGTGTACGAAATGATTGTCTGTGTGTTGTCTTGCGCTGAATAAAGGCTTGAGTGCTAACTCAAGCCTTTATTCAGCGCTAACTTCGAAGTCGATCTGTTACTCATTGTCGTTAGCACGACAACCTATTTCAGACGTTACACACTTTATCCTCTATTTGATATGCTGCATTCTTAGAACTCTTCGGCGTAATGAAGGGCGGTCCATTCGAGGCGACAGGCGTTCTGTTCTCGCTCTCACTCGAGATGCTGCTTAGGGATGTTGTTAAGTCAGCAACTCCTATAAGGCAAGCTATAGGAAGGTCTAATCAGATTTTGTCAGCTATAATCTAACTGTATTTATACACGTCGGGTACAAATGTACGTATCTGCGTTCCTCTAGGTCGCAGCAGGAAAAATGGCTTCAGCTCGTACAACTTGTTTATAGTACTTATCGGCAGAACTATCTCAGTGCTCCAAGTCACAGTCTGATTAAGCAGTTGATGACTACATAATAATTACTTAGAATCAGTTGGCAATCCACTGTTTTATGTATAGGCACCTAATCGCGCGCGCGCGAAAGCTAGAAACCTTTGCCCAGCATTGCCCTAGCTTCAACTATATAGTCGCACATCCATGAAAGATGGAGTTATATAGTGTAGTATAGTATTCTTTAGACATATATAGCAATATTTCGTACCTTCAATAAGGTAATATGACCCTTGCAAAGGCGTCGTGTGTCCGCCCTTAAGAATTCATATGGTTAGACCAGTCAACAGGGAATATAAGAAACGGATGGTGCTATTTTCGCTTCGCAGTATAGAACTAACTAGAATTTAGCTCCTTGTCGAATCTTCCTCTTCATGTTAGAAAAAAAAACGCGGAGTAACCTGTGACTCTACGCTCACAGCCTCCCGACGGAAAAAGATGACTCTATGAGGTCGAAAGTTTCTTTGTTGAACGCTTTTGGTTTCAATCGTCCTTCTATTTGACAGTCCACCCCGGAAACTGTTACCCCGCACTTTAAGAAATTCTTTACCGCTTGTCAAACCCGGCTTTTCGTAAAATTACGACTGTAACTTTATAATAGACCTGTCTGAATGAACGAAAACACAATTCTATTTTTATAGTAGCTTTAGTTCTTTCAGTTGATTTGAAACGGCAAGGTTTTATTGTATAATCATAGACGAACCCTCGGTCTTTGGTATTGTGATTCTGGAGGTGGCGCCATGACATTTTCGGTGTCGATTTTTCTAGTTCGAACAACATAAAGCGCAGTTAGTACCTTTGACGATGATATTCAGCGTGTCTACTTTGAATTTTGTTGTGGCCGATAGGAGTGTTGATTTGGTGCCATTTTAACAATAAAACAGAATAATATACTTGTAATTGTACTTTGGGCCCCGCCCACATCACTGTGAAAAGCGGCAAATGTTTATAGTTAAACACTGGCTGGTTATGCACACGGCTTTAATGGGCGAGCTCCAACATCCCCGGGCCCGGAGTGGCGTTGAAGTCGATTCGAATAGTCTATTTATAGGTTCTGATAGTAGATTCAAATTCGAAAAATGTTATCGAAAATCGGCAGTAGGCAGACGAAAAACATGCGCATCTGTTCGTCAGTCGTCTTCTTGTTTTTTGAAACAGTTTTTTTTGTGAACTAAGTTTTTTAAAACAGCCGACCATTTTTCGCCTTAATCAGGATTTGTGCGACGAAGCCAGATTCAGTGTTAAAGAACGACGGGAGTTTTCCCTATTCCTAAGATGTACCAAGTGTGGCCTATTAACAAGCGAAACTTAACTTTGCCGCTGAAACTAACATGGACCATACATAGAAGCATTGATTACTCTGACAATTTTTTGGCGGATCAGACTGAGCTCATATTGTAGGCTAAGCCAGTTTCTGAATACTTTGAAAGTGACTCCCGCTAAATCAGATTATTTCAAGGAAGCCAACCTGAGTTATCGAATTTTTCCTTCCACTTATTTACTGGATGCTCCGCAAACCAACGTGGTCTCCTGCTGACTGCTTTAAATTAAGTAAAAAAAAATTAACCCAAGATCATAGACCACAGTTGGGAGATTGCGTGGGTAACGGTTCTTAACGTCATTGCACCACACTGGGCTGAAAGCGATTCAATGTAGCATACACCCTAGATACAGTACGCTTAAAATGCGTCTGCTCAACTACATAAAAGCCCGCTCCTTTTTAAAATCGATTTTATTTTTTAAGGGACTATATTCGAACACTAATCTTCGATGCACCGTGTAATATAACAAAGTCGTAGCACACGCATAAAACTTTCTACTCACATAATATAACTGAATATTTCTACGTTATTTTGCTCATCCTTTTTACGGACGATTAAAAACGATTCAAACGAATAAAATCGAAGATCTATCAAACACAACTTACCCAACAAATGGCAATTACCCTATTATAGTAACCACAAAAAATATGACAAATAATACCAGATATTAAAATGAATTATTTCTATTAAATATAGATATTGTTTAAGTAAACACGGCTAGCAGAGTTATGTATGTTTTGTGCTAACTTTCATAGTTATTACTATTATATAAACGTGTCGGTTACCTGATCCAGACACCGATATTCAGCGTTTGATACCTATGGATATTCTAAAGTACAACATGTGACGACAAATACTCTATTAGTTTAAATGATTACTTATTTCGCACATGCCGAGCTGAGATCGATTTCCATATATGTATATATATATACATATATATATATATATATATACATATATGTATATATATATACATATATGTATAACTTAATTAGCCTGGGGGCTTCTAGTGCGCATAGCTACAAAATTTTTTGAGTGGAATAACTGCAATCTCTGTAGTAATGTATTAGGAAAACTTGCGTGAACTTAAATTCCTATAATACATCTGCCTCCTATAGCTGTAAACCAAATTCGTTTGCAATTTTAGTCGGTTTGGGAACGATTACGCTGATGTACGCTAAGGGTGAATATCTAGCTCAGACTTTAGATCATATTAGTTCTTCGAAGATTAGACATACCGACACGATGTAGTTGGGTGAAGTCTGGTCCTGTTGTTACTTCATGGCTGAAACCCTAATGAATGCCATAACCAAACTACGGGCTAGCAACGTTGACTTGATTTGAACGAAAACATGTTTTTGGTATTTTTTATAGACACTAGAGGCACAAATACACTATTTCTTCTACACGTTTCGTAGCGCTTTGCCTTCTTCGGCAGTCAATTGAATCTTCTGCGTATCGTATTCAGACAATAGAAGTAGCTTCCTCTTTATGTGGCTCGTCATATGGATGAACGTGTACTAAAGCTGTGCGTTGTTGACAACGAGCGCGGAAAGCATCACAAAGCAATTGGTCATGCCCTTTTCTCGTTAAGCCAACTTGATTGGGCGTGTGGTGAGAATACGCTTGTCACCTGGAAGGACCTTGACAAGCATGCCACGCAGATTGTGAGTAGCGGCTCAGGCCAATCCATCGAGTCATTAGGATCACACTACCCGACTAAGCATTCGTGTACTATAATGCATTAAGCACTCGATATTACTTAGGCTTATTAAATGCTACGTTATCATTGGCTACTAAGCAAAATAGTACTAGGACAAATTTACGGAATTTGAGTAAGCTTGTTGGTATGAAGTTTCTGTAGGTGTCTGTTCCTAGAAATTTTTAGCAGGCTAGAAGAAAGGCTTTATGGGAATAGTATCTCCTAGTTTGAATGGCCGGGTCTGTATCTTTGTTTACCCTAGCCTACCTTGGGCGTTCTTCCGATTCGTTTGAAGTCTGCTTTTTCCCATTACGAAGGCTCTTGGCTACCTTTACTTTGGAGACATCTGTAGCTCATCGTGTGGGCATTTGCCCGCAGCTGCGTATGCATGAAATCTTTCTCCTTAGAAATAGGCGAACAACCGCTTTTTTGGATTCGGACCTCAGGTTTATAAGGGTTTCTATCAATTTCACTTTCATGGATGTCAAGTGTGGGCGAGGCGTGTAAGGTCATTCTAGGTATACTGAATAAGATCTGTACGCTATGTTGACAAACAATGCTTTCAACTTGCTTTCACAAGTTAAGTAATGAAAAAAACTATTATTGCCATTGAAGGAATATTAAGATTTATAGCTAAAACCTATAAAGAAGATATTCAATTAGAGAAAAACATTATTAGTTTAAGCAAAACGATCAGATCTCGACGGCAAAAACATTATGCAATAGGTTCTGGTTTGCCCTGTACCTGAAGACAAAATAACGGGCCTATATTACATATGCCCGTATTTTTTAGCCATGACACTCTTTATCGGGGCTATCAGAGCACCAATTTTGACGAGGATGATAGAATGTTATCGGGGTGACAACATTTTCTGCTACTTTTTGACCGCCTCACCTTTAGCCTATACATTTGTAGGCATGTTTGCTTCGCCGTTTATTCTTCACAGAAGTAGCTTTTTGAAACGAAAGTCCTATACGCTATATATATATATATATATTGAAACAATAGAAGACGTCAGTAGCAGTTGTCAAGCAATCCTACGTAAGTCGTCCCGTCGAACGTGGCTCAGTAACGAGAGCAGTTGTAATATTCCAATACACACCCGGTTCTTAGCCAAGTGTCAATGAGAACCTTGAACTGTGAAGGACATTCATCTCGTACTTACCCATCGGCAGTGCTACGACAATGGTGGAATACAAGTAATGCACATTGACATACACAGATCTAGGCCGACAGATATAGAACCCGAAATAAGGCGGCGGTGAAAGGTAACTCAAAGCTAGAAAATTAGGTCTGATAACAAAAGATCGTCGTTGCGATACGGATGTACATCTCAACCCCTACGAAGAATCTGGTATACGATTGCGCTGACAACAAGCCGATACCATTCGCAACTGTTTCTACTAATGAAACATATTTTCCCATTAGGGTTGCCGATCGGCCTGTTACACTAAATCTCTGTGCGTGACTAACTTGCTTAACCCATGGTAACTAGAGGGTTCCGGACCACGTAGCTTTGTCAATTTTTCAAATAAAAGCAGGTTATTCAGCGATGTTCAACATGTTTCAGCGGAAAACGTAATTTGTTAGTCAAACTAATACCTAATTGTTAGCCTAATACCCGAGGTCGTTCGTCCTATACGCCTGTTAATGAAGGCCCTGCGTTGTTAGGCAGTTTTCAATGTACAATGTAACATGCTAATTGTTAGCTGTTACTCTCTATTGTAAAATGTTTTATTTGCATCTAATTTGAACGATCGTACCCTGCTGCTTGGATCCATTTAAATATACAAAACTGCCATTAGGTCGTTCAGTCTGAAAGACGTCGCTCGTATTAAAATAGGACTCAATGCACAGAGGTCTCCAAAGTATGCTGTTTTTGTCAATTTTAGGCATAGAAACCTTGTGTGAAAAAGCCGTATGATTGGTCATTAGCGGACCCGAATGTTGTCATGGTGTTGACTTTGCCAACATCGCGACAAACGTTAAAATCTAGCGTCAAAGGTGTCATCTACTATGCCGTATGAGTCGGCTAATTAAATGGATGAATTGAGCTTGTTACCACCTTTCTCGTTCAAGTTCCAGTGGAAAAGAACTGCTCATCTTCAATTCGTTATCACTATCTTTTTTTTTTAACTACTAACTTGATTTATTTAGCGATTTTCTGTGAAAGCAATTCAGAATTTCAGTGATGTATCTTACAAAGCGTAAAAGCACGCGGTCGAAGTCAGTATTTCCCTGCGTGTTTTTTAAATACACTATCGTTGTCGTTGTTGTGTCTGCGGGTCTGAGAGCGCACAGATTTGGCGTTCGGATCCGGTCTTATACGTATCCTAGAAGAGCTGTGTCACGTCTGGGTCACCTAGGCTGTCGTTTCGCAAAGCTACGATTCAAGTGCTCTGTAGGTGAAAACTTGATAATAGGTTAGGCTAGCTAGCAATTTTCCATTTAGTCTAAATTTGCGCAATGAAAATTCGTTGGCTTAAACATGTCGAAATAAAGACACATCAAAACTCATGCTTCCAAGGGTCGTGACCATCGATACACGAACATTAAAAACAGTGCGGCTCGCCGGCAGTAGGAGCTCTGATAGGAGAAACAGAGTATTTTTAATCAGGATGCGAAGAAGACGAAACTACCTACTTCGGTGAAGTAGCTATGGGAATGGCCTTCAATCATTTTACAGGTCGTTGATTCCAGGCTAGAGGTTTCTTTCAACACTGTGGTACGATATCAAGCGTAATATCTTTGTTATTCAAATTTGTACACTTATTAGAGGGTTGTTTTCAAACGAAACAATCAGGACGAAACAAAGATACAAACGAATATTCAAAAAAGCTATGGTTCGAATTAGAGAATGAGCTAAATCCAAATGTCAAATCGGACTGTTATCTTATAGAAATTAACTTTAAGTGACGGCTCTTTTTGGGATAACAGGTACGAATATTTGAACGGAAATCGGACAACTTACTTTAAATTCGGTACTTTCTATATGTATGTTTTTAAGGAATCGCTCATGTTACTTGAGCCACATAGGCTTACATACCGTCGGCCTTAATTAAGATTAAAAACAATACCCAGTGCTTTTCAAAGTCAGTAATTACGCCTATATATTTAAGGTAATTAAGTTAGGTGTAACTAATGATATCTGTATTGCTTAGTCATCGATCACCAGCGCATATTCTTGGAAAGTTTTTAGCTGACCATGTTTTTAATATTACATGCAAGACTGAGATTTTAGGCCAGGATCGACTTGACTTTACATAAACGAAATTCGCTGTTACACAGTTAGTTGGTATACGAGAGGACCACTGGCAATAAAATATTAAAAAAAGGTTTGCATTACGTACGTTTCGATTCTTCCGAAGCTTTCTATAGAGTGAACGATTCTAACCTAAATGTAGGCTATTAAGAAACCGGTACGAATAGAATTCCACGAACGCTTCTATGTGTATCTCACTGGTAGTTTCAGTGGTCAAGCAGTTGAGATCTTTGCTCGATCTCAAGAAGTTCTCTGTACCTATATACTGCTTTGCGTACTAAACGTCAAGGAAATCATTTTGACAACAGTTAGCCATAAACCTTACGCTGATAGTCTAAGCTTAGTAAACCCTTTCAACGAACACTGAAAATAGCAAAATTCAGTCAAAAAAACTAACGAAAGTGGCTCACAGGAGATTATATGATTGTATCTGTTTTTAAATGTACTCCTAATTGGAATGCATCATATTTTAGTTATTTTCTAACAAAGTAATTTGGTCGACTACTTTGGCAAGTAGGACCCCAAGTAGGAGAGCTCTATTGTCGAAACGTTAAAACACATGTGACTCTGTAATTTCTACGCGTTATTTCTACATGTAAACATTGATGCAAATCGTGGGGCGTATGCAATCCAGATTTGTTTGACAAATATTAATCAGATGCGAGGGTGAGCGAAGCACTAGGGATTTAATGCCGAACTTGAATACACACAATCAGGCAAACGGGCAAATGTTTGCTTCGTATGCCCTTAATATAATAATAATAATAATAATAATAATAACGCAAATTTTACACATTTAATAACAGGCCGAAGAATTATAGGGCAATGTCTTCCTACGACAGCAACAATAAACGCGCTCTTTCCAACTGGCTGAACCTTAGGTTGACACATTTTTCAATAAACTTTTTACTTATTTTAGCATATTTTATACAGGATAATTTAAATCATATTATAAAAATGTCACAGTTGAATAATAATAATAATGATGTTCCGGTAATTCTGTAAGCGACATGAAGGGCATATTGTGAAATATAACTTTGTCTATATAATCGAGACGTTCCTTTGAATAAGTATTTAACTTAATCTGAACTAAAACAGTGCAAACCATTTTAAGTCGCCAAAGCTATGTGACTGACAGGTATTTTAAAGATTCTCAAAGCGTTTTAATAAGCTTGTTTTTTTTTACCTCTGAATGATCATGGCAGCCTAACTCAGCATCTATTACCACTAATGACTCTATTTATTGAGTCCTTATGTAGAACTGATGTTCTATAGTTGTATAGCTTCTTGTTATGTCCCTTTGCTATGCTTCGAAGGGGGCGGACGGCATAGACACCCACGGAATACTTGGATGCTCGTTTTAACTATTGAAAGCCCAATGAGCATAGCGTGAGCATACAAGGAGTTTAAATTTTTGGTGATATTTCGTTAGTTCCTTTGCCTCCAACCGGCTAGTTAGTCCTTGCCTGTCCTTTTCTGAGGTCACTAAAAGGTACTTACGACCCTTTTTCTTTGAACGCATTTATAACCATCGTTGTTTTACAGGTGATACAAATCCGTGTAGCGATTTATTGATCTAACGAATACGATAGGATTGTTACTTCTCGTTTTGAGTTTAACGACCGGCGTCGCTATTAGGCAATCCATAATAGGGCTGGCTGGCCCCCAGTACGAAACAAAGTATGCCCATGCGCAGATACGAATGTAAATTGTAATGAGTAGCACCCAAATATGTTACCCGCTAATCTACCTCGTCAACGGGCAATGACCAACGTAAAATAATAACGCCAGGTCTATCTATTTTTCTTTTTTAGATATGTATGGGGCTATTATATAGAGTATCTTTTCAACAACATACTGGCTAATGATCTATGTAATAATCTGCTATTTTTTGTTTTCACCCTTTCGATTTTCGAACTATATTGAAATAGGTGAACCTTACAAATGATTTCCATTCACTTTCAAATGCGGTTGACTAATCTTTTTATTCTTGCTTTGCCGTTCTAGGAGTCGAGCGGCGGACGTCAAGGCGAATTACACGTCGGGCTGACGTACCATGCCAATCAGGAGAGACTCACGGTGGCACTGATGGAAACACGTGCAATGCCGGAAAATCTCACTCGTAAGTGAAAACAGTAACTAGAGAATACAGGGTCGACCGCTAGAGTTTCTATGATGTGCATCCAATTTTAGGTGTTTTACGTTCAAACTTTTTAGTGACTAAGTCATGAGCTTCGTAGCGCTATTGCAGAAAGAGTATATCTTTTGAACTATTTCTTCAAAATTTTTTCAATTGCCTTACTACAAATAAAAGTTTTAACGTAGGCGCTACCTAAATTACGTAAAACGGCGGTCACTGCCATTCATGGTCGCTGCAAATCTCCTAAAACGTAAAGGATAATGATTCCTGCCACACAGTACCTGGCTGAATAGTTCGGCGGAATTAATCCTGCTGAATTTCGAAGTTTTAATGGCTTTAATAGCTTCTAACGAAAGTTTACGCGAAGGACAATACGTTGGTTGCAAGAGCTTTCAGAAGACACTGAGGAAACTTTCCGCAACGTTCCGCAAGTATCCATTACGAGGCGACAGAGGCGAGACTAGAATAACAGTGAAGTGTATAATAAAGAATAAAATCTCCTTAAGAACAGAAGAGGAAAACAATATCCTAATCGATTTTGACATTATCCAAGGACTCGATATTTATAAAGAGTGGTTTTGGCAGACAGCAAAGGTAGCGAACAGTAAATTTGTCAGCAAAAATTTAGGCTTTAACACAGTCTATTCTTTTTATTACTTCGAAAACTGCTAGTATGAGCCAAAATGTGTATATACATGCAGGTGACGCATCTTAAAGCCAGATCGAGTTGTTTAGCTGGCTTTGTGATGTAAGCGATGTATCTTCACATACGTCGAGCTATCAAGTTAGGGACGCAGCCGTCCCATAGAGAACTCACCGTTACGTCATCGTAACGGCGTTTGATGTCATTATCGTTTCTTTGTCATCAACGAAATCGCCGATTTCAATCATTAAAAAATTTTATGTTGTTGTATATAAACAAATTGTTTTTATTATTCCAATATCCATTGATGTTTTAAAAAACATTGGTAGCTACCGTGAGGCTTGGGCACATCGTACGTGTTAACTACGACAGGTTTCGACACTGAAAGTGGTAGTACGCTTCTGTATCTTGCGGTAGAGGTCCCACGAATACTAATTGCGATACCCAAAGGGAGGACCAATACAATTTACTGATTTAGAGACGTTATAATCCCTAAAAGTTAGCTCACCACCCGTGTCAGGGACATATGTTTTTCTGATCTAAATGTTCTAAGCAAATCATTACTTAAGTTAAAACTTAGTCAACATTCGCCATAATAACTGTGTGCGGCCGTGCCAGCTAGCGTAGAATTCAACTCACCAGGCCGGTTCTAACAAAACGTTTAAGCTTGTTCTTTTCTTCGGATCAAGTTAGCTAATTTATAATATTAGTATTTATAATATTGTTATTTGCAGTTCTTGTTTTTTGTAGTACTACACTATGCGTCATCGTTGATAGGTTTTAGTAAAAAAAAAGGACAGCTCGAGTCTTTCTTACAGGTTATTTTCGAAAGCTCACGGAAACTTGATTTTTGAGTAATTTTGAAAAATCGATTAAGTTTATTCGATATTTGGGTTCTATAAATATTTTAACCCTTTAGCGATTGTGCGTGAAGAATCAAAAACGTTCTGATTACAAATTTGAAAAATCTGACCCTGACCTAATTATTATAAAACTCATGAGCGAAACTGATAGAAGTTACGGTTTTTTGTCGATTTGCGGAAACGCTAACTCTAGGAGAGTTTCACGTAAAGATCTGCCTCCGGCAACAAAACAAGATTCTAAAATCTAAAAGATCGAACTCACATCAGGTAACTTCAGGAGTTCAAGTAAAGTTCATGGAATCCATCGCTTTCAGAGTGAGTGTCATTGTATATGTGTGCTATACATTTAAGTGTGAAAAAAAACCGTTTGTATTAATATCGGTTCGCTTGTTTTTTTGGTATCCGTCTGAACCAGCTAGAGACAAAGTGACGTTACAACGATGATAGTATAAAGAGCAGCTGGTGTATAGATGTCCTTGATGATTCGAATTCCAACTTATTATTAAGTTTATGAAACAGTGTCTGACCTCCTTCGGCAGGCTTAGTGGGGAAAGGTGTTTGAATTTGTCCACGATATCAGATCCAGGGAATAGTATTTTTTCTTACCGCTAGTAGAAGTAGCAAAAACTCAATGTATATTCCCGTTTTGGCGCTGTGTTTCACACCGTTTATACTAACAATAGGTGAAATTGCATCAAATCAGTAATGTCTCGGTAATCATCAAAGTTGTCAATGATTCGCACAAAGGCAAGTATTACACAGTTCAATAAAATTTTTGCGATTCATACTTTTTTTTTCCGTTACCCAATTCTACCCAAATCGACCGTTTTGTATTTAATAAATGCATAAATACTTAGCTACATCATTTTAGAACTGTTGCCAAGCCGGCACAAAATATACGCTCTCGTTCGTATCTCCGAGAATAGACTTGTAGGCTATCCAGATTTATTTTGATTTTTCTTCTATTTATAAATTAGCTTAAAAGTTAGTTATTCTATTTTCGTATGATTATGCCGTTTCCGCTTTCCTAAGACTACTGCGTGTCAAATCTTTCATGTTTTCCCCATTTTTTCTTCTGTGTTTTCGTTGTCAACAGACACTCAGTTGGGTCGAATCATACTGGGCTCATTCATGTTCGCTCGAGGAAGAGCTCTGCAACACTGGATTGAAACTATAACTAATGCCCCTAAACAGATGCGAGAGTGGCACTGCTTCATGTAAATGCGGACTGCATCAGCCCAACTATAAAGGCCCAATACCTGGCCAAGACCCTGATACGGAATGATTTCTATGACCACATCGTCTACTTTTCTGCAGAACCCAGCATCGTTTACAATGCGAAACGGACATTTGAAAAAAGATCGCTGTTCGAGTCAACTATCGGCGTGAAGCTGTACATTAATTTATTGTAGGTTACTTATTATTGTTGTTCTGATGCGTAATTAAGATATACCGCGCTGAAGGAAATGGACGATGTAAGACAAACAGGATAGTATATATAAGGTGTGTCTTAACGTACGTCAACTTACTTGCCCGAAGGTTGAAATGCACAGTTTCTTTGAATTAACGTAACTGTCCACTAGCGTTTAAGGGCATCGACAATCGCAGAGGTAACTTTTTTTGTCATCAGTGTCACCGACCGAGGAAAACGTATCAGAATATCATTTTGAAGCTCACAACGTAAAAAGGTTCGCGTATTTCGGTACTATTGTGTAGGAAACGATATTTTGAACATGAGAAAGTTATGCATCTTTCTAGCATGTCGTACATACTCGCAAAGGATTATACGAAATAATCGTATTCGTAAAGTATAAGGAGTCACAAGTTATAAAGTTCTCGAAATCTCGAAATAATCGAATGAAGTTGATATCCAGTTGTGCGCCTCGGGCCTATGGAGACACCCGAGGAAGTTCGTAAACGTTAATGACAGACGACATAAACTGAGCCTTTGAATGGACCGCCCAACGTAATCGTGGTGAAGGCCAGTAGTAAATGCTATTCCCATAATCTACGTTATATAAAAACAATAAATAGACTATATTGACTGCAGTAAATTAGTAAAAAAAAAGGCAGATAAGCGATTCGTACCAGAAGGTGGTTTGTAAATTTATGTTAAACGTTTTTAAGAGATGAAAATATGTCGAGATTCAAAAGAAATGCAGCTGGAAATGAATCACCGATTTATGCATATTGATATCACTCTAATCTTCCGAAGGCAACTACATCCAACATTTTTGAGTATTTTTATCACAAATGACAACAACACTTTTCCGACTAGTGTCTAAAAAGAAGACGAGACCCAGATCTGGGTCACTCGACGCGACGCTTGAAGTTCAACCGGACATGCTTAATTGTTTGTGCTTATAGTTACAGCCTATTTGATCTAGTAAAACTGTTGAGCACGACGGTGTTATTGTCTTGAAATGATAACAATATTTTAATAAACATTATAGATCCTGTATATATGATAGATCCACACATTCATTTATTTACAGTCACTTATATGTACAGCAAATGTAGATATTTCAGAAGTATATGGCGCTCGTAGTACCTGTAGTGGTACCTAGACGCCTTTTAAATTTTTACGTATTTCAATGACTGAAGCTAATATATGCCTTTGCAGTCAATACCATACGTTCAATAACATATAACGAAGTCCGACGTGACACTTGGCGCAAGGTAGGCACGATTTTCCCATCTGTGCAATGCGCGTGTCAACGTCGAGTTGTGCTACTTGAAGCCTTCAGTATCTATTACCTCACGGCGATACAGAAGTTCATCTTCTACCTAACCACCAGTGAATATCGCTTCATTTTTTTTTTTTTTTTTTCTATATTTTCATTGCATGACTGATCTATACGACTTTGTCAACGTATATGACAATAGACCCTTCTCGAGTTGTTCCGATTTAGTTGATTTGTGGCCATGTCAACCGTGATGAATCAGAATATAAAAGAAGGCTCCTGCCATAGTTCTGCTGCAATCTCCGGTTGAACTGTAATGTCATGTCTATTTTTCGACGACCAGGTACAATCACATTCTACCAGGACACGCACGAAAACAGCCTACAGCTTTGGTTTACCTATCAGAGGATTACCATAACTAATCCTATATAACGTTAGTTGATATGCTAAAGTAACTGGATGGTGAGGTACGATGTGACCGACCCAAGTGCAAGTCCAAGGCCGAGGAATAGGGCAGCCAGTGAACCAGCAACTTCCTGATACTCTTCGGCACAACACCTATTAACAGCAAGCAGATATGTAAGAATTTTCTCACAGGTACAAAACGGATTAATCGTACGCTTCCTACCTAGTACTAGCTCGCTGCATATCATACGTGTACTAAACTTTAACTTAACTGAAAAACAGAAAATAGGAAAGATCGTGCAAAATGGCATAGCTTAGTCGAACATACGATCATAAGACGGGGAAAAGCATTCTCACTTTGAAGCATAGGTAAGAGCGAGCGTTGTAATGTAGCCATTTGACAGGCCGAACAGAACCATTATAATGATATACTGCCAGTCATGTTGAAATATGACGTTTGTCAGGACACGGCTGGTCGGAGCAACATTGCAAACGATTAGCAATGGGACAAAAACAACCCTGCCAACTGCCATCATAAGCAACCAATTCGCGTTTGTTGATGACTGCAAAAATAACCAGTAAAAGCATAACGGTCAAGGTTTCACTTCAGCTGTATTGACTGAATGGCTAAAATAGATAGAAAATTGATGTAGGTTTCCACAGGGAAAACACCGACCAGTTCTGTTTGTTGATCATAGTTGAACGATCAACATAGAGCGATATGTGGAACGTTTATGAACTAAATAAGGAGAAGTAAACAAGTTTTTAGGCAAAAAGCTGTCGTATGTACTTACAATCGGTAAAAACCTGGCGAGCAGCCTGCCAAACAGATCGGTGAAATTGAACGTGACGAAACAGGCGAGTGGAACGAAGAGTGTAGTGGTTAGCGCTGATCCCGAATCCGCATTTGACGATCGTATTAAGGCAGTCACTGCTGGAAACACTGCCAAGGTGACCCAGAATATCGATATTGTCGAAACGTGAAATTTCCAACCCTGTTCAGATCATAAAAACGGGTCATTAATCGAACCGGCAGATCATTGCGAATCCGGTGTAAGGATGACACTATTTTCGAGCAGAAAAACACTTTCGGCTGGCAGCATCATTCCGTGCTGGGACGTCTGCCGACCTCACACGGTAACAACGGTCACAGCGGCCATCACAAAAGTCAATCCCATTCAGCAGCGATAGCAGGCATTATGCTGCCAGCGATCGCAGATGTGGGATCGATAGTAGTTTGAAGACATCTATCGTTACATTCATCGTAATGATGACGACTATGAGAAGAGGCCTGGAGTTCCGCGTCGATATAGTATACTAGCTCGGCTAATTCAAGCTGATATAAAAATCGAATTATGGATACTGCAGGTACGTGCGAACACCACGTTTCTACTCATTTTCTGGTTAATTTTCCTCATTTTCTCCGCTTTCTGGTTAATGAACTCGATGGTTTCGACCAGTAACTTACCGATTTGAAGATCGTCCAGAGAGGAGTGCTGGGCTTGCTCTGGACCTTTGGCTCGCTCGAGCTGGGTGATGCAACACTGTCACCGTTTATGTAATAGTCGTAGAATTTCTAGATACAAAAGGATGAATAGCGGACACCGCCGTATTTTCATATGTGCTATGAATACAACTTTTACAATTACTATTTATATTAAAGTCATCATGAATTCAGCGACAATTCGCTGAAACAACTGACTTGTGACTCACTTGTCTTGAATGAAATATTCAATGTATCATTTTCGAAAAAGGTATAGTTCTGCTATTACAAAATTGATTTGAAGTTTACCGGCCGAAGCGACTCCGTACATTTACTTTATGTGCTATGACATACCATGGGCACGGTGTGTTACTAGCTTCTTACCATATTAACGAGTAGCAGAAAGCACATTAGAGTAAATACAAGGACAACCGTAGCAATGCTGAAGTACAGAAAAGCAGCGTCCGTCGGACTCGTGTCGTGAAGTAGACAAGCCAGTTGACACAGTGTTGCGAATACGCCACCCACAGCCTGACCCAATACGTTCACCGTCATATACCTGATTTCATTGAGTAGCGAACCGTAAGCACTTCACTGTGAGAACTCTATTTTTCGTTCAAAAGAAAAGCTAAGGCGAAACGATTCGCATTTGCTTATAGCTTGGTTTCAGTCTATAATGGAACGTTTCCGCGTCAACAATGTTCAAACCCTCATGCGCCTCAGGGCTGTCGGAGAGGTTTTCAAAGCGCATTGCTTTGCCAAAAACATCGATCGTTGAATTACTTCGATACTGAACATGAATCTGCACAAAGTCTGGAAGACTCTGTGCACGACCTATTATTTCCCTAGATATATATAGAATATATATGTATATTTACGCTCAACGTTCAGTAGCATAAAGCAAACACGAAGTACACAATAGTCGTACTAGTAGTACGTCTGCCGGTCGCAGTACTGCTGACGAACATAATTAACAAAAGCTAAAACGGTGTTTCAATTCATAGAAACGTACTTCGCCGGAAAAGTCCCGGCCATCCCGGTGCCGCCACCCTGCAGGAATCCACCAGCAACTGAAATAAAGCAACATTGCGTGTTTCCATTTAATTACGGGTGCGAAAATGATCATTTGCTAAAACCATGCCCATGGAGAAAAATCGTAGACCCCTTAGCGTGCCGCAGTACTGAAAGCTTTTGGTAAATATTGGCCATGAATGTACATGATGAGCGGTTTGAGGCAAACTACTACCTGCTAGAGGCTTTAGCATACGAGTTCGTAATTAAGAAAACATTTACCATTGATTAGAACAACAGTAATCAACGTAGCCGCAAGGAACTCCTTTTGGTCTGCGAAAAGGAAGCAATCACAATCGCACATTGATTAATGAATCGCCGGTGTTAGTTGAAGAAGAACTATTTAGAAAGATCGATATAAATACATTAATTTAGAAAGAAAATTTTATTTCAGTAATACTTTATTAGTTTCTAGTGACATATTGTTTATGATGGCGCCACTAAACTGCTGGACGTTTAACACTCCAACTTCGAAGTTCAGAGCAGGTAACTATTTCGAATGGGCGATTATACAACACATGTATTTCTACAATGATTTGCCGCATAATGCTGAAATGGATCCTCGTACAGTGATCTGTGTTGACTTTGACGAGCGTAGCCGTTACGATAAACAGTATGATGCACCCTGCGAGACAATAACCGATACGAAGCGCACAGCGGATCTGGCAAGAAATAAGAAGAAGCCTTATTGAGTCGATCCTATTCATTTGCTTAGCTCATGTGGTCCTGTACATGTCCATATCCAGCCTTGGCTTATGGTTTTTCCTCTATTTCTATACCGATCGAAAGGGGGTTAGGCGGCAAAAAAATGTGCAATCGTTACCTTTTCAACAATCATCGTATTGACAACGAGAAAGAGGATGAAGGGTAATTTGGACGCAATAGCCAAATACGAGCTAAATGATTTCTGTAGTGCCGTGGTTTCTGTCGAATTTTTAGGAAGGTCAGGATTACGAAACTTGTAGTTCCAGTACTGTAAACGTTAAATAGAAAAGTAACTTTGTAATCACAGGCTCCGTTTGCAAATAGGACATAGCGCACTAACTTCATTCTGATTTGGTACCTAGAAATCCTGTCTCAAGTAAATGCCATAGATACGATTCATTCGATAGAGAAGAATGAAATTACATCGCTGCACGTAAGTTCCTAGTACATCCATTATATTCGACTACAATGAAACATTCTATGTGGGTCGAGCTACCCGACGCCTCACATAACTGGCACCTTCTGGTGCGTGTCCATCTGTCATAACGACGGAGACTGGAACTTAGCCTAGATACACCATCACGCAACGATGCCACAAAGTGCTTAGGAAAGTTTCAACAGGGGCGGCGAAAAAAACCTGTTTAGTCGACAAATAGAATTATTATTACTGTCGTAAATGTTTACTATCAGATGTTCCCTTTTGCTAGCAACTGTCGGTTCTCAGGGTGGTCAAAACAGCAGTAAGAACAAGTAGAGATCTATCTAACGGCGGGTTGTGGCCTAATCAGTAGCGCATATTTAGATAATGCGCCAGTTCAAAGAAGTTGAGGCACGCGTCTTGACTGAGCCTTATTGCCAAGATTAAGTAATGTTGATATGGGCTTACGCTGATTGAATGTATTCTATCATATGAACTATTAGATAAGCGTTGTTGCCTGAACGCCTCGCTTGGGCCATGGGTGCGTGTGTGACCTTCAACGTAACTTACGCTCATTGATAACAATTAAACCAGAATACTTCATTATGACCTCAATTTAACAGTTCGATGCACACACCTTCGTCATGATCCAAAATAATTCGGCCATGTTGGGCGAAGTAATGCGATAGCCGGTTATTGACCGGCGTTCTTAGAGACCACTTGAGTAGTTTCTATTCGTATGATTAGATCGGCTTCGTCATACGTTTGCTCGTACGGAGCTAAAGCCAAAGTTGTACGAACAGAGTTAGTCATCAGCTAAGAAGCTTACGAGTATGAGTGTTTTGGGCTTCCAGTTACTTGTTAACGTAGTTCTATGCGATTTACTCGTTTATCTCAATGTGTCTACCAAATTAAACACAACACTTCCATGTATATAACAACAATCCAGATTTCGGGTATCTATCAAGCACCAGACATTCGTTTATTCAAAGGCAGTGCGGTAACAGCTTAATTAACGCTCTACTTAATTTCAATGCCTACACGAAAACTCAAGCATGACTAGGTAACATAGGAATTTAAAACGTGCTATAGGTTTGCAACCAAAAACAGAATACAGATACAAAATAGAGAAAAATAGTAAATAGAAAAAAAAAAACAAAAGAGTAAAACAGTAACAGCGACTTTACAGCAATCGGACGGTCGGACGCCGCTGAACAGGTAAGGTAAGTTCGGATGACTTCGCTGTCTAACACTTTTGTCAGGAAAATGGTTTCAATTATACGGGAAGTTATTATATTTTATTAAGAAGTCATTAGACAAAAAACGTACAGCGGCCGTCACGTACTTAAACGGACACGAAGGTAACTGAAAGATTTTTGTTACACGCCGATGTATGTGTGTGCATGTTTATTCAGGCAAAGCTTGGCAAGTTCTCTCGGGTTGTTTACTGCCAATGTTTTTCCTTAATTAATAATCTCTTTGTAAATTAACCCATTTACGGAACTAGAACAGATCAGGCAGAGAGCCTAAATAATGATTTAGCTATGCTACTTCTGAATATACGCTTTCAGCGTTGTTACTTTTTTTGTATGAAGAACGGCATCACTTGGACACTGGCCTTTTAAAGCATGTACATACATAAATTAGGCACAAGCTAATAAGACTATTGCTATTGCCTGTAGAAGCACTCCGAAACGACAGCATTTAGGTACTAAATCTTAATAAAATAGTGATTTTAAAAAAGCTATCAAGAAAAGCTTACATCCGTTGCGGTAATGAAGAAATTCCACGGCAGAAGAGATCCGATTCCAAGAAGGAATACCGTAAAGGTAACGAAGCCATACCTGCGACGACAGGTATTCTAGATTTGAGTGAAAATTTACGGGATACTAAAAGTTTCACTATAAATAATTAAAAATACGCTGCTCGAGTCTCAGCTCAAATCCCTAACCTCCAGCCGCTTCCACGCAAATTATTTTCAAGCTGATTTTTTTCCTCTAGACCACCAATTATTAAACGTGTTTTCATATGAATAATTTTCCGAACGGTACTGCAAATCTGAACTCACGGATCGTTTGGTGCCTTGGTAGCCCTTTCTGCGCCGGACAAACTCTTTTCTCTGAAAAGGCGAGAATGATAAGTTAGTGTAACTTTTCATCCATTCATTTTTATTTTCGTTTTCTAGAACCCGTGTCAAGTGGGGTCCAAATACATTGGTGTTCGGCCCATTTGATACATGTCGCTGCTATCCAATTTACAAATTTGTAAACCCTGTTAGGTATATTTTTTTTAGGTTTACCACAGGTGTAGTGCAGCAGTCGTTGGTGTTCAGCGTTATCATGTTTTTATTTTCTAGAAAATTTTTGCGTTTCGTATATCATACACGGTTACGTCGGGCATGCGTAGTCACACCAACAAAATGGACTACGTTTCTATTTTTTTTTTTTCTAATTCGAAATTAGATAATTCATTGAGAACCTTTTCGCAGAAACTGAGCTTTTTTTCTACCGTCGAGTGTGAAACTCACCTGCGAACATTTCTACTGTCTGTATCAAATTGTATAGGTTAGCATACATTTTGCAAAGACGATAATTTTGCAGCATTTGTATAAATGTTTCGCTATGAAAACTTACATTTGTTTTATATTTATACATGATCGGTATTGTGGTTCTAGCTGTGGTATTATTGCAGCGAACGTTCTTAAATCATTGCCGTGTGCTATAATGTCGGCGTATCGATTTGTCGCGCTTCCCTATTCCACGGCTTCATATTATTCCTGAATGAATTCATATTATTTTTCTACTTACATCGAAAGATTCGAAATTAGTAATATACGCGTATTATCACGGACATTTCTAATGAACTGTACATAAAAGCTGGTTGGAACACAATTGAATTCAACGGAATATTTACCCTTATAGATAAACATATTTTGTTACAGCTAGTATCTTACACGATCTTCCGTAGTGGCTTGAACTATTGGTATTTTTTTAACTGAATGAGTGAAGAAAAAAAAAAAGGAAAAACATTTTTCGTTGCACTCCAGGTGTTTAACCCGTATAAGTAGCTCACTGGACTATGTGTTGTATGAACTAAATATCTATTCTTATCTTACTATTAGGTTGTTGCAGACGAATTCGGCGAACTAAAATTCGGACGAAATCAAATAACTCGTTTTTTAAACTGTAGAATTTGGCTGGTAAATATTTCACTTCTCTAAAAACCTATTAACGAAAATTGATTGAAGTTACTCCAGTTCAAACATCTTTTAGTCTGGAAAATAAATGCTCAACAGTCAATTTTCTATTCCTAACCTATTGAAAATTGGTGAAGACATAGAGCAAGAAGGCTTTAAACGAAAACACGGTATGTGGTACAAGCGTCTTAACAACGAAGAGTCGAGGTGTTGAAGATCCGCAAAGGATGGCCAGATGAACCGCGGGGGCGTTACGCGAGAACAGAGTCTGAAATTTATGGGCTTTGCCTACCAAAACTGGCATTTCACATATAACGTGCTAAAAAATTTGCTTGTATTAATCTAATTTTAGTACTCCTTTTTCAATCATTGATATCATATATGCTATTAATTACTCTCTTCAATGCGTCACAATAACTAAAACTAGCTTCCGCTTTTAGGAATACAGACGCCGAAGGCATTGCCTTATAATGCGGCTTTCAATTTCAGCTGTAAAATCCTTCGAAATTCTGAATTGCTGTCAAAGAGGCCTCATGCAAGACGCATTCTATTGACCAAAAATCTAGGTTACACACGAGTCTCTATAGGAAGCCAAATATTAAAAAAAAAAAATAAAAAAAAATAAATTAAAAAAAAAGACTTTTCTCTAACTAGTCTCTAGGAGTTAATGCATGACTTGATATTTACGAGCGCTACTATCATGTTGTTATTACGTTAGACGCAAATTTATCTGACGGAGCAGTGGATTTATAGTTTCATTTCCTTAAACACGAGCCTTAATCGGAGGAACCCTTTTTAGAGGGCCTACACAGACAAACGCATGTCTCATCTATTAGTGCGATGATTTGCTATATGTTTTTTTGTCAGTTACTTATTGCCTCGGTTCATTATATACATTCGCGTATAGAGTGGATCTACTTAGTAAGGTAAATAGATAATTGTATCGAGATAGCTGGCATTTTTCAAGGGCTAACACGAACGCGTTACGCACGGTAATTCAAAGGATACCAGTAAGGGTAATGTAATAGATTGTACCTACACCTTGACATTTGGGTGGCTAGCGCTTTTTATGTACATCTTACTGCTGCGATATTCTAGTACCTTATAACCTGTTTGCACGGGACTTTCATTTGAACTTACAACGCTCCAGGTATAGCTATTAATTGGCGAGAAGCGTTAGATTCCGCTAAGGGCAGTCTCGGCGCTTGGCTAGAAGCTTGTATAATGAGGGGTTTGTCGATTGACAAACCAGACTGTGAGGCCGTTTTATTGGACTCGATTATTATATCACACCTGGAAGTTTCAAATTCAGGATATTTGATATGTTCTACAAGGTAAAGGAGTCCATTGGATAGCAGAAACGGCCGCCAGATAATTTTAGATCCTCTCTGATCAGATGGTAGCAATCAGTTCTGCTAATTATAATCCAGACCAAGTGCTTGAAGTTGTGTAACGAGAAGAAAACAGAGAAGTTCCACAGGCATATAGTGATAAGAAGCCTTTTATAGAAAAAAAAAAACATTTTGGATTTTACCTATAGAACAAACCTATAAAAGGTAAAAGAAAACGCATTTCCTAATCTAATAGGCAACATACAAATAACATCAGGCTATATATAATTGTACCGGATAAATAATCTCTGTGCGGTCTACAGAAAGGTGCACAGATTCAGCCGAAAATGAAGCCTAGTTACTGGTAATCGATCAAATAAAGCGAAATGTCCTTCAGTGACAAAATAAGATTTCGTTACTCACTTAAACATGCTGTTACCGCACCCGTAGATAAGCTGTTCACCAGAGGTTCAAGTGGCAGATCATCTAACTATCCGTGTAGGGGACATTTTCAAACAGTGGATATTTGTTGCTTGTCTTCTGTGGAAGATCCAACGTGATGACTGATCGATCAGATCCGTTACAACTCCACTGGAGTCAATAGCTTGTTTTAGTGTCGATATAACAACGAATATAGAACGCTTACATCGATTGAGGTCGAGGTGCACGTTCAACGGCCAACTCTAATTGTTACGTTTACCACCGCGGGCACTGAGAGGGGACTGAGCACGAATGGCGGAGCTACGAGTAACATGAATTGGAAAGTGCTGCGGCCGAAAACGCGGCTCGTAGATCATGCGATGACATTTAGGGGGATGAACCAGAGCGGCCTTCCCGTAGTCGCAACACGAAATGCGTTAATACAAGCAGATCTGATGAATTCGGAGAGCACGGCCTTCGTGAAGGCGGACGCACGAGAAAATTAGTTAACCACTGTAGAATATAAGCTACATGTTAGTAGTACAGGTACACTACACCTGTTAGACTGTTTCCAAATTTAATTGAACGCTAGATTTAATAATCTGAATAGTTAGAATCGGAAGATAACTGTTAATTAGCGCTGGGACAGTGTCAGATCCGCACGGTTTCACGGACTGTCACAGTGTAGCCAGGTGCGTTCACAGGACAAAATGGCGATTGCGTGTGAGGTAAGCGAACTAATCAAACGTGGAGAGATTCACTCTCCAACGTTTCGGGTACACCTCACAATTAGCCCGTTGAACGTCAGAGGCCGTTCTGACTAATCGGACATCGTCGCCCTAGAATGCGCCTCAGATGAGTGCTTAATAATTTCGGATATTGAACCATCGATGATCTGTTGATACCCGTATGAAAATAACAACAGAATGCTAACATTGATAATAAACACTCCCAATATAAGATTACACTCTATGCATTTCGTTTGACTTTCCGACTCGGATAGATTATCAGGCGGGCAACAAACTTTTCCCGTCTAGGATGCATCTCCACATGAATGAGGATTATACAGTTCGCTTTCGGTAATTTTTTTCTATGTGCATAGGAATCTATTGGAGCAGCCCAAAGCGATTAAGTTCTGCTCTAGCGTTTAGCGCAAAGGTTCTCTGCGGGTGTTGACACCAAACGAAGGCAACCAAAAAAAACACTGATCTAATTCAGATGTCTGAATCCTTATGCAGACGATATGTATAATCTATAGAGATGTTCAAACAAAAAAAACATTAAAAAAAAATTTTAAAAAATCAGAAACAAACCGAATTACATCGTTCTCGAAAAATCCGTCGAATCTTCGTTGAACGTTTGCTTAGTAAATGTAAAATTATTGGTTCAATGGGATACTGCCAATTTTTAAGTTAAAGGTAATCCGTACAAAATATTATAATATTGATCCATGAATATACGACAGCAGCTATATAGGCATAAAGCGAGTGTCCGTGAAGCACTATTTTCTGCCGGCCAACGGCAAGGCCAAACCAGTTCGATATATTTATATACAGGGTGCTTTAAAAATGTCTACATAGCTTAGGTGACCAAAGCTTCAATGAAAATCGCAGTTTATTTATTAGCATCTTCTAGTGCAGGTGCCTGAATGGTTACCGTCCTAGTCACCATAGTACGAGCTATTGATAACGAGGGATTATTGGCTTACAAACGTCACAAGTACTTCTTTTAGTGTCATGGCGCATTTTAGCTCAATTGTGACTCTTATATAGTTCTGGATTTTACGGATCCGTGCTGGACGAGCATTATATAGAACGTATTTCCCGGCAAGGTTGCATCTTACGTTTAAATTGCGAGATGAAGCGCTTCCATAACATCTTCATTATATACAACAGCCTCAAATACTTCCTAATACTATTTCATAGTTAAACGTTTCAGTAGAGCCTCCCATTGTACGTTACTAAAGGGTTATACTATTGAAAAAGATCAACAATCAATGTTTTCTCCTCAATGACTGTTCTTCTCAATGACTGAATGACAATTCTTATTCAAATACTTTAAAGCTTTGGAAAGCAGAGAGAGAAAAAAAAATTTGAGAATAAGAGCGTTTAGTTCTAAAAAAAATAATAAAAAGAGTAGCTTTTTTCAGATGATTAAATGGCTTTAGTTTGACAAGGGTTAACTCGCAAGTCTACTGACAACAAAATAAAAAAAGTTTCGAATGCCCAACAAACACATTAACCCTATTTGATTCTCCCCTGCTAGGTAAAGAGTGCTATATGCCCATTCAGTCGGTTTTTTTAATTATGGAGTGCGTAGGACGCCAGCTATTAATGGCAAAGAATCCATACTTCACTGCTAAGGTATTCATTTAAGACTTTAGGACTCTCCTAGTAAACTCTGTATCTCATATCATAGGTTCCTACTTATGGTTAATCTAATTCCATATAGAACGTCCAAGGAATCTTTCGGTCGAAGCCGAGGAGCCCGTTTTTCTGATTGGGCTCATATCATTTGGTATAATACTGCAATTGTTAGGTACGTAAACTTACTGTACGTTGTAGATAACGGTCCGTCGACCCTTAAACAGTTTAGCCAATCTGCATAGAATCGTCATTGTATTGCACGTCAACCATTCATTAATAAGCACTATACGGCAACGTAATTTTCTTCACTCTTATCTTGCAATCAATACCGGATGTTTCTAATTATCCACAGGACACTTTTATTCTTTCGGTACATATGGTCAAGCTCCGATTGGCCACCACGAGTTTATCTATAACATGGATCACACCAGTTGCATTTATGATACGGTACTAAGCCGACCCGCAAATTATGCGCGCGAACCGTAAGTGACGGTGCCTTTCTGTTGCCTTTGCCTCCATCGGCATAACGTACTGACAAATCGTCAATAACCGATTGATCGTTGGAGGATACTTGGCCACTTGGTCTACCACTACCGATGACAAATGTGTCAACCGTCAGCGCCAGCGGTGGCAGTAGTGGTATTTGAAACAGTGGAAATAGCAAGGACCCAATTCAGCCAGTAACTAACTAGCGGTGCAGGGGAGCAAATGAGGCTCGAATCTGCGCAACAGGCGCGCGTCACACTCAGGACAGATCTTCTGTCTAGCTGCTGCTGCTGCTGCTGCCAGTGCCACTGCGTAATGCAGCGAAAACAAGGAGAATCAAAGGTGAGAGGCGAGAAGGTTGAAACTGAAAGGTATACACAAGTCCCGTCCAGTGAACGCAAATTGTATCTAGCGTTTGCCCCGCAATAAGTATATATTCACGTCTAAGCAGAGCGGGGCAATAAGCAACTAACAAATCAACCGGCTAGCGCTTATCAGCGCGATAGGCAAGAGCTCTTTATTGTCAAAGGCGCACCACTCATCAGATATATACTATCCTAGCTGCATTGAAAACGACCATGACGATGGCAACTGCAAATTTAGCAACAGTGGTAAGAACACGAGGAACCGGTGACAGTTCAGCTGAGAGCCAAGGTAAGTAAACACACGGGTGTGTATGCGAGTGCTACGCCATCTGTTCGTTACTGCTTTTCAGCTGCAGAAAGCCCAAATTGCGATCATTCCAACTTAACGACTCAAGCCACGCAGAAAAACACACGTGCATAGAACCGTTACTAACAACATGCACGCATGGCCGGTAAATGACTAGTGTCGCATTGCCCTTTTCTGACCGAAAAAAGGGCCCACTGTTAGCGAAAGCGACATCAATGAAAATGCTAGAATGCGGCGGAAGACGATGATGTTAAGGTTGAAGGTAATCATCGAAAAAAGACGGACTGTAGATTTACGGTTTCGTAATGTGCAAAAAAAAAACAACAGAACAAGAGAAAACAACAGCAATGGATCATAGAGAGGTGCGATGACTCGAAGAAGCGGAGTCAATCGCAGTGTGAGATGACCTGTGCATGGGGTGGAAGCAATAATTGGTCGGAAGTTGGCGGATGACCTCGTCAACTGCGGTGCTAGGACTCACTTATTCGCGTTTGTATACGGCTTATTCTCTTTCGGATGCTCATTGACGACAAATCACTAGAGAAATGATCAAGATGTGCTTGTTCACGCACTAACATATAACTGAAGAACTGATTGTTTTTATTGACTTTTGTGCCCGGGGTTGTTGGTCCGTCAGATCCTGAGATTTACCGAATCTAACAGAAATGCTGACCCCCCATGTCTAGGGCTGTATACATCGATTCTATAGGGCACCTTTAGTGTTTGAAAGTTGCTTGATTGTGACGCAATCAATAGATCTTAACTAATGTTTTACTATAAAATAAAGACCATTACGTCACTACAATCTTACGAACGGCAAACAAGCTGATTGATCCGATCTGCCGGTCTCTTTATTCGTGCATGTATAAATTCTTCAACATCATTCCAGAAACGCTTGCCAACTGCCGTTTGTCGCCGATACAAACATTAGCGGCGCTACAGGTGGATACATCGATGCCAACCTTTCACCATCCGAACTCGTCCACTTATTATTATATGCTGCTATATATTATAACAAGGCCGTGTTATAACAAGACAATTATCGACCTGAATAATGGTCCTTTGCTTAAAAGCTGCAGCGCCTTTCTATCCGAAAGAAGTTGAAATCCGGAATTATGTAGCGTCACGATATACGTCCAGGATATTCCTAATCGGGTACTTCATCTAAAGTATAAATAATTATGGCTTATGTACTCATGCATAAAGCGAACAGTGATCCGTTTGCATGCAGCGCAGTAAGATTCGAGGTAAGTTAAAACTAGCCGCGGTAATGGCAGGTAGTCATAACGGAGTTGTTCAAGTGGTTATTATTATCAGCCGCAGGCCAATGCCAATACTCACGCTAGTTACTTACACACATTGAGATATTATCTTTTACATAGAAAAGGCACCATAGTAGGATAAAACTAATAGATTGTAAAATTTCAGGCTATATACAACATCCAACTTCTATGTAACTAGCTAGCTGAATAAAAATACATTGTGTTTCAGATAAAAACGAAACAAGATAAAAATATCCACTTTGGTTTTAATTGATTCCAGGTTCCATACCTGCAGACAACCATATATCATTAGCGTGCGCTGTCAAGTTTTTCTCAAATTATATTTTTTTTTTCAAAAAGTAGATAGTTATTTTCATTTTCGCGCGTTGAACACGTGTCTTTCTTTACCTCGCATCGGCGACATGTGATCGCTGAAATATGCACAAACAGCTGTAGGTTATAAGCCCACTATCATTAAGTTGCTACCGTTATTTAGCGCTGGTGTCGTACATATAGTAGTTGATTGACAATGCCGGAACTAAAAAAAATTTGTCTGCAATTACCTACCCGAAATACTATATTCAATTGTGAACATTTCTTTCGAATAACATTTAGCATAGGACATTTGTTTCCATATATTTGCATTGTTATAATATAATAACAACAGTATGATATTAATCTACAGCAAAAGTGTGAACTATTTAAACATAAATTTACTTTGTTTTTCGTCGTTAGTAGCTATACGTATAGAGCGTTCCAAGACCCGAAGCTAACCATTGCGGCAGCAGCGGAGCTTTGTAAAAAAGCATTTCTTCTGATAAGCCTCTTCAGACCTACAGTATCCGAAGTTGAGATTTATGGAAAGAGTCATTTATTATTTGAAGCATTGCGTAGTTACCTCGTGCACACTGCCCCGAAAACGACAATATTCTAATATAGACGATAGTTTGCTTCCGTACTTTTCAGATGACACCACATAGGTACCAATGAAACAAACAGAGTGCTGATATGCTTGATATTGGCAAAATAATCAAATGGATAAATTATTTTTAGTCTACAAAAACTAGCTAAACAGAAGGGACTTTACCAAACAGAAGTTCACAACAATAAAAAAAATTCACTGAAAATAAGTTGACACATACTTTTGACACGCATTTAATATACTCTTCATACACGCTAATTCTCATTAGGTTTAAAACCTGTTTACGACCTGTTGCAACGGGTCTCATGTATGTATGTTCTACAGATAAACAGATACACGGCGGGCACGTTTGTGTCACTTAATTAAGTAAATCGAGCCTTCCAGTTAACTCAACCCTTAATAAGCCTTTGTTTACATCCTACCATGTGAAATCCGGCGTCATCGATCCGTCTGACAACGAGAAATAAATTGGTAATTAAAACACTCTAGCTGTCCTTAGTAGTAATAATGTAAACCTCCTCCTTCTGTAAACTTCGTTCAGTAAATTCAGGCCGCAATAAGGTGTCAATGTCTAAAGTCTTATTGGTGAAAATTTAATTTCAGGTACGCTCCATAAACATTACTACTGGAAATCCACAATTTGACCTTTGTAGCACACGTTTGCTTCGGGTCAATAAGTAACAATCTCAGTATCTATTACGTTAGCGAAAAACTGAAATCGGTTAACAACAGGAAGTACTATTCTGCTGCTCGTACTGGGTTCGAGTATACTTTGTATAGAGTAAAATTTTCATAACCAGAGAGAGAATGGCACTGGCCTAGGACAAGTTACAGCAATTGAATTAGGTTCAACAGAGGAAAAGCATGAAATGCCGTAGAGAATATATAAGCTTTTTTGTTATTACTCATGAATGTCCAGTTAAAGACGCGCACATTTTCAACTTAAATCGTCCAACTTCCCACTTTGCCTTGATGAAACTTTCCATCCAATTATAAACCTACCAAATCCAAAGGCGACTGTATTAAATGGAGAGAATTAGTTATGTGGTTTTTTCTAAAATAGATATTCACGCTGGTGTACTCATAGCTATAACGGCTAGCGTACAAAATCCACTTGGCGCTGAACGAGCTTAGCAGCTGCTTGATGATTCAATGATCCGTAGCCGTGAAGATTCCAATGCCACCTCAGAAGGGGCGTGGACGCAATACTGGCCTGTTCGGTTTCTTCTCGTGGCATAAACTTTCGTTGCTAAAAACTGCAACGATATACCGATCACTTTCGGATCAACTGGACAGTGGGTTGTAGTTGACCGATGATTGCTTTGTAGCTCATCCCCTGATCTGCGGGTACTAAATCCCCCAGATGGGAGAAAGGGCGAGAAGTAAAAGGGATTATATATAACATCTCGAAGACACTTGAGGTGCCTTTGGGGTCCACTGTAGTAAATAGACATTGCTTGGCTGGCGGACGAGTGGCTCGTACAGCGCGTGGATATCGTCGTCCACATGCCATGGACAAACTGGGCCAAACAGTTAATTTTAGCATGGCGTAAATGCTTATGGGCTCAATGTTGTAATCTCTCTTTTTTCCGCGCCCTATCTGCTTATCTATTAGCTAATTACGAAGAGAATGAGCTCTGCAATTATCTTAGTCGTATTATTGCTATGACGATAGTCAGCGTTACGTTTAGGAAAAGTTTTCTGCGCGTTATTCGGCTGTCCACTTACCGTCGAGACGCCTGGACAAGGTGACTGCCTCGTACCGACAAACAGTTAACGTTGCGATACCATACGGCGATTCTGGCTGTTGGGTAGCAGTGCAGAATCGTTGTGAAGAGCTAGTGATATTATTTTTATCGTGTCTTCTAATGGGAAAAGCTCAACTAGTAACACATTAACCGGTATTAAACAGTAAACTATATCAAGTGTTGAAAAACTATTTGACAAACCAATATAATAAGTGGGTTCGGTTGGATCCACTAACGTTTCTTAAATAAACAGAACTAAATGCCGAGGGATCGACACTGGGGATCTAAACGCCACATGTTTCAGATTATCCTTGCACTTCACGGCTCACTTCTAAGCCTCAACAAGCTAGTTGATATCTTCAAGGGTGGTTGCATGAGCGTACACCTTGAGTATCTATGGTATATATATATATACCGACATGAATCGAAAATAATTAGCGTTCAGCGATATTTCTCAAATGTTTTTTCTAGGAATTTTGAAATTATTTGTTAGACAATATTTTCTGTAACTGTTCTAGCTTGACGCCTCACTGCTTAGATTATTATCGTAAACGTGAGAAATTATGCTGGACACGACGTCGGCTGATCTCCTTGTTTTTGTTTGACGGACAGTGATGACAGCATCCATATTGGCCTAGTTAAAAGGCCTTGAATGTTCTATACAATTTGTACCGTCAATCTACCTACCTCTTGTTGATTTTCGTTAGGTCCTACACAGTTTAAAAGTGTTATTTTGCAAGGTTACCACATAAGGTTATTACCATCTCCCTACCTGACGCATCTGTCCACAAACTTAGATAATATGTATCGTGCGCAAATGGCAAAGAAGCCAGTTTCTAAAATCAATGGTGTGAAAAAAGTTTGAAAGCACAGTAAAGGTTGGAAAGGCGTACTTGACACATCCCTTCTGATGACTTTGAACAACTGTAGAATAAACGAAGTTTTCTTCTCCTTAACCTGGTCAATATTGACGTTATTATTGCATCTTATCTTAAATACAAATTACAATTTGCAATGTCATTTTTTTCCCTTTCCATTACCTTTTCCATAGAACTCTCAAAAGAAAATTTCCGTTTCCCCTACAACGGCGTTCACTGCTGGTTGAGCTACACACATCTGGAAGTCATGTACTGACTTGTTCGGCGCCCTCTTCCTTCCAGCCTTTACTCAATGTATATCACTTTAATGGAGCTCCATACATTAACATCAAACCTGAGGCAGATCATACATTCGGATTCTGCGAGATTCTGCAATCTACTTCGATAAATCAAAACCTAAATTTTTCTACAGAACGATTACCCATATCACTAACCTAAAACCTTTATTGCATGGTTAATATTGTTCTCCAAAATATGTAAGGCCTTTATCGGTCCTAAAAATGTATTATACCCATTTAATTTCTATACAGTGTAGCCCAATTGCACGAGCGCCTGAACTATTACCCTCTCTGAGAATCTACGCGTATATTCCGAAAATTTAGACGACACTTTAGCCAAACTCACCATTTTGTATGATACAAGCTTTGTGGTTATCAAATCGCAGTCATTCGTCGGATAGACGACAGTAACTGACAGAAAAAGGCCAGCAGTTAGTTACGATTTCAGCATACGCAATATTCTATCAAATCCGTCACATTAGAATCAATGTACGATTCACTATAAATCGGAGTATTGGTATCGTCGAGTTACCAGATGATTAAATAAGGTAGTGACCAATTCGAGCTTAAGATAAGCCAAACTCGCAAGAAAATTCTAAGGGTAAGAAAAATATAGACCTAGATATATTTTCTGCCTGTTAAGAAACATTGAATCAGGTAGGTGATTTCTACATGTGATGTAGAAAATAGGATATCTTGTCAACACTGTTCTATTTACGAGAGTGACGTATAGGTTATTTATTATCATTCTACCCAAAAGTAGCAATAGATATGCTTTATACAAGTATTACAGTGCGGTTTATAATTTGTACCACAAAAAACATAGTAGCCATAGTTATTTGGGAACCTGGAACAATTTCAATTCGGTTGCACGTAGCTTTTCCGTAGGAAACATACTGCACTGCCTTAAGTCGATATTGATTTCGTACTTGGAATTGAGCTGAATTGTTTGACAGGTCTGGCCATAAGTTCTAAAATCTATTACGAGCAACAACGCCCGAAATGAACCTAGTCGACAGGTAGAGGTTGCTTCCTTTGCTTGTAAAAGAGCTTCAATCATAGAGGAGACAGATATACATTCCACCTTTTTCAGATAATTTATCCACGATGTAACATTACGGGATAGAGTAAAAAGCAAGCGTGCATTGAAAAATAGGTGTTTTTCCTTAGGCTTTTCCTTCCCATTTGTAACACACAGCAAATACCACGTCGTTAACGTTAACACATTTCCATTTATTAACAGCGACATAATGCAATGTAATTGGCTGGCTGTCAGTCGAATTCTGCTACCCAAAGTAAACGGTACGGAAACTACTCAACGAAGACAGGGAGATCAGCGAGCGAAGGACCAGGCAGTCCAGATTCATCAAGGGTGTATGTTTGCGAAGACAGCGTTATAAAATATGCGCGTCTTTTGCGAAATACTACGTGACCCTAACATCACCACATGTTGGTAAAAGTTAGCAATTTTTTTTTAAGAGTCTAGCTCAGGTTTTACAAGTAGCTATCCATTACAGCCAATGTGATTTGTAGCCTCTAGCGATAGTTCAGCAACGCATATCCGCAAATTGGTGTTATTTTTTTCTCAGCTGAGTGGATTATACTGGTTTTATCGCATGTGGACATGTTTATTAAAAAATAATAATACTATCAATAATACTGAGAATTCACGTTTTATTATCGGCTCGTAAAGCTGTCCGTTACAAAATAATGCTTCGAGTACGGCCTTAACAAAAAAATAATCATAAAAGGATAATTCTCTAGATAGGTGGAATCTATGCCCCGGGGCTATCACTCCTATTCAAATTACTGATCTAAACAGATAGTTTCTACCATTCGTTTTGCGACGTCGTACGGATCACAGTTCGATGCGGGCCTTCGGTCCTCAAAATAGCCACGGCCAACGTCAGCCACATGCCGAGGTATCCGCACTGCCGCAGATCGATCTGCCACACCCCAAGTAAAGTTGTCGAGTTTTGGACAAAATAAGCCCTTTTCCAGGCGACGCTGATTATCCGCTCCGCCCCGTGGATCGCAGACTGCAAGATGTTCCGGAACACGTTTCGATAGCTTCTTAATGGCTGCGTAGATTGCGCTGTAAATAAACAGCAAAAAGTTGGCAACAGTTGTGCAATAGTGAACGATCAAAAGAAGCATTTGTTGCTCGCTCTACAGGCCGGGCAGAAACAATCTCAGATCCATGATCCCAAAAAACATATTCTGAGATGGATCGATCTGTCACTATGAATTCCTTCGAAAAAAATGTGTAAAGTAATTTTGCCTCTTGTCATTATCTTGAAAGATATAAAATTCAGATTGGGTATTTTTTATTGAAATTTGATGTAGAAGCTGACTAACATTACTAGCTAACTAATTACTACCTAATACACATTTACTTTTGGCCTTGAACATAGCGTATAGGAAAAAATTGGGCTCCGTATACTAGCTGTTGATTTTTGAAGCTTGCGACGAACTATTATTATAATCGTCCTTCCTTAAGTTTGTTGTCCTAGAAACATGTTTACATTAGAAACGTCATATGTAATTTTGAGGTCAAACGAGTAGACAGAAAACTTCTTCAGCCTAGTTGGATAAGCATCTAGTAACCTTTCAGATACCCGCCCCCTAGACGATAATAGATAATATTGACCTCATTCCTCCTTCCGAACGCGTTGCTTTTGTAGAAACGTTGACATGACACCCGGTTCCAGTCCACGGGCCTTCGATCGGTAGGGGATCAAACGTCACGTAAATGCCGAAGTCTTCAGAACAACGAAGTAGAATGTAACGAGCTGCAAGCATATGATCTCCAATTGCAACCCCCTCACACGGGCCTACCTGAAACTCCCACTGTGAGATTGTCGCTTCAGCATTTGTTCCGCTAATCGTAACCCCGGCGTACAAGCAAGCTAGATAATGCGCATCTGACAACGCCCGTCCGTGCACACGGTCAGAGCCCACACCGCAGATATAACCCCGACATTCTAAAACAATACACGCATGGTACAAGCAAAAATTGAGAAACGGATCGTAACGAATATCTAGGTACAATATGTGTGTAGTTGAGTGTATACGAGAAAAAAAAGAGAATAATATTAAGTAGTAAAAAAACAAAAATCTTGCGGGACCTGAACAATTGCTACTTGATATTGACTGGTATACAATTATTTTAGAGAAGCAAAGTTCTTACTCACCAATGGGAACGTTTAAGTGAATTCTTATTGGCCAACCCAACGGTTTACCCTCCGTATCAAGCATCGTGTACTCCTGTTCCATACCTATCTGTACCTCTTGGTCGGCACAAAGCCGCATGACTTGTTCGCAAGCCGTACGTTTATTTGGGCCGAATGGCTGTCCATTACGGGTCGCGTCACATACAACAAGTTTGTTGGCTCCGAGCAGAAATGGATCTTTGAACAGAGCAACTGGTACGAGGGTGACGTCGCTATCTACCATTCTGTCACTTACCCCAAACGACCATTTTGGCACATCTGTAACACGGTTCACAAACGCGGTGCCCGTCATGTCATACCTTAGCAACATGACGATGACATGATCACGAAATTGAATCTCATTGATATACGTATACTTGGGTTACAAGGCGACTTTTTAGCACTCGTTACGAAGCTGTTATACATGCTTTCATCAATTTTACAGGATTGTCACTAACCGTACGCGCCTTGTAGTCAGCCTGTTGCTAAATCAGCTTATACGGCCAGTTGTACTACGATATTCGTATCGAATTCAACTCAGTAACTCATTTACTGGAATCAACATGGCCGCGTAACATGTGATCAGGAAATATGTTTTTCTTACCATGAATTGAAGCAGGCTCTTTAGACAGTGTCCTGGATTTAGCGCATATACTCCCATAGTAATTCACAAATATATACGTAGCTATTGCCTTCGATCCCTCTGGTTTGATCTTAAGGTAACGCCCGAGGGCTGTTTGCAGTTGGAGCACATCCATTGTAGAGGAAAATCGCCTAGGATATTATAAACAAAAGCCTTCCATTCAATGTCAGTAAATAGGTTGCTTGGGGCTAATACGTACTCATTTTCGTTTATAAAATACGTTGCCGTATTGGGCATTTGGTAACGGAATTCAAACTGCTCACGTTGTAAGTAATATAACGACCTCATACAAATTATATAGAAAACGTGAAAATTCAGTTTGTGTGTTCTAGGGCCACCTGCTATCACATTTTTATATAAACCTATACTAAAACGTGTATCAACCTCTGAAAAACAGTATCAAATTGAAAAGCCTATATATAGCGAAGCAGAGATTTATAAGTTAGTTTATAGAAGAAATACGTTTTGACTCAACTCAAATAATTCTGTAAAGTCATAACTTGTTGTTATTACAACACACCCAGCCTTGGCCGAAGCGATATTGTAATTGAATTGCTTAGAATCACGCTTACAATACAGATCAGGTCTACAAGACTGTGCAAGGGGTAGGGGGTAGGGGGGGAGAGTGGTAGCGTTAAACCAGATTGCATGCATTTGTCGTTGATCCAGTCGCAACGTACATTCGCCCACATACACGACGTTAGATGTTTACTATAATACAAGTGATTTTTTTTCGAATAACGACATTAGGCTAGCGTTTCCAGTCATTTGTCCGTTCGGCAAGCTAGCTTCCATGCTAAATAGTACAAAGTTCATGCGATCTATTATAAGGGAATCAATCAATAAGTTAATCTACGAGTTTGCCATTACTCATTGAAGATATCGATGTTCGAGAGATAGTCCTCGTTACTTAGAAGTTCTAGCAATGCGCCAGATACGCTGCACCTCTTAATTCACACACTCCTTCAAAAGAAATTAGGATTTGTTGTAAAGGTGCGATACCCTTTTGGTAGAGTCTGAGAACTGGCCCGATCTATAAACGGTGGTCTGGTGACTGAAGCCGCGTAAATCGTCAGCTACATTTTGCCATCTTCGAATCAGGACAAAACACTTATTTAACATTGTGAATTTTAATTACTATGCCTCATCTATTACCATATTGTTGTTTATAACTCCCCCGCAATCCGTTGTCAAGGGCTCTGTTCGATAAAAAGACGATAATGCTGTTTGAAAAGCAACTGATTTCCAAAAGTAACTGGTTAAAGCAGCCAACCATCTTTCTTTGCTACTCATGATTTTAGACTTACATGACGAACAGGAGTACTTTTGTAGATTATAGATTTTTAGTAGGATATTGATTTCGTTGTGCTTTTACCTTTAAAGTTCGTATTTCTGCTGTCCAGGATATTCTTTTGTTTTTTAGGGGTAATCTTGTACGGACACATGGATGTCCTTTTGCGATATAAAATCTGTCCATCTCACACTGAATTGTTTCATGGCAGCGCCTTAAACAAAACCAGATATAACGCAAGATGCGTCCCCCGTTAGAGACACATTGATAAAGAGCAGTAGAGCAAAAAACTCTCTGGAACTTCTCAAAAAGGTCACTTTCGCGTTTCAGAAGTGTGGCCTCTTGACAAAAAGAACTCAAAGCTTCTTTCTACAGTGTACCTGTTTTTAGACACAGTGCAAAAGGGACTCACAGAGCCGCCAAAGAATCAATAGGAGAAGCGAGTGAACAAAGACGGACAGAGGCTCAATCAAGGTATGCAGAGATGTACTGGAATTCGACATGATCTGTTTAGGCTTAGTCACCGCAATGTCATCTAGGTGAAATAGAATGGAGGTGGAGACTATATATATATATATAGTGAGATAGCCTGACAACGTGTTATGAACGATTGATAATGGAACGAGATTAATGAGATAAAATGTAGATTGGCGGTATGGGTGCCTGCAGAGATCGGGAAGAGTTGAAGGATAATGTTTGCATTCAGTATTATACAGTAAGCCGATTCATCATCATCAACTTTCATGTTAGTGATGCCTGCCTTCAATGTAAAAGATTTTGCATACAAAGTATGTAAAGAAAACTATGCAAGTGTCAAGTTGGATCAAACTGTCAGGACATGTTGTCCCATTTTCTTTTGCTTAAGACCTGTGTAAAGTAAATACGGCTTGACATTCATAACGCCTGCGCCGATCTCATCTTTTATATTGCAGTATTTAAATACGGAACCTTTAGAAGCGGTCTAAATTTACTTGCGCGGCAATGTGGTATCCAGAGAGGAAATTTCACTTACTATTGATCACAACGTTAAATTAGTATAGTTTACACATCTTCTTACAAGACGATTGTGCCACACTCAGGTGTCTATGAACTGCTACCGAACATCTCGGTCGCATTTATATAGGACCTCATGTTAGCAGTTAACAGCAGGCTTTACCCTCGCCGGCGCTTAACACACTCTCATAAAGCCAAGCGAGATGTAGTGTGGCCTGTTTGCCCGTCGTAACTGACCAACCCAGTTTGTGTTTTGCTACTGCATTTCGTTTACCGACAAAGTGGACATGAATGGAACACCTAGATCCCATAATAGAGCGGATAGTTCTTTGCAAAAAAAGAGCGTCGTTACTCGCTTGGAAGAACGGACAAAGTAACCGCGCAGGACAAACCAAACGCGAGGACAGCTGCATGGCGAAGCTACCGAATTGCAAACGCCGCTTGCCTATGGCGGCCACGATGGGGACACGATAAACCCACTTCACGCGAATCAAGAAGCATGTAACATACAGCTCACAGATTTATTGATTAAATACAGTGAAATACTGTTATCAGATCACATGACAGAGATTACCACGCTAGGCCACAACAATGATGACTGAAGGTAGCACTTATTCTAGTGAACGATTTGGTAAATTTCACAAATTCGAACATCGGCTCGACCACGTATAACGCCGGATGTCGTCTGACACTTTACGACTATAATGGTCATTCGGACAAAGATTAATATTAAGAAAAATACCGATCGACACAAAGGTATGGCCTAAAGTGTTCGTTGCCAGGCTTGTCCGTGTTTTAGCACACAGACAAGAAAAAAGACACTTGAACGCGTCAATAATATTTATCGAGCATCTCTGTCGATAAAAACATCTAATCCTGTTTCTATTAATACTAGCAGTCTCCGTATTTTCTCATCTGTCGGCGCTTGAAAAATGTGCCCAGTTATTGGAACCAAAGCATTTTATCAATTTCAAAAGATTCTTCAAAAGCACTGCATCGTACCATATTCTCCTCTTTCGATTTCTCTCTCTCTCTCTCTCTCCCCCCTCTCTCTTTGTTAAAACCTCTTCTAATATTATCAGTAATAATAGGACACACGTGTATACCATCCACCAGGATCCTTCAGGATTCAATCGCCACGAAGATACTGCCTGCCCTGCTAAATGAGTTATTTTTCGTTATATCTAGCTAGTCCGTTGGTTAGTTATCGTTTTTCGTGCGATAGCGGGTTTGTTAACGCCGGTCAGCGCTTGTTTCAACTTATAGCTAATATCGCACTGCTGTTACTCGGAGTACAGCCGACCTAACTACTGATTGACACACCTCAACCTTTCCAAAGTTAATTTTTGGCCAACATGCGATCCGCATTAAAAGCACTAGGCACTAGTAGAAAAAGTAATCGTGGATGTCTAAAGAAGCACCGGATTGGGATCACCGGAGGTCTACAAACAAATGTTCTGGGCTTTCTGACCGGTATTATCTTTGATTATTTTTTCAGACTAGCTCCCAGCAACAAACGAAGTGTATGTGAGCCCGATGCAAAGTTCAAGCTGCATACTCACACTAGGACAATACTGGGACCTATGATTATGGCTGCTGGGTCTTCGGAAAATTTATTCACGAAGCTTGACTTGCATTGCGCAAGCGCAATATTTTTTTGCAAATAATTTTTTTTTAACGTGTTCCATAAATGTATATTGATTGAATGTATCAAAAATTATTTTGGCACATTTTTATTTCGATTAAAGAAATCTCGAGTCCTTCACTTTGGCTACCTCAAATATTAGGCTTTTCAAATGTCATTTGCTGATCCCTCGTTCAATGTCACTGCAATGCTGAAATAATTAGCGGTGAGTTATATTATTGCATAAACAACTGTATCTTGTGACTGCCAAATGTCCTTCAAAAAAATTATTATGTCCTCAAAATTATGATCAGTAAAATACGTTTGGTATGTTGCTGAAAGGGTGTAACCTCTATAAGCTAGATCCCTCTGTGTGAATTTTAGCTCTATCGTTGAAAGCCTATACTACAGTTCTCAGAGGATCGGTAACACACATAAAAAATCACGCCTTCCTCGGGATAGTGAAAGAAAGTTTTGCTAATCGCTCCGTTATTCTTGCAGGCTGGGGGTTGTGAAATGCTCATTTGACCCAACGTCGCCTTAAGCCTTCGGGTGGTAACAGCTTGCTTTTATTAATGCCCAGTGATCCCCTGGATACTATGATTTGACTACTGCATGTATAGCGTCTCCGTGGTAGCGCAGTGGATAACATGTTTGACTTAAAGTTAAGAACACCAAGCTTTTCCAGATTCATATCCAAACTATACATTGTTCAATTTGTGTTCGTCGAAAAGAAAGAGCTGCCAGGCTGCCGATTTGGAGAAGAGCGCGATGTGATTTTAAAGTTAAGTTTGTTTTTTTAAGTTCCTGAATTTCTTCTTCAACTATGCGACCGCTGACTTATAAGATTATTGACTCACACATATTGGTTTTGCTTATTTTCTTGAACATACAGCCCATTGTAATCCACAATATGTATGAAAAAGTTATCTATTACACGCTACAAATCAATATACATAGCATGCATAACATAATTTACAAACAAAGATTTTTTTCAAACAAGTGAAACTAAACGCCACTGGCAGAATATTAGCTAAAAGCAGTGAGCACACTTGCTATACTGCGGTCACCACGAGGTCTTCATCCGTAAGGTAGAGCTTGCCGGGCTCCTTGGCGGAAGTGTCAGAACTCACGGTTGTTAAATCTGTACTATGACATGTCTTGTAAGAAGCTCGTAAGTCTTCTTTGCTCATAAGTTTATAGAATACAATCCGTTCTTAACGTTTGAAAAGCGTGTGCATCTCCGTGCAAATATAAACTAGATCGCTATAAACATCATTTCAATATATGGATTTATGAAATGTTTTACTTAATAGTCCGATTCCTTGATCGTAAGCATATATGTAAGGATTATCTACACAAGCACAAAACGTGTTAGATTACTAGTATATGATGTTAAACTTACTGTTATTACTCTCAAAATGAAGAAACTTGTGAATACTAATAAAAATGATATAAATACGAAAAGAAATAAAAACGATAAGTATCGTATTTGCCATGACACACTTATACACCCCTTTTACCGCGCCGTAGTTTTTTTTTATAATTAAAAATAATTTCCGATGACGTAATGGTATTATGTTCGATGGCGAGGTGATAAGGTTTACATATGTGAGCTTAAAAAATTTCGATGGTCAATTCGACCGGTAGTGGTTTAGTAGGACCAACACTAATTGCATCAATTTGATGAAAACCCGTGGGTATTTAAGATGGCGGGTTCGGTTTTTCTTTTTTGTCTCTTTACACCTAAACAAGCAAAATTGATAATATCGGACGTTGGATACGCTTCCCTATAATCAGAATAACTATGACAGTTGCCGCAGATTCTAGTCTAGTTTCCTTTAAAAAAATTGTCGGCGACGATGACGCCTGTTTCTTGCAAAATGGGTGTGCCAATATACCTACCTGTAACTCCTAAATCAAATGTATCTTGTTTCATATCCGGTACCGCCATGAGGCGCTCAATCAGACGGCTGGCTCCCCGTAGCAAACGGGGTGCCCACGGCCGCATACGGTCGCAGGCGCTCTGGCAGCGGTGTCGTTCTGGTTTAGATAATTAAGCGCTCTTCGTGAAAATTGTCATTCAAAGTGGTGGACTCTTTAACCAGACAAATAGTATGTGAGATGCGTTAGGTTAAGTGATGCAATTTGTATGTCAGCTCTCAGCGCGTGCATAAATCGTTGGAAGGTTCGCTCTATGAAAGACGCTGATTCTTGGTGAGAAATAATAATATTTTGTTCGAGTTCTTCTTAAATCGTGGACAAAATGAATATAGAAAAAGATGCAATTACAAAATACCGTTACAAATGATTAATTCCTAATAATTAAATAACCTAACCACAAAGACTAAAGTTCTTTCGGGCGGATTCGAAGACAGCTTCGAGATCTCTAAAGGCTGCATAGTTGTAATACCAAAAGCTACTGAAAATCCGCTTGACATTGGGAAGTAGGGTCTTAAATGCCGTTTCGATCAAATGCTCCTTACTGCATTCATGATGTTTACTAGGTTTCGAACTTATACTCTTTAGGAATACATTTAGTCTCCTGCTATCCCTGCGGCTCGTTTGCGCACCTTTACCGGCGCATCGTACCGGTCACTCTCTCAATTAAAATAGGTAGGACGGTAAAGTACACATTCTTCTGTGCCGCCATTTCATTAAGAGCCTTACAATTCGAGCCGAGAAAGCGGTTCGACATGTAGCTCGGACGTTGGAGGTAGCCTTGTCAGAATTGTAGGCTATGAATTCGTCTTTTCCGAACTCCATGCACTTGGCTAGGACCTGTAATAAGACGTGAAATCTCAAACACTTTTAAGCTTCGGCCATCGCGCTATTTAGATCCATTTTCGTGGCTGTACGTACCGCGAGAAGCGATTTTTTGGATAACAGCTTCCGCAAGGCCGATGTGATAGACTTAACGGTAGCATCGCCCGTAATAACCATCACTTTTATCGATGGGTCATTAACCCGTCAGCTGTTCGGTCGTGTCGATCTTTTCATCCCCAAGGGGCGTGGTTGACAGGCGCATTCATCTTTAAGGGTTTCCACTTCTTTTTGTAAAGTTTAATACAATGTTGTAGGATTGTGACGCACGCCATGTGATGAGCTCGATATAGTCAACGTGATAAAGAATCTACACTGATCGACGGAGATTGGCGCGCAAGTTTTTCTTATTAGTCTCATTATGGTTTTGAAACGTTTGAATTGTTTTCATCATAATTAACTTATTCTTAAGTTAATATTGATCTGAGTGTCTGATAACTCTGTTGTCGGAGTAAGTAGTGTTTTGCGCCAACCTGTACTGTTGATCAGCCGCATCAAGGATAGGATAGTATTTAAGCGGATGCTACCATATGTGTCATATTTTTGTTATTGAGTATGTTAAAATGCTTTTTACATAAGAAAGAACATTGAGCGTATTCTCAATGGGGTAGATACTTGTTCTTGTTGCAGAATCGAAACAAGTCAAAATTATCTTCTCAAACTGGTTTTTCACCATTAGAAACAAAGGTTTTTTAGAAATGAACTCGAATTAATATTGTGGGCAGTCAGTCGTCAAAATGGGATCCATATAAGTTGGTTACTGTATAAGGGCTGGGAAATTGTATACACTTATCTGATGACTGCTTGCAGTCTAGCAATATCTATTTCTTTATTATAAAATGACCATGCTAAGACTGGAATTTGTGCAAATTACAAAAACATTAATTGTGAGTACTGCAATCGAGCACCTACCCTCGTGGTAGCTAGACAGCACTAAACAGTTATTCAACGTTAATAAGAAACTCATTTGGTGAAGCCTAGACAACACCTATGAAATCGACAAATTCGACGACGTTCTAATTTTCGCTTTGAAAAGTGAATAATTTTTTTTTATAAGAATTTATTTAGTACTACTTGCTTGGGAATGAATTTTGACTCTGCAAAACAGGTAGGTAAGCTATTGGGGATACGCTGTCCTTCCTTGTTGTGTATATTTTAATATATTTTGTTAAAATATCAGTAAGACACCTGGAAAGACGCGACGCCATCAAAATAAATTTCGAAATAACAAAAATATGATATATACGATAAGCACCCGCTTAAAAACTAACCAAACTATCCTACTCTTGACGCGACTGATCAAGAGCACCAGTAGCCGAAAAAAAGCCTCGCAGTTGAGTCCAAGAGGCAGGTAACGTTACTTATAACGAGGCATTAACACACGCCCTTATAGGACACTCAGATACGCATTAAGAATAAGTTAATTACCAAAATGTCTGTAAACCAAAACAAGCCAAACGACGAAAACCCAAACGCTAAGCGTAGTCCACGAATCGAATTTAGGATACAAGATCCCGAGATCTATGCTTTACACCACTACCTCTGTGGCGCGTTTGCATTCACCTACCATTGCTATAGTATAGTTCCCTACACAAAACAGCTACGAAACCTAACGCTAACACCGTTCAATTACCAAATACCATAGTATAAATATGGTACATATTTAATAAACTAGATATGAATCTCTATTAGGTATGTAATTAGAAATAAATATCCATCTTGTAGGCATGCATGAACCATCTAAAGCAATCGAAGTTTGTGTGATTTTCAAGCTGTAAAGCCAAGGTGAATGCTGCTTTAAAAAGATTTATTATTGATATAGATATCCTCGATCTTATTCTGACGTGCTCCGCTAGTAAGGTCATTGTACCTTAGAAATGTCACTGCCTACTTTTATTGGCCACTATCGCTACATCTATATGCCAGTGCGTATAGTTTATGTGCTTGATACACAGCCCTTGCAAATCGTTCTATTTTAACATTCGTACAACAAATTTTAACATACGCATGTAACCATCTACCCAGAACACTTTTATGTTATTGAAACTAATGTTTATTGCGCCATTTATTCATTAGTGTCTCTGCTTTGTGCAGCGTTCTCACATCCCTCAAATTTGTTTCCATTATTTTCCTTATAAATATGGTTACTGGTGACTTTTGCAATATTGAAAGATAGGTGAATACCGATTTTGAAACGATGTCTGTGGGTCTTGTCGCTTACAATTCGCTGCACAATGTTCTATGGTTCTGTGATCGTATCTTCTACAACATTAGTTGTCTTCACTGAGATAGATCCTAAACTCTCCTCTACTGTCTACCCACGGTCCCCTGTGTTCTTCTAGTAGGCTATCCCACGACCTTCTCACTTGCTTCTGAAATACATCTCATATTCCCTTTTGGTTTAATAATTTGCCCCGTTATAGCCGCTACCCTTGAAGGCATACATTGTATGGCCAGTTTTGTTCCTATCGAGGCACACCTCCTGGTCATGTCGGTTTTCGTTGTGATACCTTTTAAGATTATCCATTCGTTCGTTCGTCGGGACCGTCGGGATCTCTCGTCTGTTCGTTAAACGGTGTGCTACGATCCTTAGTGTTCCCAGAGTAGATCACTTTGTTATGTTAGCTATTTAACTGGTTCCTCCTGTTTCCGGAAGGCGGCACCGTACCTTCACCGTTGCCTTCACAAGAGTCAATTTTTTTGATTTCGAATAATTTCCTGGCGATCCGATCTAGGATATCCATTGCTCGCAAAAATATAGACCTTCGCTTTACTTCTATTTTCAAGATCGTTTTTCCTGTCCGTAGAAAATTTTCTAGAATATTCTCTATTTATTTCGTTCTTGGTTTTTTTACTGTATCTAGTTTGCTGTTCTTTACTGGCAGCCTCGTCGTATGGCACCCAAGTTTGACGGTTTCCCGGATCCTGATGTTGATTTACAGTATAAAATTGCCTCTTGTACAAAACCTGACCTTGCACATGCGGGCTGCCATCGTTAGACCACAGATACCCGAAGTTCGTAGAAAGCTGAGACGGTAATATGGGTGCAGGACTGGGAGACTTTAGACTGGTGGTTGAAGAAAACAAACACAAGAGTAAATTTTACATTAAGGAGTAGACATCTGACTTACTTAAATAATGAGCAAGCTGCAGACCTAGGCTTGCACACAGCCCGAACATTCTTTCACCTTATATTGTTTTGTTATTCACACAAAGCAGGACAGGTTACTTTATTGACGCGAGTCTATGTTAGGCAAGAAATGAGCCGAGCTAAAAGTAGCGTTCTTAGCCTTTGGATCCTTCTATGATCTAAAACCATTAGTTTTGCTATCCTGGAACTACAGGCTCAGATAATCATAAGGTACTTCAGATAGTATGTGCAGGTAAGACTAACCCATACGCTTGTGCACGACGGGACTCGTATTCATGCTGCAAGCGCTGAGCAGAACGCTGGGCACGTGCCGATTCGGCCTTAAGTTCATTAATTTGGTTCTTTAATAAGTGACACACCGCTTTATCGTGGGTCTCCCGGAACATCGCCACCTAAAGATCAAGTACGTCAACTGTTGCATCTCAAACCTTTTTGGCTCCTTCATAAAGAAAATCTTAGAGTGTAACATAATTTTTTTTACAAAATATTATAAATTCGATATGCTATACTTCGAAGAAACAAAAAAAAACTAGGCAAATATAGAGCATTTCGAAAACATCCACAACGTGATCTGTATGGGCTACTGTGTGATTAGTAAAAACGTGCTCTTCAATCCTCAACTTCTTCAGAATAGCAAATTAGTAGATTATCACCATAGTTCCTAGATAATAACCTTTGCAAGAAGTTTTCGACCTTTATTTAAGTCGGCAAATAACGGGACGATTGCAGGATCGTCGACGAATTTAATTTTGCATTCATTCTTACAGACACAGCAGATTTGGTCATTTGCTAGAAGGAAAAAGTATACATTATATTAATTACTCAAAATAAAGTGGCAAATAAGCCTCGTGGTTTAACGAAGAAGACACGGAAGGAGAGCGTAGTCACTATTACAGAGTCCGTTATGGCGTGATCAAATATTTACGAAGAGCTGATCCGCCAACCCCGGTCGTTTTTATTTAATGATTCGATCGTGGCTATACTGATTCGCTTGTGGCATCTACAGAGAGCTAGCTTGCTTAATCCATCCACAGCTCTTCAGATAATGACCAAAATGGCCAATAAATATGATATACTATTACGACTATATTTCTGACAGGACGGCAATTGAACATCAGAGGAATTGCGCCAAAGGAATTCTCTCGAAAGGATTTTCGCACAAGACATCAGGACTCACCAATCTAGGTGACTTACAAGGCAAATTATGTCGAGTACGCAAGACACTTACTAGGAAGGCAGCCTTTGCAGATCATGTGTTGGCAGTCCGTAATAAAGTAAGATGTATGCTTAATGTCACTGGTTACTCCGTTCCCGCATCTCATACAGTGGAAATACCATTGGACAGAAGATTTGTTTACTTGGGCCATTTACAACATTAAACGCACTGTACGTTGTAGTTAAGTCCGCTACGGGGCGTAGAGACCGATGGCTTTATGTACTTGCTTTTTATCATGTTTTGAACTAAAGTGGACAGTTACTGAAACATTTAAAGTTAGACTGGTAATTCGCTAGGTCTTTGTGCATTTCAAAGCAATTACCTGCCTCTTAGCTTTTTTGATAACCAACACATAATATGACACGAAAAGGCAGTAATAAACCTATGACACGCGCATTTCAACGAGCGTTTTCAATATGCCTGTTTCACTAAGCGGATAAATGAGTCTTCTTTACTGCCAGCTCGGAAATTTCAGCTGACCATGTCTAGACCGCATTTTACTTTCAGTCAAGCGCCATTCTCCTTTGTATAATGAACTATTGATTTACATTGGTTCTCTTGTTGATATCTGATGCTCCGGCGATATTTCATCTTTGCATGTATTGTATTTCTCAGCAGTTCATATACTGATGGTGCGCATTGCGTAACGCTACCTTTGACTTTTCAGTGAATCTAAATTATGTAGTAAAAAAAATTAGCATGTAAGGATAACACTGTCTTGAAAACGTGGACAACGTCAGTTGGTTCAAATCCTCTACACCAATTGTTCTTAATGGAATCTTTGGTAGAGTTTAAAAGCACAAAGACGCTACTAGCGTAGTAGGTACAATGTTGATGCCTTATTATTATTATTACTATATGATTATGATGATCGTAATGGCATTTATCAGTTGCTCAAAAGAAGATCACTAACTTAATTAGCTTCATACCTATCTCCAATGGACATCATCTATCTTTCACTATAGAATTATATTATTTTTATTTTGACATTAACGAAGTTCCCTAGATAGATATGTAGCGATTCATACGCGATTCAGAACACACGTTTTCATCTTACTCACATACTCATCCGTAGCAAAGCTTCTACGCGTTGTGAAAAACCTTTTTAGAAAAACTTAATTGAATCCTAGCACACATTCGGCATGAGGCTTTTTCCGAGATCTGACTACACAGACGTTAATAAGATAATTATCGCCTACAATACGTCATATACTGTACAAATCTATGTCAGTATATTTTACCACCACTTCTAAGAAAATAAATTCAATCTAAATAAAAGGTTACAATGTACATAGCGTTTGACTACACTGGCACTGGTATTGGGTACAATCTTTTTATAGTCTACGAAGATATAAGTTTTATTCATTAATAAGTATTTGTTTAGATGACGTGTAGCCTTCCATACTCATTTTTACAGCTGTTTTATATTGCTTGAGAGGATGTTTCGTATGCATAGGTGAACGAAGTTTGCCTTCCAGCGCGAAGTTCTCCAAATCTGAGTACATCTTGTTATCTTCTGTTGATCCGCTGTTTTTTTTCGCCCATTTTGTACGCCAGAAACCAACTAAGTGAATGCCCTTGAAGATCAGTGCGGACGTGCTCACTGTGACTGGCTGTTTTGACATCCCTCCATACGTGACGACGTAGCCCTCGTTCGCGACATATCTAAAAACGAAACAGAAAATATTACCATTCTACTGCAGTGTAACCTGGCTTAAAAATAATACTTTTTTTTCGCCACATTTATACCAATCTTTTTTTTTTTGTATATACCAATGCTTTTAATGCAACTTTGAAACTCGATGCACAGAAACGTTCGTGTGCTAAATAACAATATTTATAAGTTTCAAAGTTCGTGAAACAATAGCTATCTCATGCGACAAGCAATCGCCTTCCGTCATAATTTAAAAAAAGAAATTACATATAAAAAAAAAAAAAAGAGCTTGGCTTGTTTCTAAATTATTTGAATAATCATATTTAGATGTGGCTTATGATTCATTATTTAAAACTTTTTATATTAAACATTTGCCCACCTCATCATGTCCGAACAGTTTTTGCCACCGACGCAGTTAAGTGCCAATTTTGGTAGGGGCACCTCTTTAAAGATGTCTTTCATAGAGGATAGCCGAAGTTCTTCTTCAGTTACAACATAGTCTGCTCCCAGGTCTTTAAGTTGCTGTTTCAACTCATCGACATTTGGCCGATCGCGAATAATGTTCACCTGTTGACCCAAAATGCCCAATACGTAGCACATGACGCTTATATTACCATTAATGGAAACTTATTAAGTTATCCTTGAAAAAGATACACTTGTCAATTGCATTGATCTGGATCTAGAGTACTACAATTGGAGAAAAGACTAGATATTAATTAACGGCTGATTACGGCAGTAGCCGCTTTTAAACTGAAAACAGCGAAATGCCATCACAACGGCGACCACCTTAAATATCTCATGAAATAAATTGACCATGTCGTGTGTATGTGTGTGAGTGGTGAAGTATCCAATGAAGACTGATGCATTATACATTTCTATAGACATATAATTACAATAGACGAAACCCACAGATGAGACTTACCGACCGGAGGCCCATTGCTCTTGCTATTTGAATAACTGCTTGTCCTACTCCGCTGTTAGCCCCATTTTGTATAACGGTCTCCCCTTGACGGAGGTGCACAAAATCTTTTAGCATCCTGTATGCTGTAGGAGGGTTCACAGCAAGGGTGCATGCGGTAGCCAACTCTAGTTTATTGGAAAGAACGCGTAATCTATAAAACGAAAAAATGAAAAAAAAATGGTGATCGTGAGCTACAATTAGGCTTAATCAACGAGACAGTGATAATCTACAAGATTTATGTACACGATTAAATGAACATAAACAATACGTAATAATGATAAAAATAATAAATATGCACTATTCCCACTGACTAGGGTGAATTCCCGCCACTGATTGCTCGTACATTACGTGCGTATCTGTGTAATAACTTGTTACAATGTGTGCGATTTAGAGAAGTAGAAAACTCTGCCGACATCTCAAACTGCACATACCGACCGCATAGCTATATAGTACGCATATGAATATGAAATATTACCCAACTCGTTTTCATTGGCTACCCCGAATTGTCTCCAGGTGCCCCATGCATCTCCGGGGGCTAGAACCCAGTCGCCTTTTTTGAGTTTCTGAACGCCACTGCCGATATCCACGATTTCTCCGACACCTTCTAGACCGGCATTCGCGGGCAACGCTGGCTTGAATCCGTATGTCCCTTGTATCACGTTGATGTCAGCTGGATTAATTGGCGATGCTGTAACAGAATTGAACACTGAGAAAGGAAAACGTTTTGCGCAATTATATGCGCATACCTGCATAGTAACAGCATGTGGACAATCACATATGAGTGGCGTTTCACATGCTAAACGTGTCATGAGCCACTAGTTTGTGTTCACCATATTAAATGAAAACTTCAATGTATCGGTAAACAAATGTGTGCGGTGTACCTAAAAGTTGCCTGTTAAATACCACGCTGTTAGTGAACGACGCATTGACTACAAGCATATTCGAAGAGATACTAGTTTCTATTTAAGACCAAGATGTGATTTTCAACATATAATGCTTTAATCATCTGTTATTCGGACGTGAATAGTCAATAAGATTGGCAAATCGCCTAATTTTTTGTCCTTGTATTGTACAGGTCTGACCCGCATTCGACTAAGTATTGCAGACTTGACCATAATATTATTCCTTACATTAGATATAACATAAGACGAGGAAGCTGATCAGATCTGATAGGCTGGTACAGCAAGCATTATCGGTTTCCGATATTTTATTTTAAGGAAAACAAGTCACGACGAATAAACGTAAAAGTAATTCTAATTATTTATTAGCGTAATTAACTTAATAGATGTCGCCCATCAGGTGTAAAGTACCCGGCTCTTGTCTTGTTTCATTTTGCGTTTAGCTATAATATTTTCGTACCAGACAAAATAATAATAATTGCGTTCACTCTCGTCAACAACTGAATCCTGCGAAAATAAACAAACCTACCTAACATCTTGATTAATACCGAGTCAGCTTCCTTTATTGCCGGAATCGGACACTCATCGTGCTTGAGAACCTCCAATGGGTCTCCGAATTCATAAAATTTGACTGTAAAGTTTGTTGAAACCATTCTTGCGCTAATCGAGGATGAACGAAGTAAAAATGATCTCAATAAGCTCAACATTTCTGCTCAAATTTCTTGAAAATTGTAACATACGTTAGTAGATCGCCACAAACCGCCACTAACGTTTGAAGGACAGGCATATGGCAGTTCCAACACTTATTATTGTTTTTCTCCATGTCAGATAGCTGATTCGGCCCGATGGCCAGCATAGAAGGTTCTCGGTTGAGGCCTACTTTCTTCAAGCGGTCGCCCTCGCTACAAGCCGAGTAAAGCGATTTAGTAGGAGACAGAAGCTTCTATAGCTGGGTTACCGACTCAGCCGGTGATTGCACAACAATAGTTCGCGCAGAAAAACATGTACTTGTCCATGTGATCGTTTATCCAGTTTAATCGAGAGGTATTAATGTTTGTGTCGAAATATGTGAGTGAAATGCTTTTAGAAAAATATGATCACATGGCACAATTGTCGCCCAGTCGTATATTCGATGGATGCATAGTTTTGAATGTCTTCCGTTGATAAATTGCGTTTGTACAGTTATATCTGTACAGGTTTTTAAACTATCAGTCAGTGTGCTTATTTATTCATATAAAATTCAATGTTCACTGATATATTTTATTCGGTATTTGTTTTATCAGAGCTTTTTCTACCTTTTTTTGCTTTCTTTAGAACAGGTTTATCGTTCTCGGACCAATGATATCGATACTAATTTGTGGCCAACAGGCCTCCTTTAACGGTACAAGATGAGGTTGCTTCTCTCTTTGGAGAGAAGCGACCCCATCTTTATTAGTTCTAAGCAACGCTCTGCAACTGGGTAACGGAAAATAATAGTTTTATATTATTTTCTAGAAATAGTCAAACTCATCAGTCTCCTACGCCTATAAGCAAGCAGTTTATGACACATTATGTTTGATGAATATGTTCAATCTTTTTTTAACATAATTTACTTCTTGTTTGTATCATTGCGTGTGACTTTTTTGATTTTTGGCAAAGCTAACACAGCGTCTATTTATGTTCTCCCTAGCAGCTCACGCAATGTCAACTAATTTGCTGGGCAAATTATTACCGGGGGTAGTTTGCCCTACCAGCTTGTTCACAACTTGCATTCGACTGGCGTCAAAAGGAAACCGGGCATGTCGTCAAGACGGTCAGCAAAAGGGCCAGGAATACGGATGGAAATTACATAGTGGTCAGATGGCTAAGGAAGGACAACTATTGTACAAGCAGAGAGTACCCAGGTAACGCCAATTAACGAATCAACGTGCTGCTATGAACTAAGGTGTTTACCAAATGCGGTGACAGCGGTTGTGACAACCGCTGATAGATGAATATAGTGAATGAAATAAACCCAATAGAGTCGACCAGAGTAAACGCTGTTAGTTGTATGACTTGGTAAACGACGTACTTCTAGTTAATTACTAGTAAAGGGATGCTGTAAACAATATGGAAGCTTGTAATAGGATTTTAGAGTTTTGCTTGCCAAGCTTGCTTTTGATCTGTATATGTAAAATTCAGTAATATGAAATTCCTATTTGTTAGGGAGAGATTGGGAGCGTCTTGCGAGGTCACACAGGCAACTAACTCTTTTCTTCTTTCTTACAAGGCTCAGAGATTTTCCGAAGCGAAGTCAGTGAATTGTACCTTAGGTTTAGTCAGCGACCTTGTTGACATTTACTTTCAGATTTCATCCGGGCTTGAATGTTATTGTGTCAGGTGAGAAACTTTCACTACATGCCGCTTGCCCTGGCAAAGTTCTGGTCACACGTGAAAAAGTCCACCTCAACTACGATAATAAAAAGGTCAGTTGAAGAAGTGCAAATACTTTGTCAGTTGACACCAATGATTATGTAATCCGTATGACCAAGCGCTAATAGGTACCTGTTACGGTAGTTTAGGGCATTGGCCAGCGTTTGTAACTATAGAATCACTTCCATTCAGACCTTGCTTCACCCCTGGTCCTAGGTGGGTATTTTAATTACCTCAACCATTTTGCACCTCTACGTTAAGTATAGCCCTTCTTGCGTCACCTCTTGTATATTGTTTTACTTCGGGGGTATTATAGATTTACGTAATCAAAGCTACCCATGGCCGTGTCAACCACAAGCACCGTATCGTCTACACAAAGAAGGAAAACACTAAGTCGTGGCCAACAACATTGTTGTATATTTACAGATTGCGCCATATTACGCGAAACGAGACATGAGCGCCGTCTATAAGAAGTACTATCACGTCATCCCGAAACCCCAACACAATGAGTTTCAGCTTGTGGCGGAAATTTAATGTCAAAGCTGCAGAGCTGAGTGATGAACGAATTATTTTAAGGTGCTTGTAATAAACACTTAAACAACCTTAGGGTATCGTGCTGTGTGTTAACGTTTTTTTATAATAAATATTTGATGAACTGTCGTGCTTTCTCTCGTTTTATCACTATTGATTTATTCGAACTCTCGAGTCCGTCAAAGAAGTCTGTTGTTTTATTTTTAATAGATTGAAATCTTGCGGGAAGTTCTAATTATTGTCCCACGCTGAAAATGATCGTCTAATGCCGTTCCACGACTACGGTGGTAATGCGTTACCCGAGCTTGGATCATGTGTATTATTTAAAATCAAATGTAAATATATATTTTGAGGATAATAGGTTTTGCCTGCTGTCGGATCACGTCTGTTTAGCTCGTTACCCTTTCTCACACTTATTAACAACTTCAACCAGAATTTCGTACGAATTGATATACCTGTCGTAGCAGCTTCATCAATTGAACATTGAACGTCAGTTGAACCCCTATCGGAGCTCGAGTTAACGGCAGTCGACCTATAAGCCCTCTTACTTAGCAGTATGTAATGGTCAGACCTTTATGCTCAATACTTTTGAAAGCAACTGGTTCCCGCTAGTACCCTACGAAGTCATCATACCTAATCCAGCTTATATAGATCATAATAATAATAAGGGTCTTTTTTTAACGTATGGAAAAACCTTCTTAAAACGCTCGAACCTGGGTTGAAATTTTTGGTAATTGCTTTGGTAACTGAAATTTTTTTTACTTCCTAGGAAATGTAATTTCTCAATTTAATTCTTTGCGATGGTAACGCCACACAAGTACGTGGAGACGACTTAATGCTTACAACTAAGTCGTGCGACAGAGCTGAAGGAAAACTAACATGAAAAAGTGAACCAGCTGTTCAATATCAAAAGTCCAAATTATATGTTGATGTGGGTATAAAAACAGGTACTAATTTTCAACGATGTAATAGAACTCAGGTTTTCTCTCTGTATCGTAACAAGGCTTGAAACATCAATCGTTAATCATTGCACAGCTTTATTTCGTGAAAAAGTAAAAAAGTACGTGTTTTCGAAGATACGGATATTTTTCGAAACTATTCCTGCAATCGAATTTACTAGACAGTTTGTACTATTAGCCCACTGACCCAGCATATTTCGATGCTATGTTGTATGAAACTGAACGTTGGAAATCACTGGATTATCTTAGAAGATCCCATTGCTTGAACACTACGATGGTTACGTGTATAACCAACAGAAAATCTGCATTAAAAAATTTTGTTAGATTTTACGAAGATACTCGATCCTGTCAAAAATGTATTATTCCTCGACAGTGTTTTTCGCTAGATTTATTGTCATTAGACGGTTTTTCTAACGGACAAACAATCTATTTGTAGCTCTCCTACTGAGCTAGAATTTTCCAAAAAAAAGAATAGTAAATATAATTCATTACGAATATTTTGCGCGTGCACTGTGGTACTTTTGGTCTAGTACATGGCTCAGTTATGTTGATTACGTACATACATGGTCGGTGCAGCAAAACAGTATTAAGCTAACCATGTAGATGCACTAATGAATCGCAGGCAAAAAGGAGAACGGGGGAATGGGAAATCCAATTATGTGTTAGAAACTAAATGGATCACTGGGATGTACATAAACGGGTGAATGGAATGTGAGTGAAGAGCAATAAGCACTCAGGTTATCAATGTACTTCTGACAGGCACAACCGTCTAAAGGTTTAAGAAGTTGCATTGGCGGCATCTTAGTGATATCGGGCTGCGGAGAAACAACCGATGTCCTTTGTCTCCATATTTCAGCGCCGCCCTCACACTCTTCCAGAGCCACCTTTCCGTGACCGACGACTTGAACAGACAGCTTTTTCCGGTCCTGGCGTTTCCGTCCAATTACATTCAAGGCCCACGGCTTGAACTTTGACATTTCCAATGTCTCTAAAAACTTGATTTCCAGCCTAAGCCTATCGAAGATATACCGAAAGTCGGCAATTTCCGACCAGTTTCGTGTCACTTCGTCATCCATGCTAAGGTCGGCGCACGATTTCTGCTTTATAAGGCTCTCCCGCGTGGTATCGAACTCGTCCTTTGACAGTTCCTCGAAAACGATAACCATGTGGTCGAGAAAAGCCTCTATGCGTTTATCGACCTCACTTAAGGTGAATTTGTCAGCGGGCGGCGAGACTCCTATTGAGAAGCCTAGCACTCTGTACGAGTTTCGCACGTAACACGCCGCATCGTAACCGAGTTGGTCCTCGGTGCGTAATTGCGTGAAACAGCGCTCTTCCATAAACATTACAAACAGCGAAATCAAGCTCTCCTCGTAAAAGTGCGCAGGTCCATATACGTAGTGATTTGTTATGAACGAATTAGTTGCCTCTGGGTTGATACCCAGTATGCGAATGCATGTCTGACCATCAATTCTCACGTGGGTAAGCGGACTGGGCTTCTTCTTGTCCGGCCTTTCAGGGAAGTTTTTTAAAATCATGGATAGAATGTCCTTTGCATCTAAGCTAGTAACATTACCATGCACATACACTTCAAGGAAAGCACTGCCAAATACGTCTTTTGTCCACTGTATGAAGTCGTTTTGCGATATCGACTGGATTACGGTATGGCGGTCATGATACAAGCTATTTCTCGGCTGTATAATATATGACCAGACGTCTTCAGCAAGACTACTATTGTCTATTACACAATTGAAGTAATACTTCAACCGGTCGGCTTTTACAGTTTGGAATAACTCAGCTGAACAGTCAATAGACGAAAGCGTTTTGAGAACCGTTTCAATCAGCAGTGGAAGTTTATGATTAAACCCGCTGAAGCTCAAGTTCAGACCCATTTCAGCCTCGCTTAAGTGATGACAAAGAGACGCTTCTTCAGCATACGTAGAGACTCGCGCGATCAATATTTTAAACACGTCTACTAGCAGGCCAACACAGGCCGATTCCCGCACCGTGGAGAAAGTATGCTGAGTCGCGAACAGGATATTTACAAGAGTGTTTGGCCGTAAGAACTTTTGGTCCTTACGAAACCATAATTTCTGTGTATCAGCGTCTTCCAAAATTACGGGAAATCTCTGACTTACGGTTCCCACGTCGATGTCTTTCTTGATACGGAAGTCTGTTGAGATGTAAGGATTTTCATGGGGCAACTTGAGCTTCTCCTGAAATTTCGGATCATCTATCCATAGCTCTTTCCATTCCTTCGGCAATTCCTCAATCTCATACGCGGTGCCCATCCATGGTTCCAGTCGTGAAAATGAGCCAGCGTTTTTTTGAAATTCGTGGTTCATATACACGAAGTTACATTTATCGGGAGTCATAAGATCCATGATCATTTGGATTCTTGCAGGATTATACTCGAAAAATAACTCATCTGCGCAAAGATAGTGTTTCTCGTCGCAATGCCGCATTACTTCGCTCAGCGAACATACGTAGCTGTAGGCATTTTCCTCATTTTTGAAACGGAAATGATTTTCAGCCTGCTGTCTGAGCTCTTCCCATATCCACTTCTGAGGTCCCCTTTTTCGTAGCATGTGTAAGTATTGTTGTACAAAACGGATCACCTCAGCAAGATTATCGCCGCCTTTTTCTGTCAACGTTATGCCAATAGTAAACAGAGAGCACATGTTTTGATCATCAGTGGACGAGGCCCATAAATCTAGGGCCCATTGCTGGGATCGCAGGTTATCCAGAAGGCCATCCTCCGCTTCGTGGCTCACAGTGTACCTCAGGTATTTGAAAACCTTTTCACGGTAATGTTTCCTTTGAGAAGGGAGTACCCATCTGAGTGTTAGTGATATTCGACGAGTAACAGGCACAATTTTAAACAGTTTGAAGAAGTCCGGATTATCATGATATGGCAAAGCCTCCGGATATTTTATTTGTTCGACTTGACGTTGAGGTATTGACGAGAAGTATTTTTTTACATATCTTTCTATTTCGTCTAGGCTATGTTGCGATTGCACCGCCAGCGTCATGACCTCAGCTGAGTAGTAACCTGAAGCAGCAAACGGTGGTGAAAGCTCACGTTAGGAACTTTGCAGCTGACACATATATATATATATATAGGCATTTGACAATGAATCAACAAGGTAACAACTAAATAATGAACTAACTGTTGTAGAAATTAGTGAGTACATCTCGCATGTTTACACCCTTTCGAGCAGGTTCTTCCTTTAAGGATCGAATGTTTCCCCAGGAAAATTTTCCGATAGGGTGGTTACCAGCCTGCCTCATAAGCACCTCCAGAACCCGGGCTCCATCATACTGACGATTCATCTGGAACTCGTTATCCATAGCTTGCAGCTCCCTGAAAAAGCACCAAATCATTTTATAAATGTAATTATTATACATATATTATATAAATGTAATTGTTAAGCTAAATGAATAGCTCAGTTAGATCCGGTATTATAATTATTCTGATACACGCCGTCAAAAAGGCTCCGTAAATGAGGAAAGGTAAAATTCAACTAGCCAGGCCTCTTTCGCATGTCAGTAAAACTAATGCGACTATAAATTCGTACAATAGGAATTATAATCATTAGAAACAATCACGACTGTGTTCCATATATGTTGCCGCTTCTCCTTTAAGACCTGCAGGTAATCCTATCCAGAAATACAAGATGCATTGATAGCATCGGTGGTGTTTTTGTAAAAAGTAAACAATCAGACCGGCAATATGCCACACTGGCTAAGCGTATATTTGTGAACCACGATTCAGTTCTAACAGTTAATTTCACTTAGTCACATGTTAGTGCACGACTTACCTATCGAGAGCATCCTCTCTTATTAATGGACTCACAAAAAAGTTCGCAAACATATCTAAAGCGTGCTCGAAGGCAGTCGGAGGAACTTCAAAGTAAAAGGTTGTCGAATCAAAGTTTGTATACGCATTACTGGTTCCACCTTGCTGGGCAATGAACTTCGTGTATTCATTTTCAACAGGATATTTCTCAGAGCCTAAGAAAAGCATGTGCTCAAGGTAATGCGCAACACCCCCTATATCATTCGGATCCTGAAAGCAGGAAAATAATTAGGCAGAGCTAGAACTGGGAAACCAGAAGTTAAGATTGCCTACTTCTACAAATCTATAAACTCCTATATCACGGATCCCCTCTCCTTTGCCAATCATAACACATTGAGTGTACTTCAGATATAAGCAGTATTAATGCAGGTTTGGGCTCAAGGGATCGTCAAATACTGGCGGATTGATTTCAAAAGCAAATTACTCAGCATAACTGCGTTAAACAGCTCTTTTCTATGTGGCCGTTACGTGACCCAGCCGCTAATGCTAGCTATGTAACTGTGCGTGTAAAGGGCTTATATAGTGTGAAAGCGATAACTTCAAGCAATTCATAATAATTCAGGTAAAAAAGACTGGGTGACATTTTACTACTAGCGACGTTTAAAGCTGCGCTTATTTAGATTGATGTTAAAGATTGCAATCATGTTACCATTATGGAAAAAATTAGTTCTATCTAATACATCACAAAGTCATAAGCTGTCACACCTGAAGACTACCGCAGTGCACAGTGAGGGATGCTGCAGCCATTTTCTCAGTGAAGAGACCCTTGCCATCTGAAGCCCCTGGGCTAGGTGAGCCCCGCATACTAGCTGAACTTTGTGGACTATCACTTTGAAAGCTAGGAATATCCAGACCGCGTCCTGAAAATAAGCAGCAAACTATTACTGCACTATTACTATAACTAACGTGCACCACTTAGGTTTTAGGGTACGCAACGCGTACCCTCAGTGTTAATAATCATAATAATAACACAGAATCCAAAAAAACGTCTATTTCGTCCAAAAGAAAGCAATTCAAATTATTTCTAATGATATTTAGTTAGAACGTACGATCTATTTGGAACGATACTTTACACAGTTAATTATTAACATTGTAAACACAGATGCTTATAAAATTGACATCATAATATGACTTAGCAGAATCATGAGTCATATTTTCTCTCGCCGTAAAAGACAATCCGGTTAGACAAATTCTACGATCTGATGCTGAAAATTCAAAACCAGATTTTTTCAATTCGAAAAATATATATTGACGTTCCTGTTATATATTTAACTTTGTTCAAAAACATGAGTTGTTTAAATATATCTATTAATTCAGAAATTTTCAAGGTCTGTAGCTGAGTTCTTACACAGATACTTAGTTATTGATATATTCCCTGTACGATCGCCTATGCGTTATGGTAACATTTACCCAGATTTAAGTTGAGTGCCACAAAGGTAACTATGTCCAGCACATGCCTGCCAACCATATGAAACCGCTCAATAGCAAAAGATTCTTTTACAGAAAAAAATCAAATCGTTCAGAAACGTTGGAATCTTCGCCATTCCATTCTTATTTTATCTAGCTGCTATTACTGATCTGTTTTCGATTTCTTTTAGAACATCCACATGTTTGGGAATGATATTTTTGTTTATTCTACCTAGATCGAATTTATTTTTATCGAAGACAATTTATGTCTGTCGCCCCCAGATTTTGAATGGGCTTCGACCACTATAGAACAAATATTAGCTTCCTCCAAATTATGAGCCACGCAGAGACAAGTTAACTCACGATATAACCTATGTCTCTGTAACCTCCGAGTAGACCAATAGTTTACCTTTAGTGCAGGTCGTGGCGATGTTATCCGTAGGGGATGCGTTATCGGTAAGGCATGAGCTATCGGTAGAGACCGCGTTACCTGGTGAGACGCTAGCAGAAGATCCACTACTAGGAGTTCCATCGGCAGAACTTACACTACTAGGGGTTTTGGCACTTTCAGTACTGGAGGTTTCGCTATTGGACATTTGACCGCCAAGAGCTAACCCTTGGGATGGGCTGCTGGAAGATTCGCCCCTCTCGCTTTCGGTAGGTGTATCATCTTCATCTCTTTTATTAGGATCATATTTCTGATCCTGAGTTGGCGTTCGGTGAGGCTTGATTATAGGGTCACCACCTTGAATAAGTAGAGCTCGCAGTTTATTAGGCAGCTCAATAACTCGATATTCCCGTTTATCATTTTCACTGCGAAGCATATGCATTTTTCCAGCAGCCTTCGCTTATTAGGATACGTTAGGTAGCGTAGTTAATCAGCGCTTATCAGTTTGATCCGGGCAAACGTTTGAATGAAAGGTCTCTACCGTTGCTGCACCCACAGTTTGTAGTATTTTCTACTGGCCATAGAGTGTAATTGCTGAAACAACGACAAATCGTAGACTTCGGTGGGCATGAATTGCTATATTTTGGTTTGGGGATTGATTATTAGGGGAAAGAAGATCGAGATGGAGCGTTAATTCTGAAATCACTGACTATGAAAATAAATAATGCTTCAATAAAATGGCATATTCGTGTCAAGAAGTTGGCCTTCATATTTATAGGCACCTTTGTGGATGTCATAAATGATAATCACCTATTGACGTTAGAGTTTGGTAAGCCGACCGAACAGTGTGCGGATCGTCTGCTACTGAGGGAGAGAAAAATTTCGACTGTAAAATGGTTATTAAAAAACGTGTCGATTATTAGTTTACGTGTTTGTCAGACCCTTCCAAGCCAAGGGTCAGTGAAACGGAAATATGTTCTTTAGTACGCTACAAAAGGAGCCATAAGCTGTAAAGCTGCCAAGAATAATTGTAGAGGGAATTCATTTTCAGATAAAGAAGGGACTAGAAAATCAATTGTGTCGAAATTAACGCAATCTTTTTTTTATAAATAAACACAAAATGGAACACTCTCAAAAAGGAAAGCAACATTATTAAGCCTCGTTCTAACACAACGCGTCACTTGTTGTCTGAATGTTAGAGAATTACGATACTCCTTCTTTTTTTCTGTTATAACCAGCGGTATTAATACTACTGAATAAGTAACTTATCTTCTCACCAGGTTTCGTGGACAACGGTCGTATATAGGATAAGATTATTTTTGACAATATTATATTTGGTCACCAGTATAAAATGAGAAAAGTTACGCTGACTTATATACATATTTTAATGAGCGATAAAAAATGTATGATATCATGTGTGATGTAGGCTGTACCGCAAATTCACAGTCCCTTTAGGTAGCTTCGAGCTCTAATATGTATATCCAGATTAGGGAGATTAAGAAATACGTTCGCACTCCTATGTGATTACTCATCTAAAAAAATTACTTTTCACTCGCAAGTTGACTAATGTCGTCAATAGATACCAAATTGGAGAATCAATGTAAGTCCGTGATATAGAGTGGCTTCAACGCCATCTACGAAAATGTTAGTCGTGCCACACAAACACGTCGCACCCCAATAGCTCAGTAAACATATTAATTGAATATTAGGCGCGACTTTTAAAATTGGTCTAGAAAGATCGTCTGTAATTTGCTAATACAAGAGTAAATGGAAGACAGTTTAGCACATGTGCTTAAGATAGGAAATTGTTTTCTCTGCTAATAACAGGAGCTTTTTGACGTTTGCGTAACCGCGTTAGAAAACATGTCCTGAAGAACGCGCGAGCAGTTGACGACCCGTGACCAGTACATGGTCACGGGTCGTCAATAAGGCTCGAGTGATGAAACTCCACGTATGATATGCGTCCATGCAATGTTATGCTGGCTGTCGATAAGCGAAGCGTGCTTCCGATATTGACCTGACTGTACACCTATTATATTTCAAATTAAAACCAGTCAACACGAGTTTATTTTAATAAGTTGCTTATTATCTATTGCTTACATTAATTTTTAACTCAATAGGTACAAAGTATCTGATAATTGTCAAACGCGTTTTACCGTTCCATATATTTATTTCTTCAGTAGGACTCTATGGTTGGGACTAATAATACAACTAATAAAACAACAAAGAGATGTGTACATATATCGTAGTAATGACAGCGTTATTCGTTCACTATTCAACAGCATACTGAGCTTTCAGCGTGTTCCTATTTTTCGTCTATTTTTCAATCTGTATTAGAGCCAGAAGCTATTCGAATAAGGTCTTGCGGATTTTTATATTTTTTTTCACTTTCTAAGTGACTTGGTCATCTAGATACATGTATTTGAGCCCGCCATAAACCAAAACCACAGTTACTCATTCGGTTCATCAATGGAAATTCGCCAGTGGCCTTATCGGTAACCGCTCTGGGGGTGTTGATGATTGACCCTGAAAAGCCTTAGTAGAATATCTTCAATCTTAGATATCATTCTCATTAGGTCAGTCGTCAAATATGATTTGAGGTAGTCCCATTAAATACAATACATCGAAGATGTTCTGCAATTAACTATTCAGCACTCTCGTTTCCACTCTTAACTTTCCATATCGGTCGGTGGCATATATATTCCACTTAAAAATGGATATGAGCATAGGGAGCCCAAGTGTGTCGGTAAGAAAACTTTGCACGACGCGAAGTAACTATAATAACAAAATCAGAATGCGTGACCTTGTATGATCGTTAACTGACGGCTAAGCAAGTTGTTTCATAATTGTTGTCTTCGCGTAATTCTCAGTTGCTTCTTCTCCCATATTTCTATTTCATCTTCGCATTATTTTAAGACAGCCTTTCCATTGGCAAAAATCTGGATTGACACCGGCTTGCAGTTCTCCCAGAACCTGCAATTACCTTTTAATGCCTACGTACGTAAACAGCCTACAGCTAACTATAAGGGCTGATAGCAAATTATTCATCCACTTGCAAACAGGCTCTTTTTGCACAATGAAACTGCACAGATATCAACTTTTTCTTGTAAGAACTTATAGAGTATGTTAGCCATTGAAAATAATATAATCGAACAAAGCGACTAGTATTTTCATTAGCCCAATTCAATGTGAATTTATCAGTGGAAAACGAGACTTGCGTGTCAAAGCTATACATGCCACACGAATCTAACTCAAGGCACACAGAACTCTAAGCCTGATTAGTGATCAGTATTATCCGTTGTAAAATGCTCAGCATTACTAGACATCTGGTTCAAATAATAAATCGACGCAAGCTGGTCGTATACCATCTCAGCTACTTTTGATTAAGCCTGTAGAGGTGCTACTGGCTTATCGATTCCATCAGAGCATAACTGGTCATAAAATCTATCATTTTGTCGGACATCTGATGGAAGATTTAAGCAAACTGAATCGTTCACAAGAGAACAATCCTCTTATTGCTGTAAGTACCCGAGCAAAGACTTTTGGTACGAGAAATTGACTGACGAGAATTAAAATATCACTAACTTTAATTGCAAACGGAAAGGGTGAATCTCTGTTATCTTCCTTAAGGTTGTCTTTTAGATCGAAATCACTGACAATTTAGCTATTTTCTTTAGTTGATGTCAGGCTTATCCTCTCCGAACTAGGTCCAATTTTCTAAAAATTCCTTTATCTTATGTAGTATTGCCGTGCGTAGTTTAATCCATAGCAATATCTGCATCTTTTTGGAACTCATCCCCTTTATTATTAACATTAAACATCTCCAGAGTCATTTAACTTATTAGCCCGGTAAGGATGATGAACGAAATAAGGATCGTTAGAGCAGAGATTGTGTTCCAAAAGAACCTGTTGCATTGTCTTGATGAAGTGCCACCTATAATCATCAGGGCTTTTTTCGTTCTTAAAGCGGAAGTCGATTTTAACTAAGTGAACACCAGGTTCACTTTTGAAGTCCTTTCTTACCCAACATGCACATGTATAGGTAAATGACTTCAGTTATATATACTACTTTATCCTCAGCGAGCGAAATGTCAATTATAAATTAAGAATACAGCCCTTGATCTTCAAAGGGGTACGCGATCAACTCAAGATCCATCATCTTGACGAAGTTATCTACGATGCTCCCTCACTCTAGTGATACATGAGATAGCTAAGATTTCCACGGGCTTTTCCGCGATAGTTTATTTTTTGTGTAGCAAGAACTCAAGTAAAAATCAATGACACCCACCAACACGATTTTATGTAACTTACTAAAGTTGGCATTATCGTGATAAAACACACGCCGGCAGGTATTCGATGGGAGCCCTATTACGTCTAGGTGCTGGTGTAAAGAACTTCCCAACCAAGATTTGCATTTCGTTGAGGCTGTGCTGCGAGTGCACAAAGAAGACCGTTGCATCCGCTGAAAAGTAGACTACTGAAAAAAAAACTGAAACACATTATTAGAAAAGAACTCATATTCAGTCCACCGTGCGTAACCAATCAATGAGATTTCAAAATCGTACTGGCCACTGTTAAGGAAGACCTATATCGCGTCGTTTTCGGGCGGCAATTTTTTTCAGAAGCGAAGGTTTCCCAAACTTGCCTCGAGGATAGTCATCGCCTCTGTCGGGTTCGTTGCCATATTTCGGGTTGGTTAAGTTGAAATTCGCCCTGCACAGCCTTCACCTTCCTGCAGAAGATCCATGCTCATGTTATATACAATCAGTTATCTGCTTTCATTACCATAGGCCGTTTAACGTAAACGATTAGCTATGTATTGTCAGAATTTAGAAACAATCGACTAGAAAAAAATTCACACTCAGGCTATATTAATTTTTCTATATACAACTAATGTACTATAACATACATTTCTTATAAATAAATAAAGCAGAAACTCTATGCAGGAATTAGTTATGATACACTGAAATAATACGACGTTTCGTTAAGTATGTCCACTTTGTTCGTTGATATGACGAACCACATTTAGCAGAGCACATAAACAACAGATCTTCATGATTTCATAAAAATTGTAAATAACGAAAAAAAATGTTGATAAACTGTATTTAAAGGTAAAAACGATTCGAAACGTCACATGACAGACCTTTCAGCCTGTTGCAACAATCTTCAGATGAGATACTAATACAGAAAGTTTTGGATTACAGACGCCTTTTTTAAATAATCACTCACCAACGGGACACAAGACCTAACAATACCTCGTTAATAGTACCGTTAATATTAGGCTTTCTTGAAGCCTCATCAGTTCAACTATCTAATTGAGATAAATGTTTATGTTGTCTCTATATGTAGACAATTATGCAGCAACACTTGTTCGAAAAAATCCAGTTTATTTGATGACAAACGCCAATCCCACTTAAGTTTGTTCTATAAACTTTTCCAAGTGTCGCCGTGCACATTTCCCCTGAAGTAACACAATTGTCAAAAAGTAGAGCTCTTGAGTTATGAGGCGTTATCAGGCAGATAGAAGAGAATCTGACTTCACCTACAACATGCTTGATTGTTCGTCCTGTTCAGTGGTCTGGCCTATAAATCAAGTGATACTCAAAAATAGCTGATATAGTGAAGCTAAAAGAGCTGGTTTGAGGGAAGGGTCAATGGCTATAATCAAGGCTCGCCTATGCAGACATTTAATGTTCCTTAATTTTCAGAATAATGAATTCGGAAAAGTTGTAACCATACTCTCTGTAGCCATACTTAACAAAAAATCACCGATAAAAATTATAGTGAAAACCCAACTCATTTTTACAGATACCATTAGCTCGCTGTCGTGTCGCATAGCTAATTCACTTGTAATGAAAAGCAAAAACATCTTTTGAAGATAACAACGCAATTCGTCCAAATCGACAAGCAGTTATACTAAACTTGTTCATAACAACACCTTAGAAATTACATGCGATTCCACAACAGGATAGGTGTCGTGTTAGGAATGTCTGTTTCTATCTGCAGCCTGCTTGCGTTATGGATTGCATCCGCGATGAGCCATTGCGTCCTTTTAATTTCACCTAAATGGCGTCTATGGTTTGTTACGAATAGCGGGAAACACACGTTGTGTGGGTGTCTAGGCAAAACTGGTGGCTTTTATAATCAGTTTGTTATAGGCTGTATCTATGTTAAAACTTATATTTCAGTGAATTATTTGGGTGTGCCAAAAGGGATGTCCCTTATAAACGTGCTTGTTCAACATGACTGCCATTCCCTTTAAGAGCTTCGTGACTTAAACCGTTCACAAAACTTAATTTAAAAAAAAAAGTTCCAAAACTTAATTTTCTAAATTTTCGAATCACTGCTTAATAGGCATCTTAAGTGGCGCCACATCGGTGCTACTGGATTTTCTCAAGCCCTACTACTTGGTATATGCAATTTACTATTCTATACTAGCTTGTTAAACTGTTTTTTCAATTATGGGAAACGGATTTTTTACATCAGTGCTTCGTTTTACCGAGGAAAAAGGAAGCTATTATGATTAACACAGACTTCGCCGCAGTACCAAAAGACGAACTAACAATTATCGAACATAAAAAATAGACTCTATCTGCTTTTCCTTAGGAGATGTTCAGGTGTACTGTCCTAACTAGCCATACAAGTAAGCTGACTATCGATGAATTGAAATACTAAAAAGTTTTGAAAGTTACACAAAGAGAAAGTTATGGTTGCGCAGTTGCACTTGCTTAAGATATTGTATTTTTTAAGATTGTCGTCCTGTAACAGCGGTGCCAAAAAACATGCGAAAAGAACATTTTTACTGCACTTCTCAAGGTAAGTCAACATCCTAAGTTGTAAAATCGACCAACGGCCCATCTTCCGCTTTTTTCGTCTATAAGAACTTGTTTCACCGCATATACCTTAGAAACAGGAACAAGCATGTGTTCCAGATCGTGCACAGCTCTGACGACACACCTAGATAGATCATCAGTTAGCGGTAACCTGATTTCTTGTACAGTGTATGGTGGAACCCATGCTTGGCAAAGCGAGTGACGACATGTCAATTACGTCGCTTTGGCACTTTTCATTTGTTGCTCCTCATCGTATCCGAAATAAAGAAACTTTAAATGTATACTCCCAGTTCCTAAAGTTGGTTCTAAAGGTTTCCGTTGCTGGCAGCTCAGAGTGGCATTGTAGGTCCCCGGACAGAAGTTGCGAGTCAGCTAGGAGTTACGTGAGGCGATTTTGCATCATTGTGTCTGGTCCCAGTACCTCTTTGAGAAAGAGAATGTTAACACGATTTCATATTTCGAGGTTCCCCACTGTAAGATCCTCTCAGACGACGCATACCATTATCTCACAGTCGGGGCTACCTGAAAGCGGCTGCAAACGACAAGCGATTTGGTCACCCATGCGACCAACATTGCATTTCTGTATCTTTTATTTACGTGCGCCGTGAAACTTCTGGCATTTGCGGAGATAGGAGCGATGCCAAATACAGAGACTGATATACAAAAGCAAGCGATGATTTTGTACGAGAGGTTAGTGCCCGTTGTTTCGCCTGAATAGAGCTTGTTGCGATTCATTAAATCGTCTGCTTACAAGATGACCTTGACTCATTCTCTCAGCCATCCTATTTAATCAAAGAGGCCCTTCAGTAAGATAAGAAATAAGAATAGATTTATTTTGCTTCCTACGTCAGGCCAGTTAACTATGTGGAAGACGGGAGTTCGGTAAGTCCGTCATCGATAGTTATTTCCGTCCTCTTGTAGAGCTACAATGAAAAAATTGAGCCCATTCATACGGACGCCTGTCTCGGCCAGAATGAGCATACTCTTTTCCCTCGTCTCCAAGTCAAAGGCTGAGGTGAAGTTGACGAACACCGCATATAGCGGACTGTGAGGCGTGGCCAAAGCTCTCGTAACCTCGACCATGACGCTGCTCGCCGCTTCTACACAGCATCCTTCCGGAATCTATCTTGCTCCATTGAGGTGGCTCACATGCTTTTTAAGTACGTGTCCAGTATCCTAGTGAGCAAGCCGAAAAGCAATTTTTAGCGAACGCTGTCGTTCGCGATTCCCCGCCATGACAAGGGCGCGGGTGGATCGCCCTTTCCTTTGAAAACCACTAATAGGGTAGCATCCCTCTACTGAGCATACCAGTATGTAAAAATTTGTTAAGTGGTACCATTTAGCACGGTACTAAAACGATGGCGCATTTGAGATGCTTATTGCAGAATCTATCTGGATCAGCGTCTTTTGTGTTATGTAGATTCTTAAAACTTTGTGTTAATTCCCGCACTATAAAGCCTTGGTGATAACTTGCGTTGTATTGAGACCCCCTTTTTGTACTCTGCGGCGAAAAGAGGCAATATCGTGTCCCTTAACGCGAACAATGATTTGTGCGTACCGAGAAACTAACCGAGCAAGCCGCAGAATTATAGGCGATTTACTTCTACCCTTTGGCAACAAATCATCTACGTCTACTTGGATAATGGTTACACGAATACGTGTATGATGTATCTGAAGTAAATACTAAATTCGAGAAGTCAGTCGTTTTCCATGAACTAGGTAATATGGTGAAAGAGTAAATATATAACGTTCTACTATTCGACTTTATTTAAAAGAACCCAGTATATCTAATCTCTCGAAATGCGTATCTGCAGAGGACATGCTATGGCTATACAAGAAGAATAGATCTGAATTAAATAAATCTTGTTCTGATCATAATTTAATTATATGAAACCAAAATAATAAAAATAAAAATATAAAGTACAGCAAATTACCAGCTAATAATAAAAATATTAATAAAAATAAGTAAAAGTAATATTTGAAAAATATTATTGTTTAAATATATATAAATATTAAAAATAAGAACGTAAAGATATGTAATAAGAAATTAGACTAGGCTAATACAATGTATACCTATAAAAAAAATTGGAAAAATAAGTGTAAACCAAAATAAAAATTATAACAGTATCGGGGCTATGAATCTGGTAGAAAAACCGTTTGTCAAAAATCGGTAAATAAAGCTCTTGGGTACTGGACTGCTTTACCCTAGATCTGCTAGATTCTACTTGAATACAGCAGTGTGATTGTAAACTCTTGTAGTTCTGACTCTTCATATCTGCTAAATGTGTCAGGTATAGCTAAAATATGATTTAAGTTCGTTTCACGCATCCCCTGAACTAGTCGCCGTGAGAATTGAAAGAAAGTACCCTAACTAAAACATGGTCGGGAGAACAAATTCTGAATCCTCTATTGATGCTAGTGTAAACATATTGTATATAATGCGAATATGTATATTTAACATCGTATCATCACCGGAATGACACATCGTTGACCCTATTCAAATAAACAATTAACACAGCTGTGAAAGCTGTGTTTTTAAACCAATCCTCGATAATTACGCATACAGCAGAAGAATTATGCAGAGACAGTCTACATGACCAACGCTCATAAACGACAATCACAAATGCAGTCACATACTAACGTAGTCGAGGCTAAATATATATTCATGAAAATATCTACATTTGTATATATTGTAGAAACGTCTCTTGCGCAACTTCTATATTTATGAAATATAACTCACTTAAACTTAAGGCTTATATTAACCACAAACTTAAGCTAGATATACTTAGTTTAGTGCTTTAGACATGAGAGTGCAAAAATACTCGGCTCATCATCGCTGTCTGCAGACCTCCGCTAAATTGCTCATTTTTACAGTAACCTTTGTTATCAGTGTTAATGGGACTGGAACCGCGTCCTAGCAGCGCTCTAAGTTAGTTCTCCAGTTTTGTGAGCCGATACTCCGAAGGGTCTTTGTCGCTCCTGATCATTTACTGATGCTTTCACATATAATGTTTTTTAATATTAGGTAAAGTCTGAAAGCCCCTCGAAATATTCAACAGTTTGTCAAAATAGGCTAGATAGTAGCAGTATCAAGATCCTTGTCTTATCCGACCTCTCCAGATCAATGCACGGTACTTTGTCCTTTGCTCGGTTCATCTTTCCCGTAAACCCTGAGTGCAGAGGCGCAGTAGAGATGGTGGCTTGTGCTCTGGGGTACAAGGTTAAAAATGAGCGATGATGTTACAGAAATGCTTTATCTGTTGAACCTTTGAATGACAACTATCAGTTTCCATGCAAAACATGCAAATACGATATGTAGTTATGATGAAACAAACTTAAAAAATCGTGTTCGCCAGAGCTCATTGAAGTGTGTTCTACACAGAACTAAAGATTTCAGCTGTAATCTTGGCTAATTCGACGTAACCGCTTTGAGAGAACAGTTTAACACATTAAGGTCACAATGAGATCGTATTAGATTTATTTACTCAGAACATACAACGATTGTCATCAGATTTTGGCACACTTCACCAGCATAAACGTCGACCCAAATGGCGATGTACCGAAATATAATACGTGACTATGGAGGCTCAATATGCTATAGCCTTCGCCCCCAGAAAAACAGGAGAGTAGTAAGCACCCCACATCATTTTTATAAAAGCGCATACAGGAGGTATCTGAACAAAGATCCCCAGATGGGTGTGTTTACTACGTAGAGATACACAAAGAAACTTTCAAAATAAAGATAGCGTTTTAATTCTATACCTAACATAACAAAATATTTCTTGGTCTTTAATATCGACTCAATAATTCTAGTAAATATATATCGTAGAATGTGCCATAGGTAAAAAAATAACATAATTGCTTTACTTATGAGAAATGCGTCCCAAAGGATTTGTCGCTTGGCCACAAAAGAGAAGCGATGAGTGTATGCCGTATTAGCTACAGCTGACGGTATTTGAATAGTGCGCGACCCGCTATTTTTAATTCGTCTGCTATCCGAAAGGTTGTCCTTGTGGGACAGAACAGTCGACACAAATTGTAGGTGGTGTTCTCGTGTGCTGTGATTTTAATCGGTGCGTATTTCATGTCTTTGTAGAATAAAAGTGATATTTAACATACGGACAAATAAAGAAAAGATCGTAAAGTTAAGATCATGGCGAAATATTTTTCCTAACGAGAATATACTTGTACGTAAATTTTCGGCCTCGAGCTGCATACTTAAACGAACTAATTATTTCGTTATGATCGGACTATTTGATATTGTTTGAGCTTATTGATTTCACCCCAAAACATTGAAATTATCACATCTATTATCGTGTGAAGACTCGCTTTTGAAAAGCCGCACAATCTCCCCATCTAGCGATACCTTAACACAGATCAATTCACTACTTTATTGGGACTGTGATTATTCCATTCATGTCAAACCTCTGTCAATATATATTGAATGCACCGACTCTTCTTAGGAGCGCTATAAATGAACAAGTTTAAAATTCGCTCAGTTTGCTTGAACAAGCCAGAGTGTTTAGAGTGGGAAATGATACAATCTAAGCTATGGTCCTAAAGCCTTAAAATAGTCATATAAAACATCATCGTCGCAATTATTTTTCAGTGTTCGTCGAGGAGGTTCTGTTTCGTGTGTTATTGCATGATGTACAACAAACACAAGACTTTTAATTTAATGTAGTGATTCTGATCTATGGAGCTAGTTTAAAATAAGCGCTGACATGCACTGCCTTATTGATACAACGCGATATATAAATATATATATATATATATATATATATATATATAGGCAAATATATAGAACACGAAAAACGTTAGTGTCATGCTCGTACTGTGTGTCGGCTGCTAATTACGATTGTTATTTGTAGAAAACGCAAGAATGGGAGGACAGTTTGGACATCTGTATAAGATTCGCGGTATAATCTACTACCGTCTGTCACCGTACGAACTTAGTCCGACCAAAGGATTCTTGAGCAAGGGCATTGCTAATACCATTCGCAGAACTATGAATGAGCTTCCCTACATCGCACCACGTAGGTATTCCAACACTGTCATTATCTAGTTAACGGTGTCGTATTTTTATACTGCTATCAGAAGTGTGTTTTAAGGACTAACGTGTAAGAGAGTTCCAAAACCAGGTGTATACACTCACAGATAACACCTCACTATAATTCTCATATAGCACAAATAGTTATTTGTGCTTAGTGGTAACAATGCCTCGGGAACAATAATCCGCTTTGTAACCTAGTCTTAACAACAGCATGGTCGATAACGATTGCAGCAAACTTTAGCCCCAAGTCGTTTAATCTACCTTATCCCCTTGCTATCAAGAATTAGCAATAGTTCGTTCCGCTTATCTCCGTAGAATATCCTAAAATATATAAAGATTACAATGATTAGTCCCTTTACTAAAGCTTCGACTAATATGCGATGATAAGTAAAATATCACATTGTTTTTATGTGTATATATTTTATGTATATACAACTATATATATGTTAGGCTATACACAAATAATGTAATAAACTCATTAAGAGCCAAACGCCTTGCATTTTGCAAACGCCGATGATCGAGTCGATTGCCCCGCAACTTATATATGGGTCTCTTACATGTAGCATGATGTATGCAAATTTGGTATATAACAAGTGGTGAACAGTAGCAGGAAGTTTCACACTCATCGGTAGATCTGAAAATATCTCCTATATATGTAATGAGTATACCTTTCTGTTTGTGTGTTACAGCGTTTGCCATGACATGGTTTATCTACGATTATGCAGTCGCGGAAAACGCGCGTCTCTCAAGGAAGAATCCGGATGACTATGTGAACGATCAATAGCTTTTTTAAGGGCCTGAACAAATTGAAGCTTGCAACCTGAGCAACACTCATAGTGGGCGTAGAGTGCAGATTATAACAACAACAACCACGATTATTTCTTTAAGAAATTCGTTTATGACAATGAGGACGCGTCATAGCCAGTGAAAAAGCATGAGGGCAAGTACTACGTCCATGTTGACCGTTATTGGAAATTACTGATACTAAAAACTTCTACATGTTGAAAATAGTGGGAAATAAATTTTAGGCACAGTAAATACGACCGCGAGACATTTTTTTTTCAATTCTAAATGTGAGACATAGAGTCATTTTTTATTTCGATGATATTTTCCAGCACCGAAAAAATATGCAAAGGTATGCATCCGTGTAATATGATTTTTCCCGTTCTTAAGTGAAATTATTTCAAGAGGTTTTTCTAACAAGATTATCACAGTAGGAAAGAGGTCATATAAATAAGTAGAGATTAACTAGCCAAAAGCCGAATATTAACTCATGCGGCCGGAGACATAGGGCTAGGCTGCATTACGTAACGATAATTTGGGTGTACTTCAGGATTGTCAGGAAAAGAGCGAATCAAGTACAGTTTCAGATAGCACATGGCGTTAAGTAACTACTCCAAAAATATACAGGACGAGTGAAGTAATAAATTGTCACGTTTTTAAGCTTCATACTATATAAAATTAGCTCTACACTTCATACGCTTTTACGAAATTTTACGATTTTCGATAAATTTTATATTAGAATAATATTCACTTTCTTCGTCGATTGTCAAACACGAGCAAAAATAGATTGTGTTTTACGAAACTTCATAGAAGAGAATTTTACAAAAATGAAATCTAAAATATAAAAATAGATTGTTTACGGTTTTGAAGATGCATTTGTGCCTTTTCAGCAACGGTAATATCATAGAACAGCTCTATTTTAAAATGTTTTATGCCACTAACTAAGTTTTGTTGCCTCGTTATAGACCCTCAACATGTTAATCATTCCTTCGTCTGGGGCTTTTAGAATAGTTTATCTAGTATTACAGTAACAGATAAACTGTACGGGTTACACACGAATCGAAAATATATTCTGGCTAGGCAGTACATGTTTGTATACAGGCATACGCAGCATTAATTGGGGCTATTCATGGATAGATAACTGTGTCGGCCCATTTATGATATGCTTTCGAAACTCCAACATATCTCAGTAGCATTCACTCAGAAAATAACGGCTTTCATAACTTGCTTACGTACATTTGTTTTTAGTTACACTTTCAATCAATGAATATTTACGATGTATATATTTTTTAGAGAAAAGATGCGACGGTAGCTCGTTGATTAATTTAAGTTTTTATAATAACTTTATTCAATAACACTGCCTATTCAACAACGACCATTACGCTCTTAGGAGGAAATCTCGAATGGAATACTGTAGTTTTGTACATGAAGTGTTTGATAATAAGCCGAACACTTATTAGAAACTTAGAAGACAATGATCTTTAAACATAACGGACAAAGGTTATGGATGAACCTATTATATAAGCAATAGTCTCAGAAGACCAAAATCGCACAATCCCAAAGAATACAAGAAGTTTTCCAAACTTCGGCGGAATCACGAACAGGTTGGTAGGAATTACCCCACTGAATTCAATTCCTACGAAAAACGACAAAAAATAAAGGCTTTTTGCAAAAGCCTTTATTTTGAAAGCTAGAAGCTTTTACTTCCAATACTCTCAATCCGCGATAGTGCTCGCGGCATTGTTGCTCAGATCTAAGTAATTTCAAATGTAGAACGAGTAGACTCTGTAGTTGTATCCACACTGGCGGAACGTAACTGCCCAGAGAACTAAAATTGAGAACTCATTTTAAACAATTTCATTAAAAAAATGAGGATTGATGGTTGTAAGCCAGCTTAAGAATGATTGCTCATTAATGGCAAAGATGATGACAAGTGATGTGACTCTGTATTGAGAATAATACTTCTGTCCAATTTTGGTTTGCTTACGTAACCTTAAGTTGTGATTAAGTTACCAGTATGCATGAATTCAGCAGAAAAATGTCAAAATGCTTGACAACGAGAATTAATGTTTCTAGTAAGCCAAGTTCATGCTTACGGTCTATAAATAGAAAAAAAGCAACACATAGGTCACTGCGCGAGATCGAATCGATTCGCGGAGGCTCACAGAGCTGATCAGCGCTAATCTCCGCGACTCTTTTCGTAGGCGAGACAACTGAACAATGGCATCAAACGCACTAACCAGCTACGGTGATACAGAAGTACGGGAGAGAAAAAAAGATGGAACAACTGGGCAGCCGAATAAAGGAAACAACGTTAGATGCAGACGGACCCTCAGGATTTTGTGGGCAACTAGATGCCAATTCATGAGATACCATTACACAAACGGGTACATTGGAAGAAAGGGGTTAGGACACTTCGAAGGTTACAGCTGTCCGGGAAACCCTTAAGAAGGATGGACGAGAACTCGACTAAAAGATTCACGAATCTGTCAGCCGTCTTTGTAAAGTTTGATCTGAAATTTATTTGAATCAGTTCTAAACAAAAGCCCGAAAATACGAGGTACACGATTTAATGGGAAAAGTCCCTAAGTATCAGGCAAATAAGTCAGCAGTGAAGTCTAGCTTGCATAATGCATTGACTTTTAGCCTTCTTATAAAAAAGCCAAGCCTCTGACAAGCATTAGATAGTTCAACGCAACAGGAGCACCAGTAAATGGCCGTGTTCCTTAACCTGTTCTATAGATTCTATTTACTAAATGCAGTAGCTTATGAATTCCCCTTTTACAGTAAAATTGATAACAAACGACTATCGTAAGCTTTGCGGTCTCACTGTCAACAGCAGTGCTGCATTAGTCGAACAAAAATTAGAATTTGAAATGCTCAAATCGGCAAAGTTTTTTCTGATTCTAATTCTGATTCTAATTGAAATAAACCTTACAAAAATTTAAATATGCTTTTCAACCAAGTTAAGGGTCCCGAAATGTTCTACTAAAAAGAAAAATAAAATGATTTACATGTAAGCACCTCTCAGAAGTAAAACCGAAAGCCGATTTACAAGTCTACATAGTAAGTATTATAGCTACAGTTCTAAAAAAAACTGCATAGTTTGATATATCTGTGTCCAGTATAGCAACTTATATTCTTTGATTAACAGAGACGGATTATAAACCTGTACGGCACGGAGCGCAATATATACGGAAATCGTTGATGAACCCTTGCTCTTCTCTTCTCCTTGTCAGTCGCCCGGTCTTACCTAGGCAACGGGTTAAAATGGGTAACGTATGAGCTAAGTATAGTTGAATTGTACCAAGCTAAATATCAACACTGAGACATGCAAACAGTTATTGTCACATGTCAATACGCAGGAAAAAAGTGCCACATATATAGAACTTGTGAAATAAAGTTTCGTTATTATGTCAGAAAAAAATGTCGAAAGTGTTCAACAAATGAGCTAGTTTCAACAACGCTTTGCCGATTACCCTACCACTATCAACCAACTGATAGTACTGACGCCAAGTAACCTATGGTAGACGAGAACTAGCTGTCATGTGATATCAAGCAAGAAAAAGAACTTGCTGAGGCGCTATTCTAAGTCGTCTTGTTAATTTCAGATTGTAAAAACAGACGACTAATCGTAAAACTTTTGCGGCGATATCATGTTTTAAGCAAGTTGAACATGTCGCAACCACCAAAGGATTTGATCCTTGCTACCTGTTTGTCAATAGTCTGAGCTGATAAAAGGGGCCACGTTAAAAATGTTGTCTTCAACAAATTTTGCAATCTAAGTTTATTGTTGAGGCTTTAGTTATTTTGTATCAATTGCTTACTGCTTGTCAATTGATTCCTAGAGATCTTTCAGTGCGGCGACTCCATTTTGTTATGATAAAAGTGATATCCATCGCATCGAAAAATAGTTACAGATATATGTACAGGGTTTTGTATTCTACCAAACCAGTCCTTTCGGGAACACTTTCTTTTGAAGCAACTTTTTTATTCATCCTATAGTTCCGTTCACTTCCTAGTACAGAGATAAACGTTTGAAGAGACGTACAAAAGAAGCTCTAGAAACCGGCGATCTAATAGCAGTTGAGTTTACCTACGCATCTGACAGAAAATTTCAGGGTAGACATTAGAACGACGAACGTCTCGTGTGCTGGCCCTAATTTCTGTTGTCTAAGTCAAATAAAATTCATCTTTCACCACCGAGCGCCAGTAGGTAACATATTCACTTACTAATCCTAGAGACACGTTGTAGTCTAGGTTTGCATCCAAGCATAGACAGAATTCGTTTTGTGCTGGGAGCCAGCCGTCTGTCCGACAGAAAGCCTAACAGCGACACCGAACATATAAACCATCGAGTGTGAAGCTGAGCGGCGTATTCGAAATCACATATTCGTACTTCAAATCTTAGCGCCAATTATCCTGACAAATTTGCGCATGCGTTTCGACAAGTTGGACCGAACACGTTATTTAACAGGCGCGCGTAGTGCCGACACAACTAGCATCATTTGTGCCATAAAAGTTATTTGGTATAAGGATGACAGGAATGCCTAGAAAGAAACTGATGAATATCGCAGGAACGCCTAAAGGGATAAATAACAGATATTGCGTTTTAACGTGTGTCAATTAAACATTGATAGAAAATATTACGTACCTATCTGGCCATCAACATCCCTCACATCCTCGTATAGAAAAGCTCAATACCGATACTTAAAAACATTTTCTAATTGCCACATAGAAAACACTATGGGAAGGCTTAGCTTTCAGATAAACGATATATTTACAAGGTAATGCGCTAGTGTAATGTTTATAAAATAACGCTCAAAATCCTTTGTTTTCTTTTGTATATACCATGATCTGTGAAATAAAGAAAGCTGCTTATTATGAGTCTCTTTACGATGTTGAGTATTCATAGCACACACGTATTAAAAAGTAAATACTGTTAGCACTGCTAAAAATGCGTTAGATTGTATATGTCCTGCTGGTAGTATTTTTCAGGGAGCTACAAGAATTTAGCTAAAGTTCCCTTTGGGAACCTCAATTTCATACTCATATCAAACTTCTACATCTAATTTGAATCAATCTGCGAAGTATTTATCACATTGACACGTAACATTTTCAGATTTTAAATGACTGTTAGTTGGAACTCACAAACCTATTTCGGAAAATAGAAAGTCGAATTATACATACGAACCCTGTCCGAAGATCGGCCTGGCACTTACAGCGGATTCTGGAAAACGTTACAGTGAGTTTTACTATAGACAGTATAAAAATGAAGAGTAATCAGGTGCTATGTCACATACAAAGTGGTAGAAACAGTTGCCACCTATTTTACGCGAAATCTACAAAAGCCGGAGAAGCAAACTGAAAACGACAAGAGTATTATAAGTTACATATTGTTATTCATCGCGTTTCTTCGTGATTATCTAAGTTTTATAAGTGTGTGTAATACTTTTGTAATAAATATTTGTGTAATATATAACTAATGTGTAACAAATGTGGTTTCGTATCCTCTTCTACTTTAATAGTGTTTGTTCACTGACGAAATAATTTTTTCAATACAAGTAAAAGATATTGACGGCTGGTTTTACCACGGAGCAGCAATCACATATGACGTCAATACGCTGGATGGAATTAAACGTCGTCTGCCAAGCGTCTTTCGATTCGTCCCTTTCTCAAACGCTCCTTCACTTTAAAGCGCTGTTTGACGGCACTATGTGGCTGGTAACCTTGCCATATCCACCGGCCAACTATCAAGCGCTGGTCTCTTTTACCAGAGCAGCCCGTGGATTGTTCGCCGCGTGTGTCTCGCTCCGTGTTAGCGCAAGCTGTCCCGTCTGCTCCTGTCGCGAGCTGGTTGAAACCGAAGTCGAGAACACAGAAGTGCTGCAAGCTGATTGTAGCAATAGTTGTAGTTGCAATAATTGTACTTCGACTCCTTTTTTAATTTGTTCCTGAGCAGCCGTTTTTTTTTAGTGAAAATGGTTGACGTACAACTTCTTCAGGATGTGGCCAACCGCCTGCGCGTGCTCTCCATCCAAAGCACAAATGCCGCGAACTCAGGGTAAGTTGCAGAGCCAATGATGTCTTCATTTTTCTGTTGTCTTCATAAGTTGATGTACATGTCGTTGAATATTGACTATTGTCAAAAGTTGAATTTTCACCTATTGTGTAGTCTTTTTGCGGTGATGAGACCGGCGTGCTTCTTTATTATCTATAAAGGACATAAGCGCTGGTTGTAGCAGAAAGACAAACAAGTTTCCCAAAGATTGAAAGGCCGCTTCTGTATAATGCGTTCACATTGTTTATATCAAGTAATAATCGTAATAGTCTTTCCATTAGCGTTTAGTATATAATTCTATTATTTGATAGTAACCAGTCAATAACTATTACACTTTAAGTGTCTACGCTTGTAATAACTTTAACATTATTGCGCAGAAAATTCAAATAGTTCAAGTTACGAGGCGTAACTAAACAGGTATCGTAATAATACATGACATGCATTTATGCCGATAGAAAAACTTGACGGTTACATGCGGAGAGTCTAGGGCCGAGTACGGAAAAATGTCAGTTCGGTTATCGAGATGCTTCAGCATTTTTTGTAAATATCCATTGGGTAAACTTTTGCGTGTTGTAGTATGCGAAAAGGGCACCCTGTAAGACAGTGATTAGTACAAATAAATCGTTACGTCTATCGCCATCGCCAGCATTGTTGAGGAAAAGGCAGCATTGCGATCGACACCGTTATCAGCTAGATACATTGACGAGACACATCTGATATGTCTCGTTTTCTCACCTGGACAAAGACCACTCATATGCTGCGCAAAGAAAGTAGTAGACAAGCGACAATTAGGAATTGTTCGACACGGCTTTTCTAGCATCGTGTTGTTATTCTTGTCTTGAAACAACACCCACAACATGCATTAGTCGTTCAGAAATGTTTTATCCACGGTTATTGTGGTTTCGAAACGTGAATGAGACCTAGGTCGCTTACAAAACCTATTCAGATGGTGAAATTTGTTGCTCTTCTTTGTTAAAGAGTATTTAGTCAACAAGGATATCTTATGAGGAAAGATGTCTTCGTAGGAAATCCTTTCTCATCTTAATGTAATAGTTTTCAGTCAATAAAATATTTTCTAACCGTACAACGGCTATCGTTAGACGGTACGTACGTTGTTTCACCTTCTAGTATATCGTAGCTTTTATCACTATTTCCGCCAGTAGATATAATTTGATATCACTGGTCAGAATAGATAACTTGATATCATTTTTTGCTGTTAGTGTTAAGATTGTGCTATTAAGAATGATCGCGTACCTTTCTATTATTGCATATGTTCTTTATCTGGGTTCAGCTGGTTGGCTAAAGTAATAGCCACAGACCTTCGTGGTTATTGTGAATAAGCTTTCAACTCTTATACAAGCATCATGATTATCTAGGCAATATAATTATCTGAATACATAAGCACGCGTAAACAGATGGCCACTTTTTTTTTTGTTTATAATAAGCCTACACACGTTTCTCTTGAGCAGCCTTCTGTTGGCTCAACGTAAATATTATGGAACCGTAATTTATCTGAAATATACAGCAATAACTCAGGTATTGTACATATTGTATGTACATGTTTTGCCATTGAGAAAAACATTATATTACACTAGCTTGCTTTATTTAGTATGAAAATTCCTGTCACTGACGCTTCATTTTGTTACTACACGAACACGGTCATGGGTGGATTGGACCTAACACAAAACACTGATCTTTCTGAATCTGATCTGAAGTTCATCGCATATGGTTTTGTATTAAGGCCAAACAAATACAGAAAAATACAGGAAATATTAAAAAAAAAAAATATTCGTGTTTATCTTAGCACATTTCGATGTGCTTAGATGCGTTGCTTGAACCTATCTGCCACGGTGGATGATATTTAACATAGATCCGTACTAATGTCTGAGCATTCGGATTCAGCTTGAGAAAGCTTGCTTTTAGAAATTGTAGTAGCACAAATATCTGTTGTAGTAGATGATATCTTTGCGCTCTGTATTTTGCATTACCCACTTTTTGAGTTTGACCCTGAGTGACCATCAAGCGTTGTGGAAGTTTGTCTTTGATTCGGTCGTCTGCCTATCTAAACCGTCAGCTAATAGAATGGGTTACCCGATCCACTGCTTCAAAACATCGATTGTTCTTAAACAATAGGGTGTGCCGCGTTGCCTGCTACCGATTCATTAGCACCGTATTAAAAGAATATTGTAACCAATAGTAATACAAGTTCAACAGGAACGTGTAGAATCGATGTTGTCGTTATAACTCATATAATCGAAATGAGTTCAGACCTATCTATCCTAAGCTAATGCTATCTAAGCTATGTTCACGTAATCAAGTAAGACATTGGTTTCCCTAAGAGAGGGGCGACAAGCTATAAGAAATGAAGCTGCAGGACCACAGCTGGATCAGTACTGCGTCAAAAATGTAAAACAGTTAAGCAAAAGTAAATTTTATATCTTAGCAAAAATGCTGTTTTTCATGCAGATTGCGTTTGTTGATTCATTTTGTATCTATCGCATTTGCATTTGCGTTATCCGAAAAAAGCGTATTTAGAGCCTACTGTACATTAGATGTTGTTATTAAGTACGGCTGCCAGGTATATTCACATATTTAATTAAGATTTGAATTTTTCGATAATGCCTCTCCTTTCAGACATCCGACAACATGTACGTCGATGGCCGAAGTATTGTCGGTCTTATTCTTCGATGAGATGCATCAAAGCCTTGCCGAACCGCGATGTCCCTCTAGTGATAGGCTTGTCCTTTCCAAAGTAAGGAAACCTTACGTTAGGACATGGAGTATGTACGCTATAATATTAACAATGAATTTGGATATGTTGCAGCCACTTGCTTGGAGGATGTGTAGGTTTTTTGTGATCCTGTTTATTTGCCCTCAATCTTTACACGAGTAACGTAGATTTCCGCATTTAAGACCATTCCAGAGAGGGGAGACATTTGAATATATAGTCTTTTACATATGTGGTGGAAGGTATTTGGAAAACATCTTTCAATTCAACATTGCTCTCTTTATATTTTTAGGGACACGCGGCTCCCATTTTGTATGCCGCGTGGGCTGTTGCTGGCCTTTTCCCTGAGGAAAAGTTGATGGACTTGCGCAAATATGACAGCGACCTCGAAGGGCACCCAACACCTAGGCTCAACATAATCGACGTTGCCACTGGATCGCTGGGCCAGGGATTGAGCTGCGCGGCTGGAATGGCTTACACCGCAAAACATTTCGACAAGATGGAGTACGTACAAAGGGATACTATGGATATTCTCATATTATTTACACATTTTGCGCATTATCCACTTCATTATCATAGGTTATCTCACAAGTATATCTCCAAACCGATTTTGGTTTTGCTGCTAGAACCAGTTCCTGAATAAAATCAGGATTCGTTAAAGCATAGTTGAGCCATTGGGTCGCTCATAGTATTGCCCCGTTTTACTACTAATTTCCAGCTACCGGGTTTACTGCATCCTGGGTGATGGTGAAGCAGCCGAAGGCGCCGTATGGGAGGCGATGAACTTCTGTCAGCACTACAAGCTTGACAACCTTGTTGCCATCTTTGATGTAAACCGACTCGGCCAGAGCGGACCCACCTGTTTACAACACCAAACCGACATTTACAAGGCTCGATGCGAGGCCTTTGGGTAAGCTGTACGGTTACGTGTCAAGGCTATTACACATTCCAGTACCGTAACTTTTTCAGGATAACAAAATCCACTTACAGTCTAGATTAGAATAACTTATGATATTATTCTATATAATTGAGTTACCGAGATATGAATGAATAGAATAAAATGCATACAAATTTTCCTTAAGTATTGTATTGTATGCTCACACAGAATTCGGTATAAGGATAGACCGGATATAACTCTGAACTTTACACACAGGGAGTGACAGTGAATACCCTTTTATCGCGGAAAGCATATCGATCATGTAGCATGCATATTTACTCGTATAATAATTATGAATTACTAATCATGAACTTTTGACTTTATCTATGAAATTTGAAATTTATCTATGTTGATTCAATCTTCAATTAGCTTTCACACAATCGTAGCTGATGGCCACTGTGTGAAGGCCATTCAGGCTGCATTTGCCGAAGCTAAGGCTACAAAAGGGAAACCAACAGCCCTTGTATTGAAAACTTTCAAGGGTTCTGGAATCGAAGGTATTGAGGACAAAGAAAATTGGCACGGAAAGCCTATTGGTGACAAGGCCGAGTCTGCTATTAAGGGTATGAGACCATCGAAATGTTTTTTGACCCAAAAAAAGTTCATTATTTGCGTTACTTATCATGATTTTATCGCCTTCAAATGATGGACATTGTAAACATCAATTGCGTGTATACAATAATCGGTTCTTTAGAATTATATTCTATTTGATATCAAGAAAAAAGAGACAGTTAAGTTGCGGCTTACGTTAGTTGGACGCAAGTGAACTTCTTCGTAAAAGCGACTTCGTAAAGCGAAAAAGTCAATTTCTACGACCTCCACTAATTTTGGTTATGCATTATGTTCTTAATAACAGACTAAAAAGAAGTGACTGGCCCTAATCAGTATCGCCCATGTTGTAACAATCGGACAGCCCATACTGGTATATAACCGACATTTGAAATTACAAAAACTTACCTAGAAATGTGTTAATTTGATTTCGCTCGAAACAGTGATCGAGTCTAAGATGAAGAATACTAGGCCGACCAACGTACCCATGAAGGCTCCCAAGCCCGTCACTACAGAAGCCTTAGGGTTGATTAAACTCAACGAGCCTCCTGCGTACAGTATCGGGGAAAAGATCGCCACACGAATGGCATACGGGACTGCTTTAGAGAAGCTCGGAGCCAACAACAATCGTGTAATAGCTCTCGATGCTGACATGAAGAATTCGACGTTTTCTGAGAAGTTCAAGAAAGCTTACCCAGATCGTTTCGTTGAGTGCTTTATTGCCGAACAAAACCTTATTGGTACGCTTTCCCAGGCATTTAGATTCACTTTATTTTGCTTGTCGGATGGATGTCAACATAATACAACAATAAACAGATATCTATGTTAACGAACGTATTAAAGCCACTTGGGCGAAGAACTGGATTAACTTTCGAATCACTTAAACTTTGGGTTCAATTCCTGTCCTTAAACCTATAAAGAACTATATTATTATGTGTTTGTCAGTATTATCAGCCAGCTATTTCGTAAACATTTGCCTTAGCGATTGTTTGTATCAACTCGTATTAACGAGTTGATAACTTACTAACGCCTTCCTCGGCCAATTTACTCGAAAGAAGTTCGCACATGCTTAATTCGCACACTAGAATAATTTGGTATTGTCTTGATGCTCTTTAGGTGTGGCCATTGGGTGTGGTACCCGCCAACGGACTGTTCCCTTTGTGTCGACCTTCGGGGCCTTCTTTACGCGTGCCTTCGACCAAATCCGCATGGGCGCTATCTCCCAGGCAAACATCAAATGTGCCGGATCCCATTGCGGTGTCTCTATCGGCGAAGACGGACCTTCGCAAATGGCGCTCGAAGATATCGCTATGTTCCGCTCAATCCCCAATTCACTCGTCTTCTACCCATCGGATGCTACATCGACGGAACGCGCATGTGAACTTGCTGCAAACTACAATGGAATTGTTTTCATCCGAACCACTCGACCCGTTACAGCCGTTATATATGACGCCTCAGAAACCTTCAAACCTGGCCAGTCAAAGGTCAGCATCTTAGCCAATAGACTTAAACAATTCTATTCGTGTTGGAACAGGTACTCCGTAAACTGCGCTCAAACCTATGCTGAAAAAAAGGCCCACAAAAAAACATTTAAGTCGATATATCATCATTAGCTCAAATGAGTCACACACTCAGTAGAAAAGCCACCCAGTGGCACTCGGTATCACTGAACAGTTTTGTCTTGCAGCTTGTCAGGAAGTCGTCATCTGATAAGGTCCTTGTTATCGGAGGAGGTGTCACGCTCCATGAAGCTTTGGCAGCAGCGGAACTCCTTTCGGCTGATGGAGTTAACATTCGTGTCATGGACATTTTTTCGATAAAACCCATTGATAAACAGGGTATCTTGGAGAATGCTGCTCAGTGCGGCAATAAGGTGATCGTCGTTGAAGACCACTATGAAGAGGGTACGTACTTTTAAATTTTTTAGTCTATTAATATATCGATTCTAGTATATGGAAGGCTTACTTATACAAGGTCTTCAAACATGAAGGCGCTCAGCGGTATTTTATTTCGAATCAGTAATTATTTGATACTTCAGGCGGAATCGGTGAGGCTGTCTCACATGTGCTTGCGGAAGCGGGCGGCGTAACCTTCCGTCACCTTTGTGTGCGTGGAGTTCCCCGGTCAGGCGCACCCGCTGTTCTCTTAGACGCGTTTGGCATTTCTGCCAAAACCATTATTCGGAGTGTGCGCGACCTCTAAACGATAGCCGTGTCTCCTTCCCGGCTATTCGACACATTGGCCCGTGTTCCTGCGCGATTATCCTCCACAAATACGGCATAGAAATATCTACTGTAATTATACTAATTAAAAGAAAAACAACTGAGACATTGGCCACACGAGACATGCGGTTGTGACACAAAGTGCTTTAAACCGCTTGGTGTTGAACTTCTAATGCTATACAGTATAGACATATACATGACATAATTAGCAATTCGTTTCAGGTGGTGCCCAAGGTGCTGCCATGCTGAACTATATTAAGCATGTCTGGTGTGTACATGTTGGCATCAGAATTGAAGTGTATTAACTGTCTGGACATAATCAGAGCAAAAATCTTTCTCAAAAAACGCAACTACTGGGAAAAACCAAAAAAAATACATTGTTTCTGCAACACTCTGCAAGGGCTTTGAAAATGCTGCCAGTCTTGCGCCTTGGCGTTAGAACAAAATGTTCAAACGATACTTCTGACCTATCTTTAAATTACTGAGCTGAATTTTCTTCAATAAAGCTACTATTAGTGATGCGATTAAATATCAATCACAATGTAACGGCTAGTATGTTTCTTGTAAGTTTATCGTAGCGTATTTATGGACAAAAGAATCCCCTAAATTTCTATGCTAAAATAACTCTATTCCATGTTCAAAATTGACGTTTCATGTATAATGTTTGTCACTTGATAGCACAACTGGGATAGAAAAGCGGATTAGGATTACAATCTGTGCCTTTTAAAACATTGATAATATCGAACTTGATGGTTTGATCGTATCTTATAATTCACTCGATGTCGATTCTGCGTCTTTGAACTCTCAGTTCCGTCTGCTCACCTACCAGAAATTGCTGGATAATCAAAATCACGCTTTATAGATAAGGGTTGTCACAACATTGACTTTACTCTTTTGCATGACAAAGCGTATTTCGTCATGGGATGATCCGTCTTTTATATATGAGAATAAAGGTGCCACTGTTGTAATAAATGGAAATTTTCGTTTTTAAAGGAGTTGTTGTCAGAACTTTTTATTTCATTGTCTTGTAAATACAGTCTATCGGAAGAAAACGTAAGCCGATATCAAAACTGTGTAACATTTATGCTCTAAAGTACTTTGACTTTGGCGGGTTAAGTCACGCACAACAAACAGCAAATACGTTACGTTTTTCAGCTGTAGCTAGTAGTAATAAAGAGTGACCAGTGACATAGAGTCGCCCGATACATGAATGACGAAAGCCATAATAAGCCCAACTTTCTGGTTGGATAGAAAGCTCTTTAATTCTACTTCGCTATATGAAGAACAGCTGAAATTCGTTAGGTATGCTCCCGTTATCATTCCGATTTCTACCAAGCAGGGAATCAACTATAATGTGCGCCGCATACATAGATTTAAGTGATATCGTATTTGACGTTACGTGGCTCCATTACGCATTAGCGCGCATTTTATGTAGTAGTATGTAGATATGAAATAGTGCAAACGTCAAAAGGGCTATGACAATATTAAAAGTTACACAAAAAAAATGTGCAAACCAAGTAGGAGCTTCGCTAGCAGTCGGGTATTCAATGCGTCAACTGGTGTGAAGTATAAGTGAACGAGTTCAAAAGTCAGTAATACATACGAAAATTTTAACCACCCACCGTAGTACAGGTCGCGCTAAGCTGTGCATGACTGCTAGACGTAGTGGTCGAGTTTTTAAGTTCATACAAAATGTTCTTAAATCAGACCTACTATAACATGTCATAAATATACGACAGTTATTAACAGTGTGTTGTTTTTTTCTCATTCATATTCTTGTACTTTGCGCCTCCATACATACACTACACTCAACCTCCCACAATAGCAATAATTCCGTTTAAGTGGACAGTGCATGATCGCGGCGCGATACACGGCAAACCCCGATAATCCGCTAACTTCGCGGCGATGGTAGCGTTTGTAGAAGGTAAAAAAGCTGCCACGTCACACAAATTAAGAGAAACGACAGTCAAACGGATGCGCGAGGCCTGTGTTTCTTGCTGTTCTTAGCACTGAATGATACGAAGCCTGTCTTAGACGGCGTCTGTTTTTGTGCAAAATTGACAGCGATGAATAATTGAAGAAGACACTTTGTCTACGCGACAAGAATTTGGATTCGCGTATGTGAGGACACTCGAAAGTAATTGGAATTATTAGAGTAGTACAGCTGTTCGTCACTCGAACGCAGGCAAAAAAAGTTAACAGATGAACATATTTTTGAGACAAGGGATCTATAATATTGTGCCACTGATAACAAGACGCAGATCAACTGTGCAAACAGCCGGTAGCAGTTTAGAAGGACTGTGCAGACGCGACTAGAGATGATCAATGTAACAACAAACCGTCCTCATGTAAGTAAAGACAATTACACGATGGAATGAAATATTTTTATTGTGTGATTATAGATTTTTCGGTATACCTTTAAGTGCAGCAGATCAACGGACTCATGATTGACAAGTGAAATGATATTCCACTGGAAATAAATTGTTCCAATTTCAGTTTGGAGTCTATCAATAGTCCTTATTTGTCAGTGGCGCGCTTAGCCATTGTCTTCATTTCCCCTCTCCTTCCCAGTCTCATTATACGATGATAAAATAAAATTTACTTCATTTCGTATCCGGGAGACTTATTGACGAAAGCCGCTTATTCGAATTAAATCTTTTATTTGTCAGGCTTTTGGCGAATTTTCAATTGTGTTTCAGTTTTGCGTAATCATAGCCTGAGGAACAGATGGTTACACTCTTAACATGTCTCAACTGCCTTATCTAATCGTTGTTTGGGTGCAGATATGCGAGGCTATCATATTCTACGGAAAGGTCGTTTTTAGGTCGTTTTTAGGTTGTCAGCAAACTCGTGTAGTATAAGATATTCGTGGTAAAGTTTATTTGCTTTTGAATGGTGTTAGTGGTCATCGAATCATTGTTCGACCGAATCATTGTTCGAATCATTGTTAAACCGACAGCACATGTTGGATTACTCAATCACTTCGAGAGACCCAAAAATGTATGCATTCCTTAGGACACTACAGATCAATAGAGTAAAAATGAATATACTGATACAATGAAAGGTTTTATTAATGAAAAATAATAATGCAATATTCAATCATTGAAATATTTTCCAATAAAAAGGTGGAGAGGATTATTATACACTAAACAATTACAATATAATGCCAAGACGAGTGTGTGCTATATAGTTTTGTTTGAGCTAAAAGATGTAGACATTGCAAAGCTATCCATTAATATTATTCCAGAATCTACTACGGCGTCCCAATCCGTCTGTGTAGATGGTAAAAAAAAGTGGCAACAGTTTTATCGCGAGTAGCACATGAATACATATCATAGCATATATCTGTTTCAATAGACGGCAACAGCGTCTCTATATGCCGGTATATCTTATCATATCATTCTTCGCTAACACAATTACATAATAGTTTTGAACATAAACCTTTTGCAAGATAGCGTTGTTACTCTTTTTGCTAACTAATCTGACTTAAAAAAGCAAAGTAAAAATATTGCTTACATGTTTATGTAGAGCTATGTTGTTCTTATCCAAAATGTGGGGGCGTTGACTACGCAGTTCATTTTCTATTGCTCCTATCCGCTATACTGAATCTTGTTGTGTGTTTGCGACAACATTAGAAATTCGAATAAATAACGCTTGTACGAGTGCGAATAGATAAGCGATCACGGTTTATACAGTAACAAGGCAATGCTTACGTTAACTATGTCACAATGGAAACAAGATCATTTTTGATGATCTGTATGATGTTCTATGAAACGGTAAGCTCTACTTCAAAATAGTGTTTAAATGTATGCACGTATAATACATATATATATATATATATAGTATACGGCGAAATATACTATCAAGCACTATATATCGTATTCGAAATCCGATTTACGAGCTCTACTGAATCAACGACCGAGTAAGACAATAGTACGTTTACTACGAGGAAGTCCTCGCGAACTACAAGCAACGGCACGAAGAAAGAGTTTCAAATTTTGGCGCCGCCCGAGAAGAGAGAGGTTGCCAGCTTAGAAGCACACATTCGAATTGCTGCGTGAGCATGTGGCATGCGTTTTTAATAAAAACAAATTTTTTGTATCAGAATCTCATGAAGTATGATATGTGATAGATAATTTCCCACTTGCATCATCGACTGCTTCGTTTCGCACAGCTAATACGATGTGCGGCCTCGGGCTAAGCTTGTGTTTGGGCAAGTGCTGCCAGTTCTCTTCGGCTAGTTGCGTTCGTCAAGAACTCGATGAGCGTACACTCAATCTACTCTGCCGTCGCGGGCCTGATCACTTTGAGAGAATCTCATTTGAGATGCCAGTAGATGCGGGACGCATAGTCAGCTTTAATCTCTGGGCGGCAGTGTTGAGTTTACGCGGCGATAGTATCTGTCCACAGCCCGCTAGAGGGTCCAATGGACTCTTATGCTTTAACGGGGAAATATACAATGGGTTGAATATTGCACCTGGTATGTCCGACACTGCAGCATTGCTTGAATCGTTATCGTCGACTTCCTCACCGAGTGCAGTGGCTGCACTCATCTCTTCACTTAGAGGACCCTGGGCTTTTGTGTACATTTGCCAAAAATCAAAAAAAATCTATATTGGTAGAGATATTTTTGGTAGAAAATGCCTTCTCATTCGAGAAACACCCTGTGGCTTCCAACTTACGTCTGTGGCTTATAATCATGATTCGGAAAATGAAAATAAATGGGAGGAAATACCAGCGCAAGGTGTATACGTGTATGATCTGCTTGAATCTTCTTGGGCTCTTATACGATGGAACAGAGCACCGTCTGGAAGTACAGATCACAACTTTGCTCCGTGTAAAGCTTTGCAACATGTTGCTCTAGCCAAGCAACGACTCACTTGTCCGATCACGGCGGCGCTAAGACGTGAGCTGCCGAAACACTCCTCAGAGGGAGACGGAGTTACGGATTATGGCACGTTATTGGAGATTTATGCAGATAAGGTTATGGCGTTTGAGGAAGTACTCACTAAGGCAGTAATCCGGCGAGTGGACAATATCCCGCAGCGATATGCGGGTATTCCAATAGGAATTTTGTTCTCCGGAGGAATCGATAGCACACTGATTGCGGCCATCGCCATGAAATCCTATCCAGACCTCACCTTTGACTTGATTAATGTTGCCTTTGAGCACGAAGATTCACAAAGACATCTCAGCTTCGACACGCCAGATCGCTGTACGAGTATAGAGGCTTTCAAGGAACTAGAAAGCCTTCCTTGTATTGATACTTCAAAGGCTCGGTTAATCTGCGTTGATGTTCCTTATGATGAGCTTCAGTGTTCTCGAGCAAAGTCGCACGTGCCTAGGCTAGTGCATCCCATGACTACCGTCCTAGATGATTCGCTGGGATTCGCGCTCTGGTTTGCCGCTCGAGGTCGCGGACGTGAGTATAGAACTGCGCAACCGTACGAAAGCAAAGCGCGAGTGTTATTGCTGGGCATGGGTGCCGATGAACAACTAGGAGGATACAGTAGGCACGCTGCAAGTTTTAAGGGTTCCTCGTGGTCATCTTTGGGAGACTGCATCGCCTTGGATATTGATCGCATTTCGTGGCGTAATCTGGGCCGGGATGATCGTATAGTCGCGGATTTGGGCAGGGAAAGTCGAACACCATTCCTCGACGAAGATCTTGTTTCGTTCCTGAACGATCTGCCTCTGGACCTCAAGATGCGATTGGATCTACCAAGGGGTGTGGGTGACAAGTTAATTTTGAGACTTCTAGCTTACAAAATGTGCCTCAAGGAAACTGCACGTCGCACCAAGAGGGCATTACAGTTTGGTTCAAGAATCGCCCACGCTGACCCTAAAAAAAGCAGAGGACATTATGTGTGCAATAGACTCGAATAGTAGCGCAATTTACGTATATGTAAATATCTACTTTTGAGTTAATAACATTAATAATCCATTATTTTTACAATATTGGTGAATAAAGAAAGACTATATGGGAACAGAAACATCGTCAGTCTTTAAAGCAATCTCAAGTTGATTGGAATTTGAAATTTCTGTTTACTTGTGAAAATTGATTTATGTAGGTTAGTAATTACTTAATCTACACATCGTTTCACTGGTTTAGTTAAGGCTTCCCCTTATTTCTGATTGAGGCTACAATTAAAAATAGTTATGTACATATAGTTTTTTCCTATACCGTATTTATGTTAGTTCTGTTAAAAGGTATTATGACTGCATAATATTTTGCTGTGACATTTATGATTTTGAACAGACAAAATAAATTAAGGAGAGGTATAATAATACAAATGATCAAGCTTTTATACTCATTACGGCAGAAAAGTTAATTATGAATTTCGTCACTGAAATAAACGTACGCGGCACTTTAGCTAGCATGTATTCGACTACAAATAATTGATATTGGTCCAATAGTTGAATTGGCGATGCAATTAAATGCAACTAGACCTATCGTTTACCTAATTTTTGACCATGCTTTGTTTCAGTGTTAAATGTTAGTACTGCAAATAAGCTTTGAGGAAAAGGCGACATATACAACAGCACTAGGCCGTTTGGATAGCCAGATATTTTTGGTATAGCTACATATAAACATATTCAGTTAATTTTGCCAAGCCTCTACTGTCTCATGATTGTATGCTTCCTGTACACTTATCAAGGCATGTCTAACAGAGATGTACACCAGTTCCGTGCGTTTGCTTACCGGAGTTTTTTGTAGTTCCCTGAAATTTAGAGGAAACCACATTTGTAAGAACCGACTGCTATGCGTTTAATGCCTACATGAATGCTATGCGTGTTAATGTAAATGTACAACACATATTCGTTAACAAACTATTTTTGAAACAGTTTCACATTGACTATTTAAAGCTAGCTGGATCACATATATAGCTCCAGTTATATAGAGTAAGAAAGGGAGGCTTACATGATACGTTTAATGGCGTTCGGTTCAACGTACGCAAGCGTTGCTGTAATAAAATATAATGGATGTATAGTCTCAAGCATAGTTAGCAGACGGATGCTGATATTCGATTTTCTATTGTGATATCTCAATCGAAAGCTTATTGGAAGTACTTTATTTTATTGGTGTTTTATGTACGTTAGTTCACATTAGTTGTACGTTGAAAAGATAAAGGTAAACCAGCGCATTTGACATACTCTAGTTCACTTATATTATTTTTATATATCACAACCATATATGACGAACTATAATTTGTTATTCCACTATTAAGTATGTGAACCATTTATTACTATTTGCATAATATATAAAATGTTGATCACATACAATTGGAATAACGAAAAGTTTGAGTTAGCGTAATTAACACGACCTCGTAGTTTTTCAAAACTATCCTACTTTCAAAACACGATTTAAAACCTGATACTTTGAGCTAGCTGTCAATATTTGACGTACTTAGCTGTTACAGAACACTTATCTCCTTAAATTTATTTCGATTAAACATAAATGCCTCGAGCTTTTTCTGATCTCCGTCGTTAAGCAATGCTTTGAACATCTGGCTCTCGGCATAAAACAAAATCTGTTAACGTTCAGGCCATATGTTGTTAGGTTTAGTAGGCAAAATATTAGTGCCGGCATATAGTTAAGAAAATAATTAATTCATTACGCGTAGCCTAGGCAACAACGTTCTAAATAAATATTCCTGTTCGTCTAATCGAAATTATAATCGGTATCTTCTCGCTCAACGGGCAATGTTGCTCAGAGAAACCATATTAAAAAAAAGACAGATTAATTGATACAATTTTACCTGATTTGTGAGTAGATAATACTAGCTTTGCAGTAAATCTATACGGTGCGGTCATTTCGGATTATCTACGTATTCAATCAAAATATCTTAAAACTGATCGAACATATACGTTTATTACTATACTCACTGAAACTGTGTTATTTGACTAGAAGGAATATATCCAATACAGGACATTTGTAAAATAATTTTAAAGGTTTATTGATTACTTCTTACACGAAGTTTCTGTATGTATACGCTCTGTTATTTATTGTTCTACAACAACGCAGTAGATCAACGAAGTAAATATACGAAAATGTAGTAAACATATTGCGCTTATGAAGCTAATGTTAATAGTTGAATACTCAGTTAGCATAATTTTTAAAGAGTTAATTTTTAACTCTTTTCAGAAATGTTAACAATGGTCGGCAATCTTTTCCTGCGACGGGTGGTAAAGTCAGCAGTTCTTGGTGCATTCCGACCTGCCACTTTCATTTTTGCTCGTAGCGCATCGCATTACCCCGTTCCAGATGTTTGTTTTGGCCTTACAGAAGAACAGAAACAGGTTGCGACCTCTAAAATATTATAGAATAAACATGATAGCACTTAGTATAATAATGACTTTGTCCGTATTTGACGTACGACGCATTACAAAATTGTACGAAAATATGGTTGATAATTTGTTGACATTGTTTAATTTGCTCGTTCTACCTTTCTAGTTTCTAACTTTGACATATTTTTCGACGGTTTTAGCTTCGAGAATCTTGTTTTCAGCTCTTTCAGAAAGAACTGGCTCCGTATGCCGATGAACTTGATAAGAACAACAACTTCAAAAACCTCCGGGTGGGGTATTTTTTCAAGTTGTTATTATCAGAATATGCCGTATTCGTGATATATATATACATACATTTGAGCAATTTAGGAATGTAAGATTCCAAAAATCCATATTAAGCTATATTTGAAAGTTGCACTGAAAGTAATTTTCGTACCTGGCAATGGAAGTGCAAGTACTTGTTACCTTATACTAAGCTTCCTTTTGCAGGATTTTTGGAAGAAAATTGGTAACCAGGGTATGATTGGCGTGACTGTAAAAGGTGAATATGGGGGCTCCGATCTTGGCTATCTTGATCATGTTATTATTATGGAAGAAATGTCTCGCGTTTCGGGGGCCATTGCCCTCAGTTACGGTGCCCATTCGAATCTTTGTGTAAACCAGATCCACAGAAATGGTAACGAAGACCAGAAAAGAAAGTATTTGCCAAAGGTACGCAAATTTTTCCCTAAATGACTAAACTCTCTAGCTTCCTATTTCAGATAAGGCGATTTTTCTACTTAATTATTAGAACAGTGATATTTAATTAACATATTAACATAAATCACACATTGTATTTTTTTACAAGTAACGTGCTTATTTCCTTTATAAAAGCGCAGTTGATCAGATTGTATGCTTCTGCCGTATTTGTTATTAATCAGTTATGCAGCGGGGAGTATGTTGGGGCGTTAGCGATGAGCGAGGCTGGCGCAGGATCAGATGTTGGTTCAATGAAACTCACCGCGGTACGCAAAGGTATGCATCGTCTCCAATACAACATTGCATCTATGAAGAACCATTTTCTCAAGGGCTATTTCTACAAAAAAATAATAACACGCCTGAGAAGGTGCCTGTTTATTTTCTGCGTTGCACTTGGTTTTCTGGAGTTTTTTTTTTTGGTGAAGAGGACGGCGCAAGTTTAGTTTAAGTTCAATGTGAATTATGATATGTTTTTTACTTTCCAGGGATTGAAAAAAATAATCCTAACACCCAGCGACATTACCTTAACAATACTGATCATCGTCATTACACAATAATGAATAATGAGCAGATAACAGTTCAGTCAAAAAAAACGTGTTTGTACCCTTGCTTTAGGGAAAGCGGTCTCGTCTAAATTGCTAAATCTGAAGAGTTAATCGGTGTTTCAGTAAGACTCGCTAACCTGGCTAACGTCTAATAACCAACACGAGTCAATTTATTCTCTAAATTTCAGGTGACGAGTATATTCTAAACGGAACGAAGTTTTGGGTTACAAATGGGCCGATCTGTGACGTTCTGTTTTTATACGCGCGAACAGATCCGAACGCAAAGAAACAGCATCACGGCATTAGCTGCTTCATCGTCGAAAAGGTTCTGTGTAAACCTTTTTTTTTGCCTTAGGAAAGGACACTTGCAAATAGCATGTTATCTTAGATGTATCATTATGAATACTCTGTGATTAAGATAACTGTAGACTCGTAACAATCCGACAAACAAGCATACACTCCACTTTCGCTCGAAGGATCCATAATGATACATGCTAAAATACAATAAGCAACAAACGATCTTTTTGCGTATGAAACTGGTTGCTGATGGACCACAAATTCCTCGCTTTTAAAATATAAATGTTACTCACATACGTGGATGTTTGCTCATTGGCACGTCCTAGGATCGAAGGCAGTACCTTTGGTATATTTTATAATTCTGAACCGACCCTTTACAGCATCAGCGATTTCTTTAAGAAATGAGTGTTGGAAATCTTACGCCAGAAATTGCCGCACGGTCTCATGGTCGGATCACTTTTGCAAGAACTTGTTGACAGATTACGACGAAGCCCAGGCGCTCAATGATAAGGAACTTGCGTTTCCAGCTCCTTCAGATGCCTTGAAAGCGCATCGATAACCGCTGTTTTTTCAGAAATAATGAGCAACTTTTCGCAAAGCGCAACAGCGCACTATTTTACATTCTTAAGCATTGTTTAAAGCCTACAAGTCCGTTTATTTGCTTGTCAGACAAAATATCGAATCGTACCTGTTAGATCGCGGCGCGCTGTTTTTTTTTATCATAAGCATTCCATCGTATAAAATACTCACAGTTCTTACTCTAAGTCTAAACCTTAATAAACAGGCAGATATTATTCAGAAAGATTCGGTTATCTACGTTGGTGCGTACCTCGGAGATGAAAGCATTTAGCGAGTTACCATTTATGAAAGTATCATTGATCTCAGTAACCTTGATGGCAAGCTCTTTTCTTCTCACGGTTTGCTGCGATTGACAAGATGGTGGTAACAGGCGTACTCTTGAACGCGATATTTAGAGGATAGGTCAGGCAGTTCGCCCATATGTTGCGCCAGAGCCTCCATGGCAGGAACCCTTCCGTACTTACTCTTACAATGGAAGTCAATGGTCTATCTACAGAAAACCCAATCGCTCCTTATTGCTAACCTGCGGTTCCTCCCTTTGGCAGTTATATTAGACCAAAATTAAATGTTTTTCGTTTTCGGTGAAGAAGCTAAGAGTAACAGCTCGGAGCATATCTTATGATGTCCACCCACACTCAAACTTGTACATATGTACACGTTTTGGCTAATGTGAGAAGTTTTCTATATATATAAAAAAATGCATAAGCTTTATATTAACATTTCTACAGGTAAATTTACTATTTGCCATCTTTGTCGGCAAATCGCTATTTACCAATCCCCTAACACTAGTTGTTATAACCTGCATTTTTATTTATTTTCGACACGGTATCCGTTTGGTTTGACCGATCACTAAGTTGGCAGATGTGGATACACACCGACTAAAATAGCTAATTTTGTGCAATACTTGGATTCAAAATCATACCCTGCGAATGCCGTCTTCGAGATAAAAATTGCTACATCTAGGTAATGTGTTTTCTATTTATTTTAAGGGTACTCCTGGTTTCACCGTGGCCCAAGAACTGGACAAATTCGGAATGCGTGGTTCGCCTACAGGAGAATTGGTATTTGAGGACTGTCGAATTCCGGCCGGAAACTTGGTGGGCAAGCTTAATAAGGGCATGTACGTACTCATGAGCGGACTCGATTTCGAGCGACTTATTCTTGCTGCTGGACCTCTCGGGTATGTTTTAAGCACTTGTTTATAGAAATGATCCACTTTTAAATAACGTGCTGAGGGACTAGAGGGCTTCAGCCTATTCTGTGATAAGTAGGGCAGAATGTTCGATGCTGGTGGCGAAACACCTGAGTTAGCGAGGAAATATTTGTCCATTGTATAACCTGTATGTTGTAACCTGGTTAACTGAAAGATCCATGAAAGGTATGGACAATACAACGCTGGGAAGCGAAATCATGGCGTACATCACAATCCTACTGCATCTCGTGAAAACATTAGAAAGCAAAGCGGAAATCCTAAATAGTAAGCCGACGTGCCCGACAACCACACCCCTGGAAAATAAAAGGATAAACATGTTCAAACAGCAGGAAACTACCGGTGCTGTGAGTCTGTCGACAATTACAAAGTTGGCTGGGAGACGCTGTCGTTGAGTTTCTTAGAGCGTCTGGCCTTGCACTTAAACATTGGCTCTGTCGTAGGTATCGTTGCAATAATCTGAGTAAGCACAAAATCAAATACGTCGGATAGAATACGCGGGACAGCTCTTGGTATACATTTCTGTCAGACTAGGCCTCAAGGTCCTCTTAGGACAATCGCCCGTCAGAAGGAATAAACTTCTACCTTGTAAATTCGACTTAAAGCAACTCCTAGAACAAGCTCATTGTTTTCCCAATTATATTGAGGTCTATTTGTATCATTTCATCAACCCTTCGCAGACTTCAGTCCCAGAATGCTTTTGAGCTACTGGAAACATTACGACCGGCAGCGGGGCCACTGGCCGTAGCGTTTGAGGTGATCTACTGGAAGACATATGCTATCCGGCGCCAGAAGTGCCTGGAACAGCAGGAACCTACTCTCTAAAGGCCAAGTGTTAGTTGTATAAATAATTAGGCCCTTGCAAACTTACATCATGTCTTATCGTCTCATCAGTGCTCATCGGCCACTCCGCTGGAATGTCCTCATCTAATCACACCGAACTTCATCGGGTCCCACCGTTCAGAACAACGAGATACAAACCGAAACGAGTAAGGTTAGACCAGGAGTTTGGCCTGGAAGTGACTCAGGCGCTTGAGAGTCTACCCTTAAAGAAGACTTGGGAATGAGCATTTTGTAGTATTCAGCAAGTATCTTCGCTCCGAGTTGCGTTCCCCTCATTAAAAGGATGTGACGTCTCGTTATTTCAAAAGGCAAAGACGACTCGAGGTAACGGACATCATAGCGCGGGATTCCGAAGAGAAGCGTTTGCTGTAAACTTGTCCTGTATCTGGTGGCAGGAAGACTGTATTTTTGGAGAACTTGAGTGCGATACCCAAATTGAGCAATCTATTGAATTCAGGAAAAACTATTCAGCCGAAGCGACACGCAGAATCTTACCTGTGATGTCAAGCGAATTTTAGGTGACACTTGTTATTATATTTACCTAGTGTTTGATAATCTCAAAGCTGCCTTCGACTCCAAGTAACCTTGGTCTTAGGCATCCTCGCCGACGTCAGAGCTCTCGTCAATGAGCTTAATTTAATAAAATAAATGCTCCAGGAAGACAGATTTATGATGGAGTCTCGAAGCTGCCAGTGTTCTTCTAGGTTAAATATGTAACCCAAAATGAAAGCTTAAGCCCTCTTTTTCCTTAGTTATGGTTAAGGATTTTCCGGACAAGAGACATGAATTCAGAAATATAGTGGAGGTTTCCCTGTATGAAGACGATTTATTTATTTAAGAAAGCAATCATTATCATGTGCAGCAAGCCTTAGCCAGATTACGTTCTGCCGTCTCGGAATTAGAACTGAGTGTCAAACCAAGCAATACTGAGGTCATGAAAATTAGGAGGGCAGCCGTGTGGTGGCTCGTGGGTGCCTGGAATGTCTGAACCGAGCAAAAACTTCATTCTTAAAGAAAAACCGTAGGAGTGCACCAGACAACGCATAACAGGTTTTGCTACTTCATGGTGGCGACGCTAGTTGCTAGGCAGCCTGATCTAGTAACTGGAACCGAATAATAACAGTAGTATGGTGTATAAACATACATACGTCTAGAAGAAGAGCTTCACTGAATAAAATGGATTTTGAGACTCTTCTATATAAAATAGTAGATGTAGATTTGAGCTAGTAGGAAAATCAAGTTCCGATACTACAAGCTCCACCGTTTTGAAGCTTAACAGGAAACCCATTCTATAAGCATCCTTTATACAGATGTATTGTATCGTAGTGTCTTTCGTTGGATTTTATCACCAATATCTAGTTTAGTTAGTTATTGATCGTTTTGGATATTGCAGCATCATGCAGGCGTGCTGTGACGTTGCTTTCGAGTACGTCCACCAACGCCAGCAGTTCGGTCAGCAAATCGGCAAATTTCAGATGATTCAGGCCAAGATGGCTGACATGTACACGACAACCAATGCATGCCGGAGTTACGTTTACTCGATGGCACGCGCTGTCGATCAGGGCCATCTTGTTTCAAAAGATTGTGCTGCAGTTATACTTTACTGTGCCGAAAGGAGTACTCAAGTTGCTCTGGATGCCCTTCAACTGCTCGGTACGTTAACAGACGAGAATTGTGATAACTAATTCTTTAGGTGTTACAAGTTTTGATCATTTCAGTGTTATATTATTCTACGCATAGGTGAGTGGTTTTCGTTGGTATAGGTATTTTCATTTCATGGCTTGTATAGGTCCACATTTGTTCTCTTTCTCTAATGTTCCTGTTATGTAACAAAAAAGCAACAATTAGTCAAAACGTATCAGCTGTCTAAACAAAAGGTGTTTGTTTAAATTAAAGAGATCGATTAAATAAAGTATTCATTCTTGATTAAGAGAAGCCTTGAGTTTTTGAACACGGTCGCGATAAGGTGATTACCGCCGGCGAGTTCAAAGCGCAGTTATTTTTTTTCAAGTAATATCATTTTCAAACTTATTTACAAAACCGTCTCTCACTGCTAAGGAATACCTGAAGCTCATCTTCGATAAATCCCTTACTTCTACACAAATGACATTGCGACACTTTAAAGAAAGAGTTACTATTTTTCGTATACTCTGGGCTTGTTAGCCAACATACAACCATAATTCTCTTAACAGGTATGCACCGCAAGATGTTTATGATGACCTGAGTTAAATAGCTCCCTCCACGCTTAACAAAAAAAAATAACATGGATGTTTATTGACACATTAGCCTGTTTTATATATTGAAAGTGTTTCTAATACGCTTCTCTCCAAATCACTTCGACACAAATGTAGTGGACACTAATGTAATATTTGCCCTATTCGTGTAGAATTAAAAAAAAATATTTCACATGGTGTTGAATTTGTGTCCTAAAAGAAATAATTTGGAACAACGTGCCAGGTCACATTTCCTAATTCTGGGTTTTTAACAGACCTATTAGCGAGTACTGCGAGTACCCGTCAACTATCTTCACTTGATTCGAACTGATACACTCTTTGCACTCGAGCAGCATGATCGACCTACCTTAGAAACCTGCTAAAATCGACTTTTTTATCTTGATGCACCACAGGTATTCCACCTGTCGTAACCTGATTGTTATAATGGTTACGTTAGCAATTAAAGCGTCTTCTCGACTTAGCAATAATAGTTCGACAGGCGTACGACACAGCACAACATTAGTAGTACTTAAACCTTTGTGTTGGGTCAGTGACAGCGTGTCCTCATAAAGGTTACCCTGATCCTAGTATAAGTTTTCTTTCTAACTTATTCAAAACAATTACAAATAAAGCTAATTTACTCTCTTAAGCACGCAATCTCGTCCCTCAAGGCAGAACAATTACAACGATAGCTAACGTGCCATAAATATAGCGTTTTACAGAAGCATGACACTAGCGCTATTCACTCAATATTTTGTTTACATTCGTAATAGTTCTTCTTATCGGTTATTGTTAGTATTCTGTTATTCAATTTATACGTGTATCGTGTCACCCGGCGTGCGCAAAGCGTATTTATATAATGATGAGTTTTAATTATATACGACTTCGTGCGTTGTCGCATACAGAAAAAGCTAAGTGGTCGTCTCCAGTTGAGCGCAGACTGAGGCTGTCGTTTTTATGTAGCTGGATCACTTTTGTTCCCTCAATGTACATCTTAAATTCTTAATTCAATCATGACCTTAGACTACGAATGCTTTACAGTAGACAGACTTTCCAATAAAGTTTCCGTGCGAAATAAAGGTAGTTCACTGTTTTCAAATAAATTTTTACGGACTGTTTGTGCCTCTATCGAAGGTATAGGGTAATCCATAGATTTTATGGGTCTCTAATTTTTACTCTTCAAATTTAGAGTAGATGCAGTACGTATCATAAATGCCTAGGAGAGCCGTGCTAGGAAGAGCACGACCTCATGTCTGTCACGAAATTAAGAGAACAAAACTGAGATTATTAAAAATAATCTCGTAGCTTGACAATGAAATTTACCAGTTAAAAGCACTGGTCAACGGCACAACTGGGTGTAACTCTTGAAATATTTATTAGTAGAAATATCATGTCAAATTATTATTCTGTTTACCAAAGGTACTTAGAGCCTTCAGTATGGTTCTAGCTATAGACATAATGTATGCTCTGGTTTTTCAGTTATTTTTCCAAATATATCAATCTTACAATTTCTATTGCAGTTATATACCGCAAGCTACTCAAAAAAAAAGATTCGATTTATATCAGTCCTTTGAGGTTTCTTCAAATGTCCTCTTAGGAGTAACTAAGTATTGGAAACAGCGAAGCCCTCATATGATTAGATATGGAGGCGCGGGTAGTTAATCACATCTTCATCTTTTTGGTCGATTGTTAGCAAGGTTCATTGCGGGCGGTCAAATCGACGTTTTTCGATTATGTACCAATTACCACACTCGGTCATAATCGGAACGTGAAAACAAGTTTACATTACGGAATATACATTACGATGCCTTTAAAGAAAATATATGGGTTTCGGTGTTGTAAGCTGAAACAGATATATCAGAACGCCTTAGAAGCTTAGGAGCTCAATGAAAGGCAGGAGAGCCGTCTGGTATTTCGTTTGTTCGCTCACTTCTAGCTGGTCGTACTTCTCGCATGCGTCTGCCTTAAACCCAGCGCAGATAGGTCCTATTGCTGCTCCCGCGGTTCCGTTGACCATGTCATCTATGAATCGAGCATGCTCTACGGAACATGCCTCTTGAGAGACGTCATGAAGGCATTTGCCGACCTTGGCGAGCAAACTTGGAGAGCAGCCACAGAGAAGAAACAGGATTATAGTGGTAGTCTAGTAAACGATGGCTCGTCGTTGTTAGGAACATTTTTATGTAGCAGAAAATGTACAATAGCGACAGCCATCAATGAAGAAAAAAAAACTATTTAGATGTTATAACTGCCTGACTATTAACTTACCAGCAAGCTCTACCTACGCGTTCGTCCACAGGAGCTTTAACGGCAGCCTCAGCCTCAGCCGCCAAATGCTTTTCACATTGTTGCAATTTGTTTCCGACTTTATTTAGGCATGGAACGAACTTGGCGTAATCTTGACCAGTTTTGTGGCTGGGGTCACATCGATGCACGCGTTCATTTTCAGCTCCTTCAATGATCTGTTTGAATACGCGTTTCGCTGAATCAGATAACTGACAGTCACCTTCAGCGATGTCCTGCAAACATTTGGCAGCCTTAGCACCTTTTCTGAAAAAAAAAAGACCCAATGCAGAAACAACGCGTCATTACTGGTTGTTGCTTTGGCTTAAGACTAGTAAACACATCCGCAAAATAGAGAAAGGCCTCGCCTGAATACGTTTCTCATTGTCACAATAGAGCGACTGTAGTTCTGATGCTATTTGTTGTTGATGTTTCTACTGAGGGAAACTGTTGATTACAACTCACTCGCACTCTTTAGCAATCTCCTGTGGGTCGATTGGAAGAACTGTGTTCTCCGAGTACATTATAATGTCCTTGGCGCATTCGTCTGCCTGTTTCAAATTGCAGACGTCGGCACCTGCGTAAGGCGATATAACCACTGCAAGAGCTCAAAATAAAAATTGACTACGTTATGCCAATATTAGCCCAACACGCAGTGCATTAAATGCAGACGTGCGTAGCATTGCATTGACCCACGGCTCAATATACACGTTACCCTTTGACAAGAATTTACCTAGATTGCACAAAAATTATGGATTATTAATAACCGATAATACTAAATAATATACATATATATGTATATAAGGCGAATATATCTCTCACCGTCATATAGAGGTGTACAATGGCTTAGTAACTTCCCTTCTATTGTTACATTTTAGAAATACATGTTATTAATTGTAACATAGAAATTATTATATGCCATACAAATTATTAAAAGTTCACCTCAGAAACGTTTTGTACTCTAAATGTGTTGTGGTTTGGTGCGTTTTATTGTGTTGGGTATTACTACCGAATGTAATGCATCCAAGCGCCATTTCCCATACAATTATAATAAAAAATGCCATTTTATGTTCTGCTGTTTGGGTGATTTGGTAAAGGCAAGCTGGAAATATGCCCGATTTAGCTATCATCGATAGTCTTAATTGCTGTTTCGGGTGTTAGGTTCGTTACGTTAGGGACTTTCTGCTTGCCAAAGTTGTCGTTGCAACTTTTTACCATAACTTCATTTCTATTCGAAGTAAAACTGGAAACAAACTTACCCAGGCCAGCGAAGAGTAGAGTGAATTTGCTCATTACCAATGCGATTTATTACGCTGTAGGGTTCACTGCGTTGCTACATTAGAAATTCGCTGGTCTTTTATATGTCCGAGATCGTGTACGATTTCTTAGCATCCTCTCACCACTTGCATCGACTTGTCTTTTTGAATACAGAATTAAATTTAATCATCTTTTCCTATGATGAATTTGAAGTTTTCAACGGTCTATCATGATTGTGCGAACTGAAATAGCATTATTTCATCACCCAGTACCATGGCTTCCTTTCAAAGTCAGAGGAAGCGGAGGGTAAATTAAATTATAAAGGAGTGAATGCGACACCCTGAGAAACAGTTCGTACCTTCCTATTTACCCTTAAACAGTATTAAAGATCATTAGCATACTGCTACTGGTCGTCTTTAGAAACAATCAACATTTGGTATTTACCTACCCGCGAGCATAGTATTTTGCAAATGACTCGCTGGTACTTTCCGTCCGAAGATTTCCACGGCCCTTTCTTGTCTGTGGCAGCAGCGCTCTGAAAGAGTGATCGGGTCGACTAGCAACGATGGAAGCAAGTTATGATACTGGAAACGATTCCATATAGCTGGGTGATCGATTTCTAAAATGGTCGGAGAACGAAGATCTCCAGAAGAAATAAGATGATAGACTGCTAGCAGCTAGGAACAAGTTAGCAGCTATAGATGACCTTGTAAGGATATGGAAAAAAACAATACTATCATTTTCATTGTCGAATTTATCGTTACGGGCTTTATCGAAGTCAATGCGAAGGCATAATAATTAACAAAAAATTATACCACGTGAAACCCAAAAGAACAAATTAGATAATCAGTAGTTACTCTTAATTCTTGTTGTTGCGCTGCAGCTTGGCTTCCCCTTAAAGCTAAAGCCGTCTTCGAAGGCTAGAGGAATCATAGCATTCTGTATGTACACCAATCCTATTTAAAGGGAACGTTGACTTTGATAATGTATACGATTAGTATTTCCGCTTTTTATGGTATAAAATTCGATCAAATCTAAGCGTCATTTTATGTAGACCATAAATAATTTATGTTTCTATCACTATGATTTATCTCGGAGTGCAACTCGAATTCAGCCATGGGTTTATAACTAGAATTTGTCAATTGATTTTAAAACTAGCCACGCATTGAAAAATATTTTCTTTTTCTTCTAGATTGTTTTTTGTTTTCTGTTGCACTTTTATGCAGATACACGATGCACATCGCAGCTTTTCAGCTGATAAAAGCTTTTTTAAAATTTAGAGTTCTGCTACTACTTTATGAAGTTCGTTTTTTATTCTTAGGAGAGAAATATATTACCGAAATTATTCTCTAATCGACAGTAGATTTCGTGCAAAATAGCAACGAGTTCTTAGGCATATTTAATCGAAGTAAGTAGCAAAATGTGGCCCAGAGTGTTCTTGTTAGTGGCATGTTAGACCAATAAAACTGTGGTATCCTACGTCGAGCGCCTTCGAACGGAATTTTCTATGTCCCGTTGGCATACCGCTTAGTGATCGTGGCATCGTACGACCAAAGTGTTGAAGCTTTACCAGCAAAACAGTCGACTTCAAAGTCCTCTAAAACATGTTGATCATTTTGTTGGTCGCTAAAAAGCAGCACAATGTATTTCGATAATATTTTTAAGTGACTTGCCGCAAAGATGCAACCAATTGACTTCAGGCCAGAGATGGCTATTCCAGGCAAAGTCGAACTCGCACCGCCGCTCATCCCGTACAATTTGGCAACGATCCCAGGCCATTAGGAACTCGTTGACCAAACCTCATATATATTTAGATAAGGATACCATACTAAACTCAAGTAAATCTTGTTTCGATACTTTGAACGAATCAAGTAAACTGCATTGCTGTCGTGCGCGTCTTTGATCAAAAATACGGCTAAAAGTGGTATCGTACGTTATACAGTCATGGCTTATTATGAGTCGTGCATAACCAGTATAATTGTTGTGATGCTGGTTATGCACGACCCATCATATCCATTCAAGAACCTTGCAGTCTTTTGCAGATTCGAGCAAAAGCAAGCCCTACTGCAGACAAAATAATAACTAGGTTGAAAAAACGAACTATGGATGGCAATTCCTATTACAGGAATGGCTAACTGGGAAAGTTACACTTGCTTTGATGCGGTCACTTTGGTATAGACAAATAATTCTAGAACGAAATGCAGCCCCAGTACTAATATCCAGGCCATTCGCAAGCTAACTTCTTACTGCCTTAATATGTAACTAATGTTCACTGACAAGGTTAACTCAGCATCAAATCCTTTTCCCTAGCTTTGTTCAATGACCAGCTTAATCGCCGGAAGAACCCCCCCCCACACACACGACCCCTTTCGCGCGACTGTAAAGCAAAAAACCAGGCACATTTATATTTGTCCGGTATTTTTTCGAGAATAGATTAATCGTCATTAGCTTTTTCAGAATCGTACGTCAAAGCAATCAGTAAGTAACACGGTGCTATATTACCTTTCTCGTAGCAGCACTTGAAATTTTCAACGGTTAGATCCCTATATGAGGTGATAGTTACTAACTATTGCATTGGAATATAATAGACGTACCGTAAGCGCTGTCTTTTAGTTTTAACCCCTCTTTCTGGGTTTGTAGCCTTTATTAGAATAGCCTATAGAATAGAACTATTTTGATTTGGTCATCGGCGTAAGCTTTAAGTATCAATAAAATGTTCGAAGACCTCTCGCAAGCAAATCAGAACGGGGCTCAGGCAAAAGAGGAACATTCAACCTAAATGAAATATAAATCTTCGCGTTAAAAAATTGTGTGCACCACATGAACGAATAACAGCTCTGAAATCCTAGATGGCTACCAGAAAGAGGCGTCAAAAGAACTTCACAAAACAAAATCTGCAGGCTGTTGTTAATCCTCGGGGAAGCATTTATACAAACCAAGAGTACGTTATTCTATTTGACATGGCTAACTATGTAATGTCGTTATGGCTTCGCTTGTCCCATGAAAGGATAGTACACACAATATTGTTAGAAACAAGCTGATTTTTTCATGTAATTGTATTGGATTAAAGGTTGTATAATAATAATATAATGATGATTCACAAGAGATCTGTAGCGAGAATATTAATGACGTTCAGTGTGTCTAAACCGTATGAATATAAACCACTGTGGTAGACTGTTGTTGTCAAACCATTCCATACTAATGTCAATTTGTTTCTTAAACAATTCGATAGGTAAATGTATTATAGAAACGGACCGATTTATGCGGCGTTGGCCCATCGAAATGGCTATATTTTTCGATTAATCGAGAGCGAAGCAGATACTTCACAGATGGTGCTTCTCAACTGTACGACAGTATTGAAGTGCACGAACGAGCAGAGCTGAGAAGAAGTCTCTGATCAATTTAACAAATTGATTTCAATTTCACACCTAAGAATTGCATAAGAACCTGCTGTTTCGTTGTCGATTTTCTAATATGGTCAAAGGAGGATCTAAGTCATTGATGGGTTAGGACGAGTCATACCAAATACATTATTTTAATAATGAGATTCGGGATATGGATACCGATTGCGAACGACTTCTTGGAAAACTAATATACCTATCCGTATACGACCGTCTAAGTTTGTTGTTTCGTTCAGGTATTTCTTAGGCTCAGTGCTTTCAGTGGTGTCAACAAATTGCGTTCCGTTTCTAATATAATTTTATCCTCTGAATTTAGGCGGAAATGGTTACATCAATGAATATCCAACAGGCCGATTCCTGCGAGATGCCAAACTCTACGAAATCGGGGCGGGTACGAGCGAAATTCGTCGTTTAATAATCGGTCGGGCGCTTAATGCCGAGTACGGCGTCACGTCTTAGCTATCATAGGGTAATTTCTGCCTTCTGCTTTTCTGCCCTCTGAAACACTGCGATTATCCTTCGTGACAGTATTCAACATAGGTGCATGACGGTGTGATCCGTAGGGATGTGTAGCCGTCTTTATGGAACGTTACTGCAAGTTGAAATTGAGTTTAATTGGGCGAGACCGTATAAAATGTATCGGTAAGGCCGTACTGTAATCCAGAACTGTGTTCGTCTAAATACACTATGCTACATTGTTGTATTTAGTCGTCAAAAAAATATATATATATCAATATTGCATATTCATGTATTCGGTACTTCTGGATTGTGTTTGGGTGCACAAGTATTACGAAAGAACTTTTATCTCTTTGGGTTCATAAGAGAGTCTTTAAGATTGTACTCGTACTACTCACAACGATGTATCAGCATCTAAGGCTTGTTGCCAAATCCTGAAACACACAACTGACTAATAAATATGTTTTATATATGAGCACGTATTCGTTTGGTGTTTGATACAGTCATATGTTCACTGGGGTTATTGAACGTCTATCCAGCGACATTCATTCGCTAACTCTAGCTTGCTTTAAATATAGTCGTAGGTCCTTTGCGAATTAGAAATCGTCTTCGGCCTTCATTTTAAAAAATTGAGTAAGAGCTTCCTAATTGAATTAGTACATGCCGTACGAGGCATGTGCACCAGGTGCTGTACCAGGGCATTTTATCGCATAAGTATTATTGATTAGTTTAATATTAAATGCTAGGACAATCTTCTACATGAAGGAGAATGTTATTTGTTGTTGATAATGTGAAAACTAGTGGTATTGATAGCAGTGACCAGAGATAAAAGCTACAGGGAACTTTCGGCTGAGAGTCGGCCTTTATTTAATAGAAGTGGCCAGATTTCCGGAAGACCAATCACGAATAACCGTTCTGAATCATTTTTGTAGTTGATGCCCGTAATATGTGCAGCGGTTCCAACTCTCACACCAAGTTTGTCTGTACCATATCTACGGTAGAACTACTGCCTTAACGACCGTTATATACGACCCCATACCTCGTAGCCTTACTTGTTATGTTGGTTACTTGGTATTTATCACCCAGTCCCGTTTTCTTTATGTTGCAGTTTGACGCTTCATTATTAATACGATATGCACATGATGCTCGAAATTTAGTTATTGTACATTTGGCATCTAGAACCAACCTTCAGTTCGATGCGCCTTGCCAAATAGGTTAAGAAGAAGATCAGGTCGATGAGTGGAAGGGAGGAGGCGGGGTCGACTACCCCCAGATCTGTTTCTCATCTGGGCGGAAATGCAGCATTTCATCGCTGTCGTAAAAGCCGTCCCCAATCACGACATCTGTAATGGTTCCCCTCCGATGTGAGCACGTCGTCACACTGCCTACATCGTGTTGAAATCGGCGATCGCCGACCGTAGATATTTCACACCATCGACAGCCTCAATGAACCTGCCACAACCGCTAAAGTATGAGTCTGCAATCATCTGAATTATATAGGCCGCTTCTGCTGCTGCGGTTGTTGGTGCCCTTAGTACCACTATAATAGTTCAGTGTTATATATGTATGTGTGTATATGTGTATATATATATATATATATAGGCACGGGTACATTTGAAGTCCGCGTAGTGGCTCTAAACGCCAAGCGAAATCGTCGCAGACGGCCACCGAGCCAGGACGAGCTTGCTGCTATGTGCGGATGGATATACTTGCATGTGTGTCTATGGGGGGTTCTACATAAATGAGTGTATGCAGTGTATTTATCGGAAGAGAAAGACCGCACAAAAAGTACCCACTTTGCTGCTCTCGGGTATCCCTCGATTCGGTTTCGAATTCGAAGGAGAAGCTCTTGGGAGAGAAACGGGGAGAGAAAACACAGCGAATGAACGAGACGGAGACAGACGATACGCTTACAATAGAAATACTTTCAACACTCCACAGTGAAGACCACAGTCGATCGCTGCTACGGCCGCAGTCGCGATAGCGGCAGCATTAGCCACGACATCGAACGGCAGTAGCAGCCGCGCGAAAGACATTCAGGATCGCAATGCGTTACTGCAACCAGCGGCGGTGGCAGTCGCGGCGGTGGTGGAAGGAGCAACACCGGGCGCATGGCAAGCCAATATAATATCATTCAAAGATCGGGCTCGAGACATCTGCGCGTTATAGTAAAATCCTATTGGCTGAGCTGCGCTCGGGGGGTGGAGCCCACCGCGCACTCGATGCTCCGCCCTTCGAGCTCCGATCACTGTTCAGCTGGATACATATAATACCGAGCCGGTTTCAAGCGCTTAGGACCAGCCGGACGCTGGCAAGGCTCGTTCTGGATCGCGCAAGAGGAGGAGCTGGAGGAGGATTCGAGGGTCCGAGCGCCGTTTCGATCTATTGCCTAAAACGAAGACGAAGACGAAGACAAACAACAACACGAACGAGAGTCGAGAGCAGCACGGTGAACACGACGGTCCGCACAACGATAGCTCCCAACTAGAGAACAAAGGACACAGGCCACAATTGGTGGTGCCAACCGACAGTTTCGAGGTCTGTATTCTACTGGTCATAGCCTAGAGCCGCGAAAACCACCTTCTTCAATGTCGTCTCGTAGACATGTGATACGGCAACGATCATTACCAGTAGAAACGATGACGATCTTTAGACAGTGAGTTGACGGAGTTGCAGAATTGTGTGATTGATGGAAGCATTGTGTGACTGTTAACAAGCGGCTAATGAACGGTGATACGTTACAGAAATGCGCCGGTCGTTGGTACGTGAATGATAAATTCTGCATGCGTAAAGGACGTTCATCGGGTGTTCAGTGCGATCGATTGGCGGTGACAGTATCTGAGGAATATAACATCAACAATCAACATTCGGTTTAGGAGGAAAGAGCGCATGGCATTTAGTGGCTGAGACAACGCTGAAGACAGACGAGCGCGTTAATTCCAATGCCCGCTTCACAATGTCCGTGGAGGACTTGGCGAGTCCTCTGAAGAGTCTGTTAGGCTCTCCGTGTTCATCGTCGCCCATGGGTGGCGCAATGGTGTACATGGATGAGCTGACCTCATGCAGCTCTTCATCGGCTGACGAAGATACTAATCTGATGCTGGCGAAATTTGCGCGCTCTGTCCCGTTCGAGCAGGCCCTGCGACAGGACCATCCAGGAGTCGATCAAGCTAACCGCCCACAAGACAGCTTGCCACTGGATATTGTTAAAGTGAGTGAAATTATGTTACTGAAAAAGTGTTAGAGAGAAATGTTAGTTTACAAACTTGATGGATTCTATGGTGGCCTCATAAATTGGCTGTGGCGTATGACTGCACAACTTAGATTCTCTATCTAGCTCTATATACATATGTGAACTGCAATACAATATCCCTTTATTTGCAAAACTATCGAGTGCAAAGCGATTACTCTACAAGCCAATATAGGTTTCATCAAACGTCTCTGTTCGAAACGTTTAGCATGTATCCTCATTGTAACGCCTCATTTTTGCCCATCTACCAATGCGTATTTTTGATTCTGACGTTCTCAACTATTGTTAAATAGCGTAATGCGAAAAATACACTTTCTCATTGAGATATGAAGTACGTTGTAAAGCATCGAAGAGGGTCAGTGTCCCAACCGGAAATGCGACCACAATTGACCATCGAACATCATGTTTCCTATTACTGTTTAACCTACAGGTAGTATTGTCTTATTATCGTAACATCTGTGGCCTCAATTACTCTCACTCACAAATGTTGTCAAATCTGCCTACATTTCTGAGAAGTTTATATTTCACCGTTTAACTTCTGCATTTATGACGAATCCGACTGTACGGTCTACAATATTACCGTACATATTTCCATCGGTTATTATCTGTTATTAACACGGTTTTGTTAGCAAACGCTCAACTACTTTGCTATTATTTATTCTCTCTCTCTCTCTCTCTCTCTCTCTCAAAGTTTCGCATACGTTTTGCCATAAAATTACGTTCCTTTGTATCAAAGACTCGTCCTGGTGGATATGTACCTTCCAGACTGTTCTGATTCAGATGAATGAAAATGTGCATCCGCTCAGGAACAGATTTTACGTTTGAGGTTGGTCGGGTGAATGTTTTCAACCTTCAATGGATTCAGAGGTCCAATCACTTGGATTTGAAATAGCATTATAATTACACTGTAATCGATTGACTGTGTTTTTAAAATTCATGAAAACTTCCACTATGGAAAGAAAACTGCTAATATTCTCTCTATGCCAACGTATGATTGTTTTCTAGCTAAGCTTTCCTGTCTCGTCTTCACGTTAGCCAAAGGGCCCTTGTCTTGCTAATTCATCCCCAAGGATGGTACGTTTTGTACATTGACTTCTAAGCGTGATGTTCCTAAATTGAACTAGTCCACCAAAACAGATACTCACTGTTTCAAAATAGAGAAATCAGTGTCTAAATGCTTTTTCATTCCTATAAGAAAGGCATGTCCTAAAGAGAGGCTGACCTTGTGTCAGGCTGCAAAATACATTTTTCACTTAATCTATTCAATCTCAGTATAATTCCATTTTGTGACCACACTGGTCTGAGAACTAGGCTAAAAATTAGTGAAAATAGCTTTATGTTTATTATCGGCAAGTAATTCCAATTGTAACGCTCACACCACACGTAAACAACGCATGGCATCAACGTAAGATAATCTTGACATTAATATAAGTAGGTTTTAAGGCTAAAAAGGTAAAAGCGAATATCTTATATAGTTACACTCAGTTCGATCCTTGTCGAATCTGTAAAGCTCATACAGTGTAGTAAAACAAGTTAGAAACTTACGTCGAATGCTGCCGGTTAGGCGTTCCGTCAGATGATTCGCTTGAAGCGTACCTACAACATGCTACTGCCCAATCCGGTCTGGAGAATTATAACTATTTGATAAGCCTTCTAGGTAACTGCTGAGCAATGATCGGTATCTGTCTCCTCACATCTCAGGTAGTACTAAGGCATAGATATTATTAAATACAGATTAGTCTTAATTAAAGGTGCCTCACGCCTGTACAACTGTCACTATTGGAACGTTTGTTTTTGTACGCGCTTTCCATTCGTAAATTGTTTCAGCCTAGATATTCCTAATGTATAAAGAAAACAAGTTATAACGCCAATGCAATCGGCAACGGTCCGACAATGACTGCGAAGCTTTGATTTTTTATTACCGTACAGACATATTTCGGGATTTCCAATGGGCTTCAATTAAATAAATAAAAAAAATCTATGTGTTAGCTATTGCATTGATGTCAATTGCATTAATTACTATGCAGTCGTTCTAAATGTGAACTCTTGAATGAGCTTACAGCGTACATAAGGGCAGGTAACGATTACTTTCATTGCAGAATTATCTAAATCGTAATGAAGAGAACAGAAACGATTTCTCTTTCGACAGTGCCTTCTATTCTTTAAGAAGCTGACATAGCTTCAGGGTATTAGCTTACGGGTTGTCCTCTGTGGGGCGAAGCATTACTCGGTGTTAACTAGCAGGAAATTATCACGATCACTATAGTCGCATGATTAGGAGCGGCACGCACCACAAGGGGGTAGAAGCGGTCACATCGTACCCCCGCCAGCGATGGTGGTTGATGAGGGCAGAGCATGCTGCTCCGACAGCCTGGTGAGTGCACCCACGGAATCAATAACAAGGACAAGAACTAACCTGGCCACTAATGACAGCAAGGCTAACCAAGAAGAGATAGACTAAGAAGGTACGAGTCTTCTGCGGGCATTCGCGCCCACTAGGGGCGGCCGCACCGTCTGCATCGGTATGAGCTCAAGTCTGTCAGCTCCTAAGTTGTGCCTGCTGCAGCTAACTCTGTTGTCCTGCCACGAGCCTAACGAGCTGTTAAAGGTGAAGCAGGTTGAAGGAGTTAAGTGGACGAGGCGGTATCCGTTCGTTGGGAGAGGTTGTTAGGCGATGGTAAAAGACGCGAACGGGCTAGATACAACCGTAAGTGGCATGTATGGTGGCAAAGACTAGCAACAGAGCTTTATCGAAGTGCACCTGTTTGTTGCGTAGCGTTCTGAATACCATTGCGGTATAGGGCAGACAGTTTTCAATAAAGTTAAAAATCGTTGAGTAAATAACGTGATGCCTATTGGGGAATCCTTTACCTGGACAGAAATGATGTTAAGAGAAGTTTCACGGTGTATGTGCTCGTGGAAGCTCATGCGCATGCTGGCTTGACAACTACAGCCAGTAGTACGGCAGACGTCACTCGGAAATAAAGCTTCGTTTAGTTAATTCATGGCGATAAGGCTGCGAATGATTTTCATGTTCTTTACCAGTTGAAAATTAGTTTAAATCGTATTGTGACTAAAACTTTTCATAACTGAGTCCTTTTTTAGGCTACCTTATTTTCAATTGAAGTGCGGACGAAAACAGAGCGCCAGAATATCCTCCGCATATTTCAAGAGCGGCCTTAAAGTGGTGATTCCTAAACAAAGCAAAATTAGCCTACTTATGTTTCTCAAATTTTTTTTTTTCCATTACTTCTCACAGAAATGTAGGTTCTATATAGGGTATTTATGTTTTCTCCATTTAATTGAAACTGATAAATATAAAAGACCATATCTTTGTGGGTAGAGGACTTTTTATTCGGTAGCTCGTGCGAACTGACGATAATCTATGCACTGATGCAATAAGAACAATCTGGCATGTTGGAATATGTTTTAGAACAATTTCAGAGGTCATGCGTTCTGTATTAAGATAGATTACCATATACCACGCATAGATAAACGCGTCTACATATAAAACACAAATTTTGGGTTTGAGCGAAACTTTTCGTTAGCTAATATATTGTTGCAAGGAAAAGTCCAGTCGACCTCCGTATCCTCAGCACCAGTGTTTGAGTTCATAAGTTTTCGTTGACAACAAAGTCTATGTCCTGAGCTCGCGGTCATCTTCCCTTCGGTGTTACTAAAACGGGTCGCGCGCTACTAGCAGCAGGACGCACAGCAATTTGTGTTCCTGAAAAAGGCCCGTTTTTCCATTTCAAGCGAGGAGGCGTGTTGGCTTCGTTGCTTGCTTGGGCTGCGTTTCAGGTTCTCCTGGCTAGCTGCACGGAGTCCGACGAGAAAAGATACAGGACAAGCATGAGTCTGCGACGTGACCGGTTTTCGTTGAGCTTTCTTGTCCCCAGCGGCGCGCTGCTCTGCTTCGTTCCAGGTCTGGCGGCGACGACTGGGTAGTGACGCATCTACCGTATAGGCCATAGCCGTAGTCGTGGTAGTAGTATTGTGGCCCATTTCGATGTCTCTGCCCCTGGCTGCTTGATTTGAACAGTGCAACATGAGGATCTGTTTGGGCCTGTGGATAAAAGGATGATAGACGTAGTCGGGCTTGGGGAAAGGGATGTTCAGTACCACCTCTTTTTTCGGAGACAACGCAACACCAACCAGCGGACGAACTAGACCGCTGGGAATCGGAAGAGAAAACTAGAGAGATAGGGAACTGGGGACATCTAACTAGGGAGTTGTTTTTAGTGGAACAACAAGGGTAAATAAGGAAACTTTGAAACGTGACAGTTTTGTCAACCCTTTTCCGTTGGCCCATGATGAGCCCAGCCCCCTCACCCTTAGCCCCTGCCAATGTTCAGGAAAAGCTTCAAGCCCTCAAGGGTCCCCTTGATAAGTTGATGTTCAAAGCGATAGTTTCGAATAAGCTAAAGATTAGCATCAGTTTTGGCTTTAAACATCTCGTACGATATTTTCTCAAGATAATCATTGAACTCGTCAATAACCGGAAACGCTTGGTCGAACTGCACGTAAAATACAGTACCTCGCAGCAGTGTCCTTCCAGTCACGAGATCTTAACTTGCCAAATTTTCCCAAAAAAGTGTTCGGATCAACTTCTGCTGGAGTAGAAACTATTTCGCAATGTACGTTAAATGTGTGTGAATACTTTTTAAGCAAACTTCGAGCATATTGCTCTTCGGAAGTTAGTTTTACCGCATTAACGATAAAAACAAAAAAGATGCCCGAATCGCCTCTAAAGCTGTGTTGTTCTCATCCATTATTTTGGTAAAGCAGCTTATAGTCTTGTTATTAGAACGGTTCTGATAGTTAAAACACGCCGCCCCTTCAATCACACGCGTGAGAATGCAAATCCAAATGCTTGCATACAATTTTCCGTAAAATTGAGCTTGGGTAGTTAGTTCATTCTAACAAAATCCAGCAGAAGCCAGCAAGATAGCGGTACAAAT